AGCAAAGGGCAGAGATTGTGTGCCCGATGACAGCAGCGGGCCCACGGGGAGGGTAAAGGGCAGAGATTGTGTGCCCGATGACAACAGCGGGCCCATGGTGAGGGCACATGGTGAGCAGCAGGTCAATAAGGACCGGTATGGGTCAATAGACAGGTGAGAGCTGCCGTGCTATAGCTTATTGTTCTGTGCTGGCAATTACACCCCACCTGCACCCTCTTCCGTTCCCACGCGCGACGGTGGGCACACTCGTATAATTTGGGCATGGATGCCCTCTGGAAAAATTTTTTAATGCCATTAGATATAAAATTATGCCCAGAATTTTTTAGTATGGCCTAATTTTTCCAGGGAGAGAGAGTCTTGAGCTCTTGTAAGTATATAGTATTAGATTTTTTGCATATATCTGAATAATTTTGCAACAATTTATTTAAAATTTATAAGTATGCTTCAGATTTCGATGACATGTATTTAATTTTTTATTCCGCCATTAGAAGTTGTGAGTGTGCCTGTAAGCTTGTGAGAATGTGAGAAATTTGTGAGTATTGTGATAATATTTTCAGCTTCAATCCATGTAAGCCCTAAATTTCATGACGAATACCGCGTCCTTTATGTGAAACTGCTCCTAGATTTTGTAAAATGGCTGTACCTAAATTTTTTAGTATTCTCTGAGATTTAGCGAAATTACTCCCATATTCTATTTTAAGTTCGGCTCTATGAAAACAAAGTCAACCTTGTTAGAATAACATACAATTTTACGAAATTCACCTACATTTTTTTAATTTTACGTTTTTTTTTAACAAACTCAAATTTTTAGAGGATGCCCTTGGATTTTGCGAAAATTGTCATTTCTTTTTATCTCATAAAATGATACAATTTGCTCTGAAATTGCCTTAGGCTTTTTTAAATAAATTCAGATTGAGTGAAACAATTTCGTGATTTTTGAGAATGTGCCGAAATTTAGTTATATATCCATTGTATTCTTTCTACATTTCTACCTAAAACCAGTCGCAATTAGTCGATATATTGACTGTCCTTTGATTACGCAAATAAAATTTTGAATATACTAAGAATATCGACGTACCAATCTTTATTAATCCATAATTATGTAGTTTACGACCTACAGTGGCTGGAAATGTTCGATACTTTGCAGAAGTTTTTTTTAATCTTATTGTTTTAACTTATATTCTTGAAATAAAAAGCTCACATTTCCGTAAAAGGCCTATATAGGACTTGAAAGGGAGTTCCGTGTATAGAATGTGGGTTTGAACAGGAGTTTGTCCAGCTACAGTTCTTAGTATAACTAAGTATAACTGTAAGTATAACTGTAGTCCAGCTACAGTTCTTAGTATAACTAAGTATAACTGTAAGTATAACTGTAGTCCAGCTACAGTTCTTCAGTTTCGAAACTATTGGCAGTATTCGGGATGACGGGATGCGTAATAACGTGATTCCCAAATTTCAAATATTTTCAGTCCCGGCCAAGGGCAGGCTAATCTGCTAACAGTTAATTAATTTAACTGCATGCACGAGTTTCTTCATTATATTCAAAGTGCCAAGCACGAGAATATTTTCTTTTTGTGGTCATAATGTTAGGTAAAATTATTTTCTTATTTTAAATCAGTGCGTACAAAAATCCGGCAGCGCTTGAATGAATGCAGTAAATTGAAGCCAACATTTTAAGTTTTGAGCGAGCGGTTTGCAAACGTATATCCTGCTCAGAATTATTATGACTCTATTACATGATCTACAAGATAAAGCCATATTCTGTAGTGCATAAACTTCTTGCATTATACATAAGCTTATAACTCGTCTAGCACACTTCTAGAACAATATTATACAGCCTGCTAACCTTGCTTAAGTTTGTATACCAATTCTTTCAAATTTGGTTCCAAATAAGCCAAAATCTTCGAATTATCTATTGTTTCTATTCCTTTTTACTCCATCAAACTACTGAAAGTTCATTTGTAACATCACTCACGGATATAATTTATGGCTATTCATTCTATTCAAGGCGGCCACTTTTTTATCTAAAACTTCCAAACGAATTTCTAGAAGCATCTAAAATCATCGCAATTCTGGGACGAACCTCAGTAGTTCCGAGACTATATTGATCCTAATGGATAAGCTTCGCTGCTAAAGTGTCTGCATATTGTCGAGTGATGGAGGGCAGATGAGGGGCATAATGGAGTTAATGGCCTGCAAACAAGGTCCTGGAACTGACGGCCTCGCACTTCCAGCAGCGCGGGACTCCTTTTAAACTGGAGCTCGACAAACACTGCGGTTGCCGAGTGTGCTCAGCTGCCCGCCGTACGTTTACCATTGGTGTGAGGGCCGACGCCTCGGCAAGCTGTTTATATTTACTCAGCAACGAGGGAAGTGAGGGTCTGGATCACCACTGAGTGTAGTTACAGGTGACGTCATGCCTTGTATTCGACGTGGGGAATATTGTGCAGGAATATTGTATTCCATATGAGGAATATTCTGCAAGAATATTGTATTCGACGTGAGGAATGTTCACTATAGTGAGCGCTGTCTCCACACAGCACAGGGGTTCAGTGAGCGCTGTCTCCACACTACACAAGGGTTCAGTGAGCGCTGTCTCCACACTACACAAGGGTTCAGTGAGCGCTGTCTCCACACAACACAAGGGTTCAGTGAGCGCTGTCTCCACACAACACAAGGGTTCAGTGAGCGCTGTCTCCATTGTAAACATAATTTAACCCATAATCGCATCAGTCAATGACAATACACACCCCATTGTACAGCAGGGAACAACTAGCAATCATGAGCTTCATGTTATACGTAAAGTAAACGCGGAAAACAACAGATAATAATTTACATAAACTTTATTATGTAACTGTACTCTGACAAAAAACAATAAATGACTGTGTTCCTAATATCATACATCTGTTATTGTGCGTGGAGACAATAATAAGTGATCACGGTGACAATATTGTGGCCGTCAGTGCTGGGTATCAAGGAGCACTCGAGAGCACAGAGCAGGTGCCGTTTGTTCTCACGCGATTAGCTGATCAGGACACACGCGCCGACGTGATGCTCAGAACCTACAGCGGTCATCGTAAGAACTGCGGTCAACTTAGAGACGATCATAAAATTTCTTTCAATGACCAAGATTTGTTAAAATGTTCGAATCAAAGTTGCGTATATGTTCAGAACCTAGAGTGGTCATCGTAAGAAATGTGATCAACTTAGAGACGATCATAAAGTTTAATTCAATGACCAAGATTGTTCAGAACCTAGAGCGGTCAACGTAAGAAATGTGATCAACTTAGAGACGATCATAACATTTCTTTCAATGGCCAAGATTTGTTAAAATGTTCGAATCAAAGTTGCGTATATGTTCAGAACCTAGAGCGGTCAACGTAAGAAATGTGATCAACTTAGAGACGATCATAAAATTTAATTCAATGACAAATTTTTTTTTCAATGTTCAAATCAGGGATGATGATTAGATGATTGACTGGCTGACGCTTCATATAGTGAAGTATTTTGAATGTTCGGCTGCTGAATATCAAATGTTGGACTGCTATATAGAGTGCCGTAGATATGAACGCTTACTGCTTGTGTTTCAGAGGAGAATTGCGATATAGTAAATGCATTGCCAAGAACTGTTCTAAAATGCACAATATGTCTGATAATTATCAGAGCAATTTAAAAGAAACGTGAATCCGAGTTCCCGATTAAAGCGGAATTCATGTTGCTTATCCTAACCCTCATCATCATACATACATCGGGCGCATGGATCAACATATAAGCTGTATATTGCTGACTGACTTGTACAAGTAACAATATGATAGGCTTGTATTGGCCACGAGCGCCTTGAAAAGCTCGGCCAATAAATGGCTTAAATTGTGACGGAGAATTGCATGACTTGCATACACAGCAGAGTATGTCATGTAATGTCCCAGCGCGAAGAGTATGAAAGATATTCACAATCTGTAGGAAAATAATCGAATGACATTTTTATGCAGATATTGAAATAAATAATTATTGGTTTAACGGAGAGCTGCTGGGGATGAAAAATGGTTTAGAGGCCATGTCACGTCTGAAGGAATAAGGACGATGATGTACGTGCTGGTGTTGCATGTACTTTTAGGAGTAAATAGAATCGCTATAAGAACTTTGAAGACGTTCGGCGTTAGGATTGAAGAGACGAAAAAACGTAAATTTATTTCCAAATATAAAATTTGATTCGCTAATATTAATATCACTCTGGTGTTTGAATCGCATACCCACTAAAAATGTAGAAGAAACCAAATCCATCTATATAGATAGTTGTCAAATCTTTTTAGAAAACGTTTCGAAAACGTTCCTCAAAGCTTGAGTAAAATTGATGGTGCGGCGCAAATTTGTATGTATATGCCACTGCTGCAATTTCCATTGATCATAATATTGCTTAAGAAATCTGATACAAGTTTTCGTTTCTTCCTTATCCGTGTATGTAGAGTTAAACTAAAAAACATAGATTTTGTTACAAGGTTACAAAAGTAATGCCGAAATTAGAGTGTCTTTGAGTAGAACAAAATGAGATCGGGGTCAAAATATCACGCGCTAACTCACTAGGTGATCAGATATAAACTTATTAGAGTAATTAGAACTCAATAAGTGATCAGTATAGTCTTATTAGACGGCCGCGCCTGAAGAGGCTTGGGAGCGTCAGGTCTCTAGCAGCTGTTGGCCCTTTGCTCTTGACTGCTCACAGATAACGTCAAGTCTTGCCGATCTTCCTACTCGTCTGTCTATTATCACCAGTTACGGTGGGCGCGTGCCGAGGTGTTCACACATTAATTGAGTGTTGATTCTACAGAAATAATATATTACTTCATACCTGTAGGATCTTCTAACTTGGCTGTTGTGTGCGGTGAGTTTTACACAATTTTTCTCTTAAGCCGGCCTCTACCGTTGTATGTCACTCTCCGGGAACATAACTTCCAACTTAAATTGTACGTAAACTATTGATAGGCTTAATACAAAAAACGGTAAACAGATTGAACTTTTATTGTGGAACTTGATCCCATAGACGACTGGTCCCGCAAGCTTGAGGAATCAAGACGCATTCACAGAAATTAGGAAGGAACCAAGTCTCAAAAAATAACGCTTGCTTGCTGGTTCATACAGGCTCGCCGACGTTACACAGACGAACAAGCCCAGCCCAACATAACTGTGGAATCGAGAAATAACCTTCAAATATATAATTAAGTAAAACCGTATTATTAGTTCAATGTTTCAACAAGTTTTAATAAATTCGCACATGGAAGCAATAAATTTTACCAACCCAGAATATCCAGAAGGATCTTTAAATTCTAAGCCAGGTGCAGATGACGGTTCCAAAAAAGATCGCAAATACGTATCCCACCAGACTCGCAGTTATTCTATTGAACAAAAAAAAAGGTATTGCTGTAAAATGAATGGTAACAATAATATAAACTCAGTACTAGCCTGAATGTATGTCGCACTATTTCAGAATAGCATCAGCCCGCACCAACCTTAAAATCTTTTGCCAGCAAGCGGATCTAGCTGTAATTTTAAGAGGCAATTTGAGAGGCCAAGTTAAGGGAAATAATGAAAGTAGAAGAAAGAGAGGGCAGACTCCAAAATTAACAAGTAAGTTAAGTTAAGAAAGCATCAAGCTTTCCCAATAGGTTAGGAACAAGTATTAAATTTATTAGAGTAAAAGCCGAAGCTCAAAGTTAAAGGTGGTCGAGCCACAAGAAAAGGCCAAGCCCAAATTTAGCACTGGAGTCTGCCCTTTCCTAACCAAAGAAAGCGCGAACATGCATTATTAAAGTAAATAAATAAAACGAAAAAACAAAGAGTGATCACTCAAAATAATAAATAGCATTTAAGAAGGAATGGCCTTATACACTCCTAACGGAGCAACATTAATGTGATGTTTACACCACCAAGTCTTACAGCCAACCAAACTATTTACAAATAGATACCCAACAATAGGTATGAAGAAAAAGAACAAATTTATATCCTAAGGAATGTGGAAATTTCTAACACTATTGAGTGTAGCAACCTGAGGACGTTGTACGCAACAAAGAACATCTTAAAGTCGTCGTACGTGGCGGCAACCATCAGTGCAAGTAATTTTGCACTCGCTAAAACTTGTACATTTTGGGAAGTAGGCTTGTGACGATATTGCTGCGGTGACTCGATCATGTCAGGCGGCAAAGGGTTATGGGTCATGTTCTCAATACAGTATTTCTCGCCAATTTGAAAGAGTTATTAGTTACCTCAGGTTGCAGGTCGGACAAGAAAGTCATATTAATTAGGAATATTTTCATAGATAGTAGAGCAGGGTTAAGCTGGTGTGCTGAGCTGAGCTGACTAAGCCGCAGAGCTGATCTAAATTAAGCTGACGCGCTGAATTGAGCTGACAGTGCCGCAAAACAGAGCTGACTGTGCTGCAGAGCTGACTGTGCTGCCGAGCAGAGCTGACTTGCTGCAGATCGCTGACTGTGCTGCAGAGCTGACTGCTGCAGAGCTGACTGTGCCGCAGAGCTGATGCAGCTGATGAACTGAACTGAGCTGACACTGCCGCGGAGCAGACCTAAGCTAAACTGACGCGCTGAACTGAGGTGACTGAGCCGCAGAGCTGACCTAAGCTTAGCTGGCTCGCTGAACTAAGCTGACTGTGCCTTAGAGCTGATATAAGCTGACACATTAAATAGAGCTGCCTGTGCATCAGATGGAGCGCGGTGAGAGCTGCCGTGTGTGCGGAGACAAGGCGTCGGGGAAGCACTACGGCGTGCCGTCCTGCGACGGCTGCCGGGGCTTCTTCAAGCGATCCATACGACGACACCGCAACAAGTTAGTCTTTATCTCATTACATTATGTAGTCTTTACCTCATTGCATTACATAGTCTTTACCTTATTACTCTTTACATTACCTCATTACATTAAATAGTCTTTACCTCATTACATTACATGGTCTTTACCTCATTACATTACATAGTCTTTACCTCATTACATTACATAGTCTTTACCTCATTACATTAAATAGTCTTTACCTCATTACATTACATAGTCTTTACCTCATTACATTATATAGTCTTTACATTATTACTCTTTACATTAACTCATTACATTACATAGTCTTTACCTTATTACATTATATAGTCTTTACCTCATTACATTACATAGTCTTTACCTTATTACATTAAATAGTCTTTACCTCATTAATCTTTATATTACCTCATTAACTTAAATGCTTTTCATTTTGCAATTAAGTAGACGCACTCTTTTTCGTCATTAAGGGAAACATACAATTTGTTTAAATTAAGTAGAACATTTATTTTATGAAATTAAAAGACCTATTCTTCAACGGAATCTAGTAAACGTATTCATTTTGTAATTAAGTACACGCTTTAAATTTGGTCTTTAAGAAAACTATTATTGGTATCGTTGATTGTGGTTTGAGTGAAAAATGTTTTACGGCTATTTAGCGATGACTTCTCAACATTATCAAACTCCTAATCAAGGTTACATTAAAATACTCTAATGATAATATCATCGCGAGTGATAATAAAGACGGTGACGCTTCACGTTGTAAACTATGAACAAATTTCACTGTAGTTGACCCTGACGGTCTTAAATAAGTTTCCTAATGATAATAATGACGTCAATGCTGCTCATAAAACGTATGGTCGTCAGTATTAATTTAATTAAACGTATTAATACGTCTGCTTGTGAACATCAGGACGCTGGACTACGTGTGTAAGGAGGACGGCAGCTGCGTGGTGGATGTGACGCGCAGGAACCAGTGCCAGGCTTGCCGCTTCCGCAAGTGTTTGCAGGTCAACATGAAGAAAGATGGTTCGTAAATTTAAATTAATTATATTAGTTAAACGATGAATAACATGCTATATATAATGTGTTGTAAGATTTACATGATATTTATGATGTAATATGAGTGTATTAAAATAATGGTATGTCTTCATACAAATGATGAGCGTTTTCCTGCCTGAGGCAGGTAGTGGTGCGCGTGAGGCAGGCAGTGGTGCGCGTGAGGCAGGCAGTGGTGCGCGTGAGGCAGGCAGTGGTACGCGTGAGGCAGGCAGTGATGCGCGTGATGCAGGCAGTGATGCGCGTGAGGCTGGCAGAGGTGCGCGTGAGGCAGGCAGAGGTGCGCGTGAGGCTGGCAGAGGTGCGCGTGAGGCAGGCAGTTGGTGCGCGTGAGGCAGGCAGTGGCGCGCGTGACGCAGGCAGCTGGTGCGCGTGAGGCAGGCAGTGGTGCGCGTGAGGCAGGCAGTGGTGCGCGTGAGGCAGGCAGTGGTGCGCTTAAGGACGCGTTCGTCGTAAGTGCTTGCCGCTGTCGCTCGTGTTTGCCGGGCGCTGAGCCGTGTTTGCTGGCGCCTTCTCTCGCTCCCCGCAGCCGAAAAAATCCTGGAATTGATTTCTTCTCACATTCAAACGGTATTTAATTTTGAAATATTCTCGTCGGAATTATAGATCATAAAACATTCGTTGAGTCTTGCTTAAGTTGTCTGAATCTTGAATAGCATTGGTAAAATGGTAGCAAATTCATCAATCGCTGGAAAATCTTCACAACTATGAGGAATGGGTTGAGATTGCTTATAACGAAGACCAGATTCAACCTTGTAATGCAAATTTTGTGCCAATAAATACGCATTAAAATCATAATCACAGTCACGTTTCATCGGCGTGGAGAACACATCGGCTCCCTGGTCCTCGCAGCTTCATTTCTCAGCTGTGGGGCGACAGTTGGATTAGTGCAGCATTGATGATGTCATCCGTTGTGACCGTTGATGCATTGATGATGTCATCCTCTGATGCATTGATGATGTCATCCGTTGATGCATTGATGATGTTATCCTCTGACAAAACGTACGTGTTTTGCATGATGATGATTCGGTCGATCATGCACGGTTAGCATCACTATTTTTATCATCTACATTGTGATGAAGATGCCAGCGCATATTTCCACGTTAATCTGCCATCATCATCAGTGTCATGTCTCTGGATATCACGAAAGGTATACTATTATGGGATAATTTATTACAATTATAAATTATACGCCTTACAATTCAAGAAATTATGCCATAATTATGGTATAATTTCAATTTATTTGGCGAATTTCCTAGCTAAATACATTCTTTTGATATTATTATCAGCATATTTAGATTGCCCTCCAGGAAAAAGTTTTTCATAGCACATCAACACTTGCGTACATATGCAAGGGAATCCATTTCTTGTAACGCCTACTATTTAGCGCTTCAACCACCTTCGAAACTGAACGTCGAATCTAGTTTAAAATCTGATTATACGGTCGATATTAGTTCATTACTTTCACATTGCTTCAGTAATGAAGGATGTCAATTACAATAACAGACAACTTACCTCCTAACTGCTCCAGTTATGATGAATGTCAATTACAATAACAGACAACTTGCCTCCTAACTGCTCCAGTTATGATGAATGCCAATTACAACATCAGACAACTTACCTCCTAATTGTTCCAGTTATGATGAATGCCAATTACAACATCAGACAACTTACCTCCTAATTGTTCCAGTTATGATGAATGCCAATTACAACATCAGACAACTTGCCTCCTAATTGTTCCAGTTATGATGAATGCCAATTACAACATCAGACAACTTGCCTCCTAACTACTCCTGTTATTTCCCGTAGAGAAAGCGCTGCTTGACAGTGACTTGCATTTTGAGGTGCCACAATTGCGGCTTAAGAGGGGCTCATCAAAGGGTTGTGCGTGCACTAATAGCCCCCTGCACTTGACAACAAGGATTACGCTAACATTTTAAATTAATAGTTCCGATCGAAGTGACCGTTGTTGATGCCATCAGTGCATGGGCTAACTTGATAGAAATCATCGGCGTCTTATATGTGCGTATATTGAACGGGCAACAGTCGAATGACAGTAACGAAACTATGTAAACTTGCTCTGAAATTAGTAAATAATCAATAGATATAGATCAATTAAATTAACCAAGCGACCGTGGAGATTGGCTGATCCACAAGATAAAACAGCTCCTTCGAAGTGAACGTCGCTATATATAACATTGTGAAATTTTGTAATTATTCCAGCTCACTTATTTTCACAAAGTACGAGAGTTTTTACTAGGCGTAAAATTTAATGTTCAATTTCAGATGACTGACATCAAAAATGAAAGCCTCGATAATATTTCCTCTAAAATTTAACGAAAGTAAAAAGAATTTATGCAGCTTTGGTTGCTAATGAATATTTTTGTTTTAAATTGAGGTTAATTTGTGCTGAGCAGCGGTGCAGCACGAGCGAGCTCCTCGGTCGTGCCAGAAGCGGGCCATCTTCGGCTCGGACTTGTCACCCGTTACGGGATTCCCTTCATCTGTGGGTATCATGACCTCCCATGGCATGACCCTGCCCCCACTACCCCACTATTACCCTACTTTCTTTCCACCTTCCCCTTTCAAACCACCGTCTTTGCATCCTTTCCTAACAACTCCTCCACCCATCGCACCACTGACTCTTACGCTGAGTCAAAACTCAGCTTTCAAGCCCAACTCCAGCGCTGCAAACTGCTTTTCCAGCTTCCCAAGTATTAACAGCATAAATAACCTTATAAACAGCACTAGTGTAGCTCAAGCAAACGGAAATAACGGTCTAAACCTTAATAACTTCACACCCCTCGACATAAGTCAAGCAGGGAATTTTAATTTCACAAGTAGAGCTTCCTCCATCACGACTTCCTGTTCTTCCGTTCCTTATTGCACCGCATCGGGTCTCGCTTCATCAATAGCTTTGTCGGCTGCCTCTTGCATCCAGCTCACTCCCCCAGCCGATACCAAGACGGCTTCGATCGATGATAAGACCACGTCGCAGGAGCAGCCCACGTCCCTGATGGGCGGGAGCTCGTGCCTAAAATCGACCGGTGGACGCCATTGTGACGTCACTAAGCTCCCTGATTTATGTCGTCCACATTGCAGCCGCCTCGGCGCACGCGTCGGCTTGACGCTCCCCACTCTCAACGCCACCGATGCATCGACCAATCACAGCTCGGCGTTCAGCCCCCTCGCGCGGGGGTCGCCGGGTGCTGGTGAGGGTGAAGTGAGCAGTTCTTTGGCCAGCAAAAGGCCCTTGCCGATGACTGCAGAATCGCCGACGTCCACCTCGAGTGAATCTTGTTTGGCCGTGTCTCTGCCATCTTCGCCGACATCGAAGCCGCAGCAAGAACTTCTCAGAGCCGAGCAAAACCTTAGAACTTTGGAGCCAAAAACAAGAAACGGACACCCTGCGACGAAAGAAAAAGTCTTTGACGTGAGAGGTGAGTTGTTGCCGGCATTGACAGTGATTATTTTGTGATTAGTGGAATTTTGAGTTAACTCACTGTTAATTTGTTTTAAGAAAACACCTAACAACAAATGCATTTTTTACATGCTCGTAATGAATTTCAGGTGCAGCTTTGAATTAAATTGTCGGGTTAATAAATGGTGCATTGTTTTGTAAATGTGCAAATGAAAATTATTTTTTTGCAGAAAATTGTTAAATTCTTGTTATTACAATAATGGTAACAACAGTAATCGAAATTAATGGTAACAGCTATCCAATAAAGTCGATTATTTGAACTTTATTTTACAGAGAATGTAAAAACGGTACCAAACTTAATATCTGCTCTACCATCACCAACATCGCTCTCGTCCTGTTCTCCTGCCGGCCACCTTGCTTCACCATCCACTCCATCTTCCCCATTGTCCTTATCCTCTTCTCCTACCTCATCCTCCAGTCCCCGACCTACGAGCTCCCCAACCAACTTTTGTGTTAATTTATCCTCAACCCGCGCTCTGTCGCCACCGCCGTCCCCTCATGCAAACAAGCGCGTCAAGTACTCGATCGGAAGCATAATTTTTGGCTCAAAAGCCCCGTCCGACGAGAAAGTCGTTCCAAAAAATAGTGAGGAGCTTCAGAATGCATTGTCTTCTAGTCGTGGAGATGGAGCTGGAACCAAAGAAAAGATTTCCGTCAGAAACACGACCGAGGTGGCATCTACCGAAGCGGATTTGAACAACAGCCGCGATAAGAGATTAAATATTTTTGATTTCGGGAAAAAAGAGCCCGATTCTTCGACGACTGATACAGAATCTCATATTGGTAATAATTTAATTTTAGACGACGAAAAAAAGTTCAGTTTTTCGTTCTCATCGGTGACTTTAACTCCAACGACTTCTGCCAAAAATTTGTTGAACTTGCAAGAATCGTCAGATGATTTCTATTCTCAGAACGCTTCAGCTCCCATTGCGTGTCCATCTTTGTTAATAAAAACCGTTTCGCCCATTGAAGTCAAGCCTTCTAAATGGCTTCCACCGTCAACAGCTTCTTGCGTTATTGCAAACTTTTCCAAGTCCTTGAATGTTGGTCTTCCGAGATTATCAAGTCAATATAACGAAGGATCGTTAAATTCTGACGACAATCGTCGCAGTCATAATTGCTCTCCTACGATGATCAGCAGAGAGACGTTGGCCTCAAAATGTGACGAAGCAACGCTGGGCAACTCATCGTCCGCTGAAAGCGACCAAGATCTTACGAAGAAAAGGACCTATGAAAGCTGCTCGGCTGAGAGCTCAGCTCCGTGCTCCGTCATGCAGGAGAATGTCTACGAAACTGCAGCGAAGCTTCTCTTCTTTGGAGTCAAGTGGGCGCGATCTATACCGTCTTTTACTCAGGTGAGAATATTGGCCAGTAAAATATGATAACATGCTATAGAAATAAGATAACTAATCCAAATCATGCTAATTTCTTTTTGAAGGTTACAAGTTATTTATTTGGTAGCAAAAATCCTGAATTCTGGAGAATCAGTTTAATCAAACTGTTCGTGAATACAAATAAATGTGATCCGCGCGTTGAATTTCTGAAGCTATAGTGACATTTATTTTTTAATGGCTCCATGAATTGATCACCAAATGAGCTTTTAACTGACGGATGATTTGGTGATATTTATTTCAGCTGAGTCTAAAGGACCAAGCTCTGCTGCTGGAGGAGTCCTGGAGCGCCATGTTCCTCATAGGAGCTGCACAAAGCGGCTTGCCAGTGCAGGAGGCACTGCAGTTGGCAGGTGCGCTTAAACTGTGACGAAAATGAAAACTTTACTTGTCTGCTTGTTTATGGTATATCTAATGCTTCGTTTGCTCATGGAGAACATAATTTTCCTGCTTGCGTATAGTGCACACAACTTCTCGTTCATTACCCATCACTGATCAAGCATTTCGAGTACAGGTTTTCTGCTAACGATCATCTTGTATAAGCCATGTGGTGTATTCCAGATGTGGCGCAAATCCGATAAGGTGTAAAAATCTTCAATGTCTGCTCATACTTAGACAAATTTATTTCTATTTGTTGCATGCAAATTTCCAACTTACACACGCTGCAAGCAAAATGTTTTCTTACAAGCATCGTAAACAACATTTCCGTCTTCGCATAGTGTACATAATTTTCCTATACCCACCTTTGCTATTACAACTTTTTATTGATTTTTACTAATTGTGTAAACAATTCATCAATTCCATGTAGTGCAAGCAATTTTCCAAATACTAGTGCTGCATCCTACCTTCTGATACGTCATATAGTAAATTTCTGTCTTATTTATTAATCATACTTTTGGTATAGAGATAATACATCAATGCTTTGACTATACTGTGAGTGTTCTCAAATTTCTAATCACTCATATTACGAGCAATTTATATTTGTAGAGCCACTAAAATTAAAGCGCATGGTTTCTTCTGTATTATACGCATGAACATACGGTACCATGTAGAACCTCTAATGTCTACTTAAGACTGTTGGTTTATAGAGGGACATCGCTCTTCCAAAATAGTGTATAGCATAACAAAAGTTGTGAAATTTATAGAGGTATGCCGAAGCTTTAAATGCTATTCTTGACACGTGTGAATATAATACATATCCGTATCATATGCATATATACCCATACTTGTTCATCACCTTCTTCACCTGTTCTCCCACCAGGAGAGGATGCACGGGGAGCCAGGGAGTACCGCCTCCTGCTGGAGGTGTGGCAGCGCTTCAAACTCCTGCAGGTCGACCCCACAGAGTACGCGTGTCTCAGAGCTATCGTTCTCTTCAGACCGGGTGCGCATTATCTCATTTGTTATCTCCATCATTGTTCTTAGCAGTTACTAGTATTTCTAGGACAGTTATTATATTTATACTTTATTTACAGTAATAATATGTACAAATGCTGTACCTGATCTACTTAATTTATACAATACTTTCAGGCTAGTCGGGCACTGCCCGTAATATTTTCTGAGATATGAATACTGTTATCCCGAAACCCTATATATTGATTCCTGTTATCCTCCATACCGTTGCTAATTTTGGAAACTATTTTAATTAGAGATACTCCTTCAAATCCACATTTGATCCGGGATTCCCCCCTTAATTGTATTTCCGCTGAGAATTTTGAGCGAAATTTGAATCTTATTATTTTCCGAACAAAATTTTCAGCTCCAAAATATCTTGTGCCGCAGTCGCGACAATAATGTGAATAACCATATCATACGTTCATCAATGTTAGTTAATAAATAATTGTGGCGATTCCAATTTCCATTTCGTTATAATTCTTTAACGGATTAATTATCTACTCGCTATTTTTCGCCTTAATTGGTGTCTATGATGACAGAGTGCGGCGAGCTGGAGGACACCGGCAGCGTCGAAGTTCTTCAAGACCAGTCGCAAATGATGTTGCAGGAGGTGAGTCTGCACATGGTTGAACTAGTATAAGCTAGGTTGATAAACGAGAAGCTCAGCTTTGCGGATGTAGTTGTCGTTCGCCTGTGCCGTCACTGAGTTCAGAAACTCACATTATTCGTTTAGATTTTTTATCAACCGTGTACCAGCATCTGTCTTATTTGAACAGAAAATTTAGTGGTCTTGCTTGGATATACTTCCATAGATTTTTTGTTCCTTCATTTGAATTATTTGTCAACAAATTTCGGCTGCTGAATTTTTCCGTTAAAGCATCCTCTAATTTATTAATCACCATATCTTATCACGCAGTACGAGAAAGGGCGCCTGGGCGACAGCGCTGGTCAAGGCCGCTCCGGAAAGCTGTTGTTGCTGCTTGCGTCAGTAGCTCGAGTCACGCCGACTTCACTCCAGCGAATTTTCTTTGCCCAGGCGGTGGGCAACACCCCCATAGAGAGGGTCTTGAGTGACCTGTTCCGCAGTTCCGTGTGATTCAAGCCATCATCTCAGCCAAACGGAGAAAGTCCTGAGCTAAACCTCTTCCACAGCTCCGTGTGATTCAAGCTATCATCTCAGCAAACGGAGAAAGTCCTGAGCTAAACCTCTTCCACAGCTCCGTGTGATTCAAGCTATCATCTCAGCCGAACGAAGAAGTCCTGAGCTAAACCTCTTCCGCAGTTCCGTGTGATTCAAGCCATCATCTCACCCGAACGAAGAAAGTCCTGAGCTAAACTTCTTCCACAGCTCCATGTGATTCATGACTGGTTCTCTCCAAATCTTATAATGAACCTGCTCAACAGCTACGTGTTATTGAGGTCCACGTGAACTCGAGAAATTCGTTAGAAGCTCTCCAAAAGTTTCGTCGATTTCACAAAAGTGTCTCTGTTTTAATTCTTGGTAGCAATTCACGATTCATACAGGACCAAGATTGATAATAGCCTTATACGTGATTGATTCTGATCAAGTCAGTCGTCAAAGAAATAAATAGGATTCTTCAGTACTGCTTCACATGATATTGATGGATGAATTTACGTTTGAAAAGTTATTAAGCATTAGAAATGAACGAAATTTCAATTAATTCTCATCCATCTTTGTATAAATATGAGTTTCCGTGAAATCGCTATGAGTACAGTGAAGATTAGTTCACCATATGAGAGGTATTCTTGGTGCACGACTATGCTGTGCATTAGTTGTTTGAAGGTGCAATGGCGTACATCAATTGTATGCAAATAGTTATTTGAGTTAATTGCTCATCCGCTTATTCTTCGAAAAATGCCGGCCATCCAATATATGATTATTAATAAACGCACAATAACGTTATAGCTACGCTATATTACAATTGTCAACGTGAAACGAAAAGTAATGTTGGGGAATATTTTTATTGGCTTATGTGGTGCTGGCATACGCAATGTATTCAATTGCGAGAAAATTTATAGGGTAACATATGGGGTGGCGAGCCTGCTGCGGGTCATGGGCCCATAGCGGGTTTCTCGCAAAGTATTGCAGATATTGGTCCGTGTTCTCTACCGCCGGTCTACAGTTTCACTGGGATGAAGTGTACGGATTTACGTTTTGCTAAGTGTTTGCGTTATTAAGTTATTTGTGAATAACTGTTTTAGTCCAGATAAAAATTTTTTTGCTGCTAAATAAAATTTTTTGCGATTACTGTAGATGAAGCTGTTGAAATTACTGTGAATTATATTTTCAAAGTAATATTTATAGGGATAATTTTGAGATCAAGTTTAGACTATTAGCTTTTAAAATAAAGTGTTGACACGATCTCAATTGAAATGATACTTAGTGAGGCAACGGGCCCACGCGTGTCACGGGGCAAAGCGCCCATGGTGAAGTCGTGTGTTATACATCATTAGATTTGTCTCAATGACCTTTTCAAACTATGACTAGCTTTTTGAATTACAAATTACACTTCATATTGCATGATTTTTTTATTTGCCGCCTCAAGGCAGCAGGTTTAGTTTCTAAATAGGCGTATTTATGACCCCTTATCGAGTTATTGACTCTTGCCTTGCCAAAAATTTATTTCAGTCAACACCAATGAGCCAAAAGTTGATGAGTTTTTATGGTGTTGGCTGAAATCACGATTAGGTACGAATTCTCTGCACATAATATCTGGATTATGGACGAAACTGGAACGAAGTTTTTTTTTCTGATCAACTAAAATATATTTTTTCTAGTCAAGGATTCATTTTTTCATGTTTAGAACGAATTTTTTATCGCAAAGATATATTTTTCAAGTCAAGGATATATATTTTTATGTCAATGAAATATTTTTCTTCACGTCAGTGATAGATTTTTTAAGCCAAGAGTATATTTTTTTCAAGTTAAGTATATGATTTTTTTTGAGTTGTTAATAAATGAGTGAATGTCATTTTTTTTATTACATTTTCTTATTTTTAACTGTAAAGTGTTGTTTTTTTCATTTGTAAACGAAAAATATGCATTTGTGGTAAAGGAACCAAGTGTGTGCGCCTTGCCCCAAGCCCATGGGCCCGTTACCCCAGGGGTGGGGCAATGGGCCCATTTTGACACTTTTTACAAAATAGTGTTTCATTAAAAATTGAATAAACATATAGGCGTTTAATTCACATCATACATTCCTCATTAGTTGTACCTTTGAACAAATCAAAGAACCAACTCGTATCAATTAGAACTTCATCAAAAAATTTAGTTTAAAAAAGGGGGGGCGCTGCCCCATGTTGCCCTACGTCATTCATCTTTGAAAAACAGTAATTAATTGAACCTTCTAGCTTCCAGGGTGTACTCATACAACTGAGCGTTCCTTGAGGCTTTTGTACAGATAAGTAAACGTTGAACCATGTATCTGATAAATGTGTTTTTACTTACTAGGTTAAGCGTTTTGTGTGAAAACTGTACATATATCTCGGTAAATATATCGTCTAAAGCGGAGAACGTTCTTCGGAGATTCCTTGTCCTGCTATTCGCCAACAATGTAAAATGTACTAAATGGTACTGAAGGAAATTGTTTCGCCTCAGATTATAATGAGCTAATTGTTATTCATGAGAAAATGATGAATGCCAAGAGCGTCTGCAATGCCGTAAAACCACCTAGTCACTGAACGACAGTATCAATATGGCACATTAATTCAGTGCCAAATTAATGTGGAAGAACGCTTATAATGCAATGAAAGGAAAAAAGATGTTGGCTTTATTTGAAAGCACTCTTGCTTGCGGGCAAACACAGCTTTTGTAATGTTGCAACACAATTGAAATGTTTAGAAACATTTGCTCCCGGCGCGTCGTCGTGCAACAACCGCCGCGCATTGAGTCGCTCTCTGTTGCGCGAGACACATCGCCATCGGCAGAGGCAAGAAAGCTGGTGAGCTATAGGTCAATTTTCGATTCAAGTGAAAATTTGAATATGAATTTACAAATAATAATAATAATAATTGTGTAATTATAATCGACAACATCCTCTATAAGAAACGCCATCAAAGCCGTAATTTTAATATCGATGTTTTTGACTCAGGAGTTTTGCTTGGGTGTTGAAAGCAGAAGGGCATGCAAATATTATGATTCAGGATGTAAAAATAGTTGAGCAGAATTCAAAACCACTGTTGAGAAAGTACATAATTCATTCATACCACCAATTTCACGAGAGTAGGCATTTGAATATATCTAATTATGCTATCATATATTTTAGGCACGTATTCTGAAAAATTCTTATGCACGGATTTTCTGTTCAGACGAAAAATGCTGCTGGAGCGACTGCTCACGACTACTGCGTTGGTGACGCTGGTCGCAAGCACGAGTCTTGCTAATGTCGCTGTGGTGTCAACCCCTGTTTGGTTCAACGAAATGATGATAGAGAAAAATTGCACCTTCACAAAAGTTCTCTACAATGAAGGAAAATGTGACGTGGTGAGAAGTAGAAGTTAGTTTGCGATTTACAAGTCCGTGCATAATGCAATTCAAACATGAATATAATTCGTATATACAAACAATTTTTGCTAAGGAATTTTGGTCTGTTTTGCTTAATGCATATCTAACATAATGCTGGTGTATTTATTGCAGAGAATGTTCTTCAATGGAGAGTTTCCGTTCTACATGCAAGTTATTGGCTTGGGCTTGAACGAAAAACTGGAACCTGACACATCCGAGTTTGCAGACTCTGTAAGCGAGATTTTTGTCAATGATAACCTGTCATCCATTGTCAAAAGTTCTCTTACATTGGTTAAAATTTGTGAATTTATATTAAACTAAAAAATATCCGAGAAAAATATTGAGTCTGATTTTCAGATCTGCCGGTGTGGAGTTTTGGAGGTACGAGGTGCTTGCACGGCTCCCATGTTACGAGTGTTGTCAAGCCTCCGTAAGCAGTGCGGACCGGAAAACATCTACAGTCTGCCTGATTTGTCTTTAACCCTTCAACAATGGCTCGACCGTGAAAGGCCTCGCTATTATAAAACTGTCACTATTTCCAGACCTCGTGACCAGTTGGAAGAAGAATTTGAAATGGTTAGCAGCTCACTCGAAATTTTATCTCGTGAAATGATCACTGCAGCAACAACTGTAAAGCAAGAACTCCAAGAAGATCCAGACTACTATGATAAACAAGCTGGAAATTATTTTTAATCCTATTTGGAAAATTGTATCGGTTAGGCCTCCGCAATCCCAGAGTGGCGAAATTCAAAGCAGTTTTCTTGCTAACACAATTTTGCAGTTGCTAGAACTGAAGAAGAAATTTATTTAAGGCAATTAAGGGAACATATCACATTATTCACTGCCACTACTCAGTACTCACTAGGTACGTACTACGTACTACCTATGGTTAGTACGGTACTGGTAGGCAAGTTCGTAAGTAATCAGTAATCACTATCACATAGTATGCAGTACCGTAGGGCGTAGGACGTAGGTGTGAATGGTGTGATGATTTTATGATGTTTGGCTTTCCTTTTCCAATTTCCATTTACAATTACAGTGAATGAGTGATGATTCAGATTTACAAATTACAATTTACATAGATATTGAATATTATTATATTTTAAAGTTTGTTCTTCAATTGCAATTGATTTGTTTATATATCAATATAAAATTGTGGGAAATATTGTTTTGAAACTAATATTCAAATATAGCTATCTAGATAATTCAATGATTTGGCCTATGATCTAATTTTTAGTGACTTACTAACTTGATAAAAAATTTTAATTCTTATCTCATGCTTCTATCATATGATTTATCTACAGTAGTTCATTGACTTTGTTCCCAGAGTTTTTTTTAGAAAAGTTTATTAATTCGTGAATTATTTTATTAAATAGGCTAGGGTAAACGCAGTATATTCTGACATTGTGGGTAATATTAGGGTTTGAGACTTTTAAATAAGTCTGTGAATATATTAAGAATCTTTTAAGTTTAAGTATACTTGTATTTGCTGATTTCAAGTGGTAAATAAATTAATAGATTTTTAAGTCAAGAGAGCGTTTTAGACACATAAAAATTAATTACGAGTTTTTCTGACACAGCTTGAATTACACACACAGCTCATTCCGAGCTGTGTGCAAAAATTAAAATTTTCTTAATTAAAAGCTTAATAGCTCTTAATTAAAAGCCTAGCCTAATTAAGTAGTACCGTATTCAATATTCAATAGTGTTCTAATTTTGAGCTGTGTCGTATTCAAAATTCAAATACAGCTCACAAAGCAATCAGAATTTGAACACAAGAGGGTCGGAATTGCGAATTAGTAGAGTTTGAAGTGCGGCCGCAATTAGTCTCACAAAATGCCGAATTTAGTCACACACAGCGTCAGAATATATGGATTTGGTAGGTTTGCATTCTAAAGGCTTTTAAATAAATATGGCAACATTTTGTGACGTTTCATTGTTGCTGGGGCGTAGTGCGGTGTTTTGAGAGTGACATAAAGCAAACAGAACTCGAGTTGGGCATACAAGTATTTTTATATAGCCATTCATTTTTTGATACGTCCTTAATGTTTCGGAATATAGCATTACCGTACCGTCACTACCGTGTTTACCCTATCTATGACTATGAGTAATGAGCTAGTCTGGAAAAGTCCTATTTTTGTCTGAAATATCGCGGCTCTAATATCATATAATTTCATTAGGTATGAAATCTCGCGGCTCGAATGTCATGAATTTTTGTTTGATTAAAAAATCGCGGTTTGCACTTCGCAAATATGTCATTTCATAAAATTTTCAACTTCCGCAATCCGCATTGCTTTACCGTTTCCGCCAAAAATATCTTGCAGAAAAAACATAAACATCGTAATGTTAATGGGCGAAATGTGACCATCTAATGGCAGCCGTGACGGGGTAACATTGACCGGTTTGGAAATTAGGTTAAAATTACCATATATAAGACTCTGTAGAGTCTGAAACATAAAGAAAAAAACATTAATAGGTGTATTAAATATAAAATCTGTTATATAGGTACCTATGGTAATTTTAACTTAATTTCCAAGCCGGTCAATGTTACCCCGTCACGGCTGCCATTAGGTGGTCAAAGTTACCCCATTGGGAGGCAGTGCCCCCCATTTGCAAACTATGACACTTTTCTAAAATTTGTCTTTTGCATATGTAACTAGAAGAGTTCTACTACAATGCATCAAAACCTGGAGTTATTTTAACAAAAAATAAATGAATTGGAGGGGGTACTCCTACAGGCACGAAATAATAGCTCTTTTTTTGTGGGTCACATTTTCAATTTTTTAACCTATTAGATATGCAAACTTTTGAAATCTTTCTATTGTGTTACGTAGCCTCAGTATTAGGCCTTTGATGGCCATTGACAAAATTTTTCTATGTCAAATCGTTTTTGAATTTTGGGGTTTTTGTTAAAAAAACAAGAAGTGGTCAAAGTTACCCCGCCGGTCAAAGTAACCCCATTTTACGGTAGTCATGTTATTTGTTAGCTACTAATTCTTGATGTATGATCTGATCAACATTCAGCCAGATCATTCAAGATTTCAAGTCTTAAGTACACACATATATCATTATCAGTATTTATTTAATGATATTAGATCAAAAACATAAAACTAAATGTTTAATACATTTTTTACAAATTCACACACTACAGACTTCACAGTCACACTCTGAGAAGACACAGAGCTCAGTCAGCTCTTGTCTGCTGTTGTGAAACAGAGCAAAATAGCAATGCTGGAAAGCTTGGAATGTTGGGTCTGTCTTGAATATGTGGTACTGTAAAAGGTGGTTACTTTGACAATTTTTTTAAAATGCCATTTTTTACTAGCTAAATTAAACTTAAATTGAAATGTGCAAAATACAGGTCTATACTCTAAGGGGCGCCACCCCATAATGGGTAAATGTGACCACCTAATGGCAGCCCTGACAGGGTAATATTGACTGGCTTGGAAATTAAGTTAAAATTACCATATATAAGACTTTAGAGTCTGAAACATAAAGAAAAAACAATAATAGGTGTATCAAGCATAACATGTGTTATATATGGTACCCTAACTTAATTTCCAAGCCGGTCAATATTATCCCGTCAGGGCTGACATTAGGTGGTCAGAGTTCCCCCATTGGGGGACGGCATCCCCCATTTGCAAACTATGACATTTGCCTCAAATTTGTCATTTGCATATGTAACTAGAAGAGTTCTACTACAATGCACCAAAATATGGAGTTATTTTACCAAAAAAATAAAAAAATTTGAGGGGGTTCTATGACAGGCTTTAAATAATAGCTCTTTTTTGTGGGTCACATTTTTAATTTTTTAACCTATTAGATATGCAAACTTTTTTAATATTTCTATTGTGTTACGTAGCCTCAGTATTAGGCCTTTAATGCCCATTGACAAAATTTTTCTATGTCAAATAGTTTTTGAGTTTTGGGGGTTTTTATTAAAAAAACTAAAAGTGGTCAAAGTTACCTAGGGAGTCAAAGTAACCCCCTTTTACGGTATATAATTTCTAGAAATTTACCCCAAAGGAATTACACTAAATCTGCAACTTCACTGCAAGTCATTGTCTTGTTGATGAATATAGTTTAGAATCATAATCATAAGCCTATGAACTTCATAAGTTCATACATCATAGGCTTTTTTTGCCGACTTCAAAAAATAAGCTATCCCTACTCCCTAAAAATAAACTATGCTTTAAAAAATTTTCATTTTCATATTTGCGGCCTCAAATACACTGTTAATAGTAGAGATAGCTAACTGTAGAGATTATCCATCTGGGTACAAGGCTCAAATGTTGCAAATATATCCCAATATGATCATAATGGTAAATGGTATTGGTAATTAATGGCCCAAGCTACATTTGCCTTCAACTTTTTTTGACAAAATTATGCATGAAGAAATATGTACTAGTGAATCTATATAATTTAAATGAGTTTGATTGAATATCATGGAATGGATTTTACTAATAGGTAATTTTCTGGTTGATTGGAATATGGTAACAAAACTAATTTTCTTATCTTAATCTAATTGTATAAACAATAAATTCTGACATCCTACACCTATACAAAAGAGGCACTTAGAGACAAATGCATTAGCAAGATATTTTAATAAAGTAAAAATAAATGCTGGTTCAGTGGAAAAGATTTTTTAAAATCTACTTATTTTCTTTACCATGGCTCCAAAGTCAAATGCAAATGATCCAAAACTAAATGGTGGCCATTTTTGTACAACAGGTAAGAAGGGACACCCCCTTGGGGTAATACAAGACACCCCTAAAAACACATTTACAGTAGAACCTTGGTTAACAAAGGCTTGAGTAAAAAAAAAATCTATTAACAACAAAGAATTTTAATTACATTTATCTTGCTCAGTGGAAAAAATTTCACTTGATAAAAATTGATGCATCATAGTTTAGAACAAAATTGTGCATAGAATCTCATAGATAGAATTGTGCACCAGGCAACATAGAATGAAAAGTAATTAATTTAAACTATGGTTTATTTCTCCAAAAATATGATGGTTGATGTACTCTCTTTGTGTTATAGTGAATTCAATTGACCCAATAAAATGGTGCAAAATTACAGGCCCAGTCCTGTATGCTCACAGATACAGAAGAAACGCTAGTACATGGCTGCTGATATGGAGCTTGCAGTGGACAAGGTTGTTGTCAGTGCTCAATGGCATGTCCATGGATATGGTAATATCACATCAGTAATATTGTAATGTATGGATATTGTGATATCATATCAATAAAGGGCAAACAAGTGCCCAGTATAAATCACAAAAATTTCATTTGTTTTACATCTACATCATCTGCAAAGGAAGAGGAGGACTTTGGAGTACATACTGTTAGTAATGGACGAGTACACTCAGCATGCTTCAAATATTCTAAAATTAAGTTTCATTCCAAGTGTCCCAAATTACCCCTTTCCAGGTAATCCAGGGTGTTTTCTGTATAACCTAACCTTACCAATAGCATATGGATTTTTTTCTTGGAAGCCATATGATAGACCTCACTAAAACCTCTAAAATGAGCACAAAATTGTTTATAAAATGTTTCATGGTAAGAAGTTATCAACAAAAACTGCTCAAAATTGTCCCTTACTACCCCGTTTGATGATCTACGTAACTCCTTACACATCGCAAATAGTAGTTAGCAACAATTGCCGAATTAAATGTTATGTGCTGATAAATGTTATTTTTGAAAATTTTCAATCACTTGCTTCATTTATGTTGAACAATTTGCTCTCATTTTATAATTTTCTTCCAATTTTGCAGAAACTTAATTAGTCATGGGACCATAAATCAACTGGCCATGCTGGCACAGCCTCTCATGTCTTTGCTGTTCCTGCATGTTTTTCTATTCATAATTTTCAACTCTTTATTTCCCTCCTTGGCTTTGAGTATTGACATACCTAAAGCATCCAAATTCAGTAACCCTTCAAATGATGCATCAAGTAAAGAAGATTCTCAATCTGGCAAATGTTTGGAGGGACAGCCTCCCGTGCCTGACACATGGAACCTTTTTGGGATCCCTGGGGATGGATATTATATTGCTGCTCAAATTGGTACTCCTCCACAGCAGGTGAGTTTTATATACTGTCTTTTACTTCAATGATTTAGTGGAGTTGTTTATTTAATGGCTGCTCAATTCATTTGTGAATTTTATAATTATAATATAATTTTTATAATTATTTTATTAATTATAACTTTGGATTTATTTGTCTTTTTTTATTGCCATTTTTGACCGGCCCATTTTGTCTTCTGTGATGCAGATGAACATGCTTGTTTTATTTGAGCTGTTTATGTAAGGGCTGGTTGATTTATTTGTGAATTCAATATTAATTAATTGATCTCTTTTCATAGTTTTGAGCATATTTTTGAGGTCTTCCCTGAACCAGATGAACTGGGTTCTTCTGTTTGAGCTGCTTTTTAGGTTAGCTGCTTGATTAATTTGAGAATTTTATATGGAAAAATGGATTTAATTTCTTATTTTATATACAATATTTGATGTTTTCTGTACTGCAGATGAACCTGGTTGTTGACACGGGAAGTAGCAACTTGGCTGTAGCTGGAGCCAACAGCTCTGAACTGGACTCTTTCTTCAAGCCACACGCTTCATCTTCATTTGTTTTTATAAATGATTCTCACTTGAAAGTTTCTTACTCACAGGTCAGATACATAAATATCTCCTAGTGCATTAGAATTGGATTCTATTTTGTATATTTGAATGTAGTGAAAATAAAATAATAAAATGAAATCATGGAAGATTTCAAGGCCCATAGCATTTGTCTTGGAAACATGTTCCTCATGAAATTAAAATTGCTGACAGCTGATGCAAAAATTTGTTCCTGAATATACATGCCTTAAGTGTTTTGTTAAAGATCAAATAAATTTGTATATATACTCCAATTAATTTTTTATGAATGACTTTATCATACAAGTTCCTAAATATAAATCATTTGTAAATGTGTACTGCTGTTTCTGTGCAGGGCTGGTGGGCAGGGTCATTAGGCACGGACTTGGTGGAAGTTCCTGGCCTTCGCTGCTCATTCAAAACTCGCTCGTTCGTTGCACTCATCACTCAGTCACAAGGCTTTTATGTGAATGGTTCACACTGGCAGGTTAGTATGTTTCTCCTGAGAACATTAGTCTCCTATTCCTGAGCTCAATGTTTGTTAGCCAAGATGAAATTGAATTAAATTTTCTAGTGTCTCTTGTAGTATAGTTAATTTTAAATATGTGCCATATTAACAGATCTGACTTGATTTAAGTGGAACCAGTTTTGTACATTTGTGGAGGACTTTGTATATGTTTAATTTGGTATCAATACATTGTTTTTCTACTTATTCGGCAGGGGATACTAGGTTTAGCTTTTCCGGAATTGGCTCAACCAAACCGAACTGTGACACCTTGGTTTGATTCAGTGTTGTCTTCTACAAAGAGCCTTAATTCTGCCACAAGCATTCTACTGTCACCTGAGAAGAATTCGAGTCTCACACGGCAATCAACATCATCCAATGATGGACTTGACCTTGAAGAGTTTATTAGACAAGTAAAAATAGATAAATATAAAAAATCGTTGAAATATTCTGATAATGAAGACATAATTGATAAATTATTTGATAATGAAAGCGCCGTTCAAAGTAGTGCAGTGTCTGTGAGGCCTCACCATGACGCATTAAGAGAAAAGCGTGCCAAAATACACTCATCCAGTGCCATGATGCCGAGTCATACAGTACAACTAGACAATAGACGTAGAAGCAGTAGCGTAGAATTTCGAAATTCACGTCGTGAGAGCAATGAAACTGTGATTCAGAGAGTAGGTATGTTATTAGAGGATATGCTGAGTAGTATAAATGACGTACCGCGTAATCTATCTGTGATAATGGACGTGCCAGCAGAGTCTGGCCCAGAACCACTTGTTGAGTATTCAACGGCCAAAAACTCTGGTTTATACCTAATTCCAGAGACGATGGTCGACCTCCTATCTACCGACAATCTTTCTGAAACTCTCAATGTCTCTAATGTAGAGCTTTATACGACAAACCAATCTAACTTATTTGAAAATGTGCGTAGTGCAATGGAGAATGATTCGTTGCAAATGACGCATTTAGATGCCATTAAAACAAATAGAGATTTGCCTGTCAGTCAAGTACAAAAGCGTGATATTGGGAACTACAGTGTTCTCGAGAACTGGATAAACTTGGAGCAAAATATAAATGAAGATACTTCCTTAAAATTATCATCTGATTCATCTCGCAATCTAAGAAATACTGTCTTGAATTCCAGTGTCAAGGTGGAAAATTTTGTGGAAAAGAAAAGTGCTGAGAGTATGGATTCACATGCTCCAGATATTCATTCAAGTTCCAGTATTTCTAAACCTAGACAAAAGGAAATGCCTTCACAAGAGAAGAAGGAACACATTTCAGAAAACATTAATTTATCTGAGAGTTTCACACTTGAGCTCTGCGGGCCGTGGTCGTCGACCTTGCACGACACACACAAAGGAAGGTTGACTGTCGGTGAGTTGAAATTTGTTTTGCTTAATTTACACAGCCTGTTTGACTTGGATTTTATTTTAATTTTGTTTAATTACTGCATCTGAAAACTTGTGACTTAAGCTTTAGAAATCATTGCTTTAGGTGCTTATACACGGGCCATTAGTTGCATCTACTATAGTTTTGCAGGTTGAGAGCCTATACACGAGTATAGTGTTAACGGTACACTACTCTCGCGTCAGTGCGACGTAAGGAGTTGTCGAGTAAGGGTGTGCACGGTGGAGGCGTGCGAGAATTCGGCAGCAGTGCGCGCTACAGTGGGCGAGAGAGAGAGAGAGAGCGACGCAACTGGGCTCCATATGACGGCCGGTCCGCTACTGAGCGCAATGACTGCTTCAAAGGAACTCTAGGTGTTTTGCGTGCAATGAACCAGCTAGTTGCCTCTGAACACGTCAAGCATCACAAATTTTAATTGCATCGCCTAGTAGACGCAACTAATCGCCCCGTGTATAAGCACCTTTATCTTCACGCCTAGTGACAGTGCATGATTACAAAATTTCCATCATTACAGTTATTCAAAGCAAAGCTGATTAAGTTTCAAGGATTACAGATGATAAGTGACTTGTCTTTTAAGCATGCATGCTCCGTAATGTGCTTAGAGAAAAAATATCACTCATTGCTGGGCATTGTGTATGCATTGCAACGTGAGAAAATTATATGATTATTATGTGCAAATCATAATTAGGTTACTTGTGCAAATGGAAACGCTTTGAATTTCCCATTTATTAGTTTAAATTTGATGCTTGAATTTTTTGCACTTAAGTGATGATCAATACGAAGTGTTGCTTCAGCTGATGATGACTTGATACCGGTACTTCTGGATGAGGCTCTGTACATTGAGCACTTATACTGTGTTCCAACGCGCAAGCGATTGCAACGCTGAATAATGGTTTCAACACTCTGCACTCAACAACAGTTTTTCTGATAAAATGCTTTACTATATTAGTAACATTGAAAGCAGTAAAACCTAATGTTTTGTTACACTCGCCTCCAACTCGGACCTTAACAGTTTATAAACCGTTTTAATTCTGCCTCAACTCAAATTTAAGTGACGTTATAACCGTCATAAAGGTACAGGTGACGGTTGTTGTGTTGTTGTAATTGCTCATCCTGGTAGTGGCGACTACGGAAGGGGGGGTGCTAGGTCAGTTTTTTCCGGGCACTTGGTGCCACTAGTAGTTCTACAACCATCACTGGCTCGCTGACCCGCCAGAACCATTTTATTGCACTTCTACAGGTGACGGTAGCCACTGCAGTGCAGGCGTGGTGCACAAGACTCCCATCCTGGCGCCCTGGTACTACGAGGTCGCGGTCACGAGTATGTCGGTGGCAGGCGCGCTGCTCTCGCTACCTTGCCTTGCCTACAACCATCACGCCAGCATCGTGGATTCTGGCACCACCAAACTTAAGCTGCCTCAAGTCGTGGGTATCTTTTGGCTACCTCATAGCATCTTTTGCCTCCTTCATCATTGTATCATTTAACTTTGTGAGTGTAACGTTTGCTTTACAAAGACACCTATTTTCTTTGTAAGATAGAGGATATGTGCATATTCTCGTTGCATGTTCATATTCTCGTTAATAAATTCTTCACACACATATGCTACGTAAGCTGTAGACTCGCTCGTTGCTGATGTTCTCTTCAACATTCCCTGCCAGGCGTTCGATGCGGTGGTGTCTGCACTGGAGGCCGCCACCGCAGGCCTTGTGGACGCTGGTCTGCCTGAGAACTTCTGGAGAGGCGATGGCCATGTTTGTTGGACCGACGCACATATTGTATGTATGAGAGGCTTTTGCATTTACAGTGTAATGGGTGTAATTTTGTCATACTTGAGCAAAGCCGACGGTTTTCCGTGTAAAGAATTTTTTAGGAATAATATAATTACTGTTGTGCTGAAGTTCAGGTACTTTTGCAGGCGTGGTCTTTGTTGCCTACTCTGAGCATCGGCATAGCGTCCAGCAACAGCTCGAGTTTCAGCATCGAGCTCGGACCTCGCTCTTATCTACGACCTTATGATGTAACTACCCCTGCTGGTGGTGCTGCATCTGCTGGGGATGCATATGCTGGTGGTGCATCTGGTACTGTGCCTGATACTGTTGCGTCTGATGCGACTACACCCAATAAGTTTACCTCATCTGCCATGCCAGCTGAAGCACCGACTCTTGCCATTCCTTCATCTCGTGTTGCCACTTCGAAACTTTATGAAATTCACAAGCTTGCTGCTAATGCCGCAATAAATCTGGATGTGGATGAGCTTTCAAAGTCGAAGAAATCGTCAACCCTCGAAATTCTTACTGAAGACTTGAAAAAATCTATGGATACTGATGGCCATGAAAGTCTTACATCAACTGAGACGCACGGCGATAGTCCAAACGACAACGAGGAGCATTTACGAGGGAGAGTTGAGACGTCTATGGCAGCTGGCGCTGATGGTATCGATTCTCACCGCCTCGTACCATTTCAGGATTACCTTGCCAATGACGTGCTCCGTGAAAATAACCACATTGCTCGAGCGGAAATCACGGGAGTAAATTATTCGAGCGATGACGTACTTGTACAGAATCATAGTATACAATTGCCTGATACCAATCTTGATTCCTTACCAAGCAGTACATTTGGGTCTCTTAACGAGACGCAAAAAGAAAAATCACAAGATAATCTGACAAGAATTTTGCCGTCTGAATTTCCTCCTGCGAAAATTGATGCTCTCGCTGCTGGTGTAGCGGAACCTGCTTCAAATGTGCCATGCTGGTCTTCGGGCCTGGAACTCTCCAACATGGGTACGGTGTTGGGGGTCGTAGTTCTTGAGGGTCTTTGTGTACGTTTCGACCGTGGTGCCGGAGTGGTATCATTTAGTGAAGGATCATGTGGGCCACGCGTTGCTATTTCAGGGCCCTACCCCAGACTCGAAGCTGAGGTTTGTGCTTCACCACATCGTGGTGCTCCTGACACGGGCAGTGCTGGCACTGTAGTACTGGCGGCACTACTCGCCGTGCTTTGCTGCCCCCTGGCCGTTTATGGACTGCGTGCGGCCTGGAGGATGTCCAGGCACCGCTTCCAACTTTTTCACCAAGCCGAGACTACTTTCATGTCGCTTGACGAGTCGACGAGTCTCGCCTGATGAAAACACCTCGCACCGACAGCACCCCAATTTACTCGAGTTTTGACTCATGGTCTGCGAGTCTCTCATGTTGGTTACTGATGAGATTTTTACTTCGAGTCTTTATTTGAGGCGCGTATTTTGTTCTGCATTGTTCCTAGTTTAAGTCCGTCTATGAATCTCACAACTTACGTATAAGGGTTTCCTCTTGAGTATTCACACGAAACTCGAATTTTGTCTTTGTCCGAGTCATGCATTTCGATCAGCGATGACTCAACTTTGCTTACAAAATAATTTCACTGAATTTATATTGCGCGGGACGAAAGTAAAAAAAAACATATGTTTTATTGCGAACGTGAAAAAACTTATGTTATAGGTCAGAAAACATGACAACTGCTCTCATTTTTTACTTTGATATGATGTTGCCTAAGAATATTTTGTTACCTCTTTACAAAGCTGAGATTTTTTACAAAGATCCTGTTGTTGTTTGGTCACATTACTATGTTAAGCGTCATGATAATTGGAATTTGATTTAAATTTTATTATATATTATCCCATAAACGTTGGAGACTTAATGATCTTTCATCACGTCTACCTCTCAATGCCATTCATTCTATTTTTTATGAATACTTTGTACGTCCTTTTTTTGTAAAAGTTACCTAATACTTCGCGGAATAGTTTCTTACGTTACACGTGTTCTGATTTATTTTAGCGGGTGATTAAAGGTTCTAAGCTTTTATCTTGTTCGGTCACAAATTGTAATGGAATCAGCAGCAGAAATTGGTCCACTTCGTTCTGTTCAATATCGTGTCTCGGTGGGCCGGACGCTGTCACGTCAAGCTGGCTTACCACTTCATCGACCAGGTGCCGTGCTATCAAAAATGGATAAGAGCACGGAACTCTGTCAGCAAATCACGTACGGCTTTTCAAACTAAACTTGCCAATCATGGACGATAAAATGGTCGCTACGTGTACTTGAGAAAGTTTTGAGTGTACGTCCTCTGATCAAGCAGCAGCTGTTGGGGCTGCATTTACTGGTAGGTTTCGACCTCCAAGTCCTGGCAATCAAGTATGAAATATGTGCCACTGTTAGGATCTTATTTCTTTATTGTATTGATTCCTGCTGCTGTCGTCTCACTTATGTCGTAAATTATGACACTACAGCTGACCCAATGCTGGGTGTTTTTAAACACACGTCGTCATCTTTAGTCATTAGTTATCTTGACGTCACTTTTAACTTCAGTTCATTGTTTCCTTATGTCGGTAGTTGTAAAGGAAGTTTTTATCTTCTCAAATAGTTGAACCAACTTGTACGCAACTTGTTTAACGTAGTTACATGTGCGTATGTGATATAATTTAGCTTTATGTTGTTATCTTATTGTTTTATTGAATGGAAAGTATTATATTGCTGCGTGTGCTTCTGTGTGCCCACCAACTTTTTGTGACACCAGATCCTCTGAAGATATTTCCACTATAATTAGTCTTACGACCTGCTGGATGGCTGCAATTTTTTTTTTCATTTCACCAAATTCAAGAAAATCGGTTTATTGTCCCACGACCTGTAGGATTACTTCAAAGATTAGAGATTGCGGACCTAATTCAATGAAAAATGTTGACCGGGTTCTCAATATCGATGCTGCAAATTGCTTTAATATTTCAGCCCTCGAGTGAAGTGCCTCTCAGTTATTCCTCATTCGTACGGTATGTACTCATCTGGTCAGCCCTTCCATGCAGCGCCCAAGCGCCCAACAATTAGAACATGGAGGTGCATTAACAATAATTATTGCTCGTTTGTTTTAAGGCATGATTCTCTGCTATTCTTTCATGCACATTTGAATTATGCATGTGACATCCGAAATGTTTGCGTTATGAAAGCCCCCGTAATGGGACCAGTTGAATCACATGGAGACGTTTTGTTATCAAGCTTATCAGCTGTGTCGCTTGCAGCTTTGGTTATGCCTAGATATGTACGTACAGGTACATCCTACTGCGTGCATTTTCAGATTAATGCATAAATAATAACACCATTTGTTCGCGTATATTAACTTGGAACCGTCGGTGTTAACTGCAAATCCTTGGTTGTGCTAATTGTAAGAATATATCCGTAATTTGTGCTAACTACCCTTAATTGCCCATTATCCATTCCGGCATTTGTGATGCTTTACGTGTAATAGCTCGTGTAATTATTTTAAGTTCTACGTTGCCACAATTTGTTGTGTTTCTGCATTATTGCGTTCGCTCGTCTCAAATTTTGCGAGTTGTATTTTATATATTTCAGTTCCCCGTTGCGTTCTCGCTTATGCCATGTTATCTCAAATGCTGTTGTTTCCTTTATTTAATATTGTTTTTTTTTGTTATTAATTGTCGCACGCTCCCGCTACACTAACTTCTAGTCTCCAAACCGTTGTTACTTGTTAAAAGAACCGTTTATGCTTTACAGCTTCACTTCGCATAATATATGCAACATTGAACTTCTATTGTACAGTAACGCGCTTACCAATGCGTCAGTTTGGTGAAGAAACTCTTGCTTGTTCTTTTGGTTTATGTTGTCGGGTGACCGGTTTAGCTTTGCCGTACACAATCATGTAGACTCTCACCATATATTTAGCAATGTGAAGTCAAACGACGAAGAAACTGCTCGCTCTCTAATATTCCTTGCCATGCTTCAGGTGCGCTAAGAACATAAAAAATTTGAGCTTGACGTGCGTGTTGCAGCTATGGAGCCTGGGTAGCCAAAACTGTCTGACCGTTGACCACTTTCTGGTAGTCCTAATTTCCCTTCGACGTCCGTCATAAATATAACAATGATGACAAATTGGCAGGTGTTGTTATGCTTGAAGTTATATTTTATCGCGTCGAAATTTTTTTATGATAGTACCATTCTCAAGTTTACTATAATTCTCACAGTCCAGTTCGTTATCATACTAAAATAATAACTGCCAACCATCAGTCATATTGGCCAATGATAAGCCGACCAAGATTTAAATTTTATTCTTCTTAGAAATATTCTTTCATTCTTCTTCATTCCTAGAAATATTCGTGAACAAAGGTTGTGTTCTCGAGGCGGATTATCTACGTTGTGCTTGCTGTTAACGTTGTTCTGTTCTCGATTTTTTTTACATTGAGTAAGTCGGTCACTCAATAAAAGAGTTGTTCAACCTTGGCCTTTTTATTTACTTTTAATTGATTTTACTTCAAGCTTTATATACGGGCTTTTTTGATGGAAGTGCCGGCACGCTTTCGGTCTGGAAAGTGTAATTCAGGGTAATTTAAATTCGAATTACCGACTGAGGTGTGAATTCTTTGACAGGTTTCGCGTTTGAAACTCGCTAAAACAGAGACGAAATTTTGATGTAAGTACATTGCGTGGCTGAGAAAATGTGAGCAGCACCTTTTGTGTTTGAGCACTGATATTGCAACTGTTTACTATATAAATTGATGGGAAAGTGGTATCACTACACGTGAGTGCCACACCGTATAGCACTTGAGGCTCTGCATTGAAAAGGTATGGAAGTTCGAACACCAACGCGTTGTATGAGAGTTGTTTAATAATTACAAGCTTGGCTCCAGGTACATTGTTGCGATTATAAAATCGAAGCCTACTCATTTATTATCCCCATGATATTATTGAGATCATTACTCAGAGGTATTACCGTACTTGTGACCTCAGTTCTGCACTATATGGCCTTACCTATCAGCCTGTCTCTATATGTGCTATCTAATAGGAACTATGAGAACTCAGTACCAGGATGCTATACTATATACAACCATACGATGTTATACTAAAATTTAAAATTGTTCGGCAAACCGAAATAAATATATAAATAAATAAAAATAAGATCCTTGTGACAGACCTTCCAAAAGTCGAAATTAATTCAAAAATTTCTGAAAAGAATCGTCGGCTCGGTAACCATTTCTACTTAAAAAACCTACTTGTGATTGCGTGACAGCTGCGACCAAATTCGCATAGGTTTAAGTTGAGCAAATTGACCTAAAATTTGAATATGAACTAAATTTACCTCGCACCGATGGCGAGATTTGACTTTTCTTGAAGTTGTTGGTGCATTTCGGTTTATTGTTCCAGTCCAGTTGAATCAGAAGTTTCCGTGCAAACGGCAGGTAATATTTGAACCTCACTCAAATCGGTCATGCTGCTAACTATTCGTTGAGTATGGTTCAACTTTCTAACTTAAAAAAAAAAACGGTAATTCGTGGGTTATTTGTTACAGAAAAGACATTTGCTTAAGAGCAAGTCAAGAATCCTGCAACAATTTAATTCCAAATGAGTTTTCTTCTCTCTGTGTTCGTAAGACTCATCGAGGAAACTTTTTGTGAACTCAAAAGAATACCTGAAATTAATTAGCTGCACAAATTATCTAAATTCACGTAACATTGCGACCTCATGACCTGATCAAAAATGTGTTATTTTGTCAGGCGCTCCTTTTGACGTAGTGCTGTTGGCGGTCGCCTCATCAGCTTCTCTGGCAAAGGCAAGGAACACTTGTTCCAGTGATGGATCAGTGGCAGCGTAGTCTTCCACCAGTGACATGTTCTCTGCGCCGTCTCCGTTCTTTAGTCGCTCCATGACGCTGAGGAGATGAGCCCAAGTTACGTCTGGCGTTACCATGTACGACAACATACCCTGCAAGAAGTAAACAGTTTTTTTACGTACACGTCGCAGTGATATATGGTTTCTAGCAAATAACACACGACTCGAACACACGACTTTCTGCTCCAATCTTGCAGTGCTTAACCGCCTCCTCCGTTCGCCTATTTTAACCAAAATGGTCACAGAAAGATGGGATCAACTCCACAACTCAATGTCCCAATCCTGGTAGTCTGAAATTTAACCCCTCTGCCTCGGCACTAAAGAAGCAGCGAAAAAAGCAGGGAGTTCGCAGATGACGTGAAAATTGTGCTGTATGAGATAAAAATATAAGTATATGAAAAATAGTAAAATAAAGCGTAATAAACGCACGCGGTGCTGATCCGTTAAGACTGAGCCCGGGAACTCTCGGTCGATGACGGCCATGAGGCGGCGTAGCGCGGCGCTGAACGCCTCCTCAGTGAGACGCTCGTCGCCGGGGCTGAGCTTCACCTGCAGGCTGTAGCCCTGACTGAACTGTGGGGCCATCGGGGGTATTAAAAGAATATGCCAAGCAATATTATTGAGAGGACATTGATAGTGAAATGATGATATACACGTGGAAAATTACCAATAAATTGTGTACTCACAGTATCTGTTATTAATTAGGCACTTGAGCCTATGAGTTGAATTTAAGATTCCTGGTCGAGCTGTGGCACGTGCAAAATGTAACGGGGCGCGAGAATATTCCGTATAGTTTTCATGTATATCTACAAATCTAATGCACTTAGCCTCGAACACATCTGAAAATTTTATACAAAGGGAGAACTAGCCAACAAAAAAATATTGTTCTGCCTACTGTGAACCATTCGAAACATCGAAACTATCACTCGTTAACATGATCCTTATTTTGAACCAGTAGCAGAAGTGAATATCTGAATAAATAATCCAATCGAATTAGCACAACTGAAGAAGTTCAAAATGAGTCAAACTAATTAATTATACATGAACAAATATGTATTAAAAATATTCGAGACCTTGGCCTTGAGGTGCGCTGGGGTGCCGGCGCAGCGCAGTTGTCCGCGCACCAGGATCACGAGTCTGGAGCAGAGCGCCTCGCATTCGTCCATCGAGTGCGAGGTTAGGATGATGGACTGGCCGCGCGACCGCGCCGTGCGGATAGCCGACCACACCCGACGACGGGATGCGGGGTCCACACCTGCGACCCATGTTAAGAGTGATGGTGAGTCATGGGAAGGTAGTGAAAACTACGGTGATAGTGAAACCTACGATGATAGTGAGACTCACGATGATAGTGAGACTCACGATGATAGTGAGACTCACGATGATAGTGAAACTCACGAGGTAAGTGAAACTTACAATGATAGTGATACGATGAAAATGAAACCTACGATGATAGAGAGACTACGATGAAAGCGAAACTCACGATGAAAGTGAAACTTACAATGATAGCGAGATCAACGATGATAATGAGACGTACAATAATAATGGAACCAACGATGACAGTGAATTTTACGATTGAGTCATGGAGCAACAGTGTTGAGCAATGAGCATGGTTTATGTTGCACTATTTTTCAATATTGAATAGATTTACGGCACCATGCATTAGCATTAGCATTTCTGAAATTCTGGTTCCCGTATTGTTTGAGGACTCTTTGAAATCAATAAAATTATTTTGTCGCACGTGATTGGGACAAAACTAATTGTCTATATAAACGTGACTAACTTATAAAGTAATTTTGACGAATCATGGCTGTACGGAATTATGTTCGACTTCTTACAGAGATTCTTGTGCTAAGAATATGACAGGCTGACCTGTTGTAGGCTCGTCTAGGAAGACTAAGGAAGGACCTCCGACCAGCGCCATGGCTGTGCTGAGCTTTCGTTTGTTGCCACCAGAATACGTGGAAGTTTGACGTTTGTGACACTCAGTGAGGTCCACTAATTCAACAAATTCTTCTATCATCAGTTTACGTGCGGCCTGTGGAACGCCCCGTAAGCCAGCCATCAGATCTAGCATTTCATCTCCAGTCAGCTCATCCAAGATGGCGTCGAACTGAGGGCAGTAGCCTATCTCGCGTACGAACTGGAATAATGAATGGCAGAAATATTAAAACCATGCAGATGAAGAAACTCAAATCGAAACTATTATTCGTACCAATAATATTGTTTTCATAAAGGATGCGACCATGAAAAATTCAGTATTAAATGAGCTTCACCTTTCTTCTCCCAGCGGAGAGAAAATATTTGCCAATTCTTGCGTCGCCAGCCGTTGGAGTTTCATCTCCTGTTAGCATCCTGAAGGTTGTAGTTTTTCCAGCCCCGTTGACGCCCAAAAGTCCAAAACATTCGCCCACGTTCACTTTGAAGCTGATGTTGTTGACGGCCGTGAGACCAACGGCGGGAAATACTTTCGTCAGACCGCGCACGACCAACGACGCGTCTGGATTTTCATCTTCCATATATAAGAAAAAAATGATTAAGTCATTAACCAATCTGGATGCTGGAAAAACTCTGTACCGTGTTCTTAAAATAAAGATTATGTCACAAAACCTGCTACCTGCATCCAATGGCGACAGAAACTAACGAGTTACCTACTCGTAAACGCTTTTTCCGGCATGTTCCTAGGCTCGTAGCTCTCATGAGGGATCGGCCTTCATGTCACTAGAGGCTCGTAGCTCTCATGAGGGATCGGCCCTCATGGTACTAGAGGCTCGTAGCTCTCATGAGAGATCGGCCATCGTGTCTCTAGAGGCTCGTAGCTCTCATGAGGGATCGGCCCTCATGGCACTAGAGGCTCGTAGCTCTCATGAGGGATCGGCCCTCATGGCACTAAAGGCTCGTAGCTCTCATGAGGGATCGGCCCTCATGGCACTAAAGGCTCGTAGCTCTCATAAGGGATCGGCCCTCATGGCACTAGAGGCTCATAAATCTCACGAGGGATTCGCCCTCATGTCATTAATGGCTCGTAGTTCTCATGAGGGATCGGATCTAAAGTCCCCAGAGACGGTTACCTCTCATGAGGACTTCGACCCTCGAGGACTTCGACAGAGACGCGTACCTCTCATTAGGGCTTCAGCAAGTCGAGCCTCTTCCATGACGTCTTCATCCTCAGGCACCACGTACATCCAGCCCTGCTTCGGCTTGCGGATTGCGCGCCAGAGCTTTGCCCAATAGGTACTGGCGATGTTGGTGATAGATGAGTCGGAGTAATGTCAGCATTATTATTACCTGCATAACTAATCTAGGAATTCAATGTGAAAACTTATGGGTAAATACATTGAAGTAGAATTTAATTATTGAAGAGAAAATCAGAATTGGTGGCAATAGTTATTAAAGTATCATTCAGCCCATGATGAAATATGCATAAGGACTGGAAATATCACAACCAAAATTTTTTATACCTGATCTTATCTCCGATTCCGATCTCAATGAGAGCGATAATGATTATGAAGATGATGCCGTCGGCAGCGAGCCATGTGAGTGCCTTGCCCATGCCAGGCGCTTCCCACTGAAGGTACGACAACGGCTGGAAGCAGACGCGGTCGCCCGGCAGCTGGTCACACATGGCTGTTGGTCACGTAAGTTAGGATAAAACGCGTTAAACTGACGGCTATCAACGAAAGGTTTAGCTCGAACCTACAATGCGGGAACTGCTGTTATGGAGATGCATTCATGAATGCTTTTCGCTGATTTTGATTTTGAGATATTTGAAATTGATTGGAAAATTTAGCTCGCATAGCCGGGAAGTAGATTGATTGCTGTTCATCTGACTCGGCTATCTTCTATTTGCTGCATGCTTTTAATTAACTTGCTAAGGAAACTTAACTTATATTTTACGATACAAATTCACAAAAATATGGTTTTTCTTTGTGTAAAAGTACTTCTTTCACCTCATGGCTCTCGATCACATATGTATTAAGGTCTTTAGCTCCATCCAAATCCAAAAAACTACGGTACTCAATCTAAGATTGTTTCCAGTGATTAAGTTTAAATAACTTTTTTCCCTTACGACAACACGGCAGGAAGAGCGACGTCGGGTCGACGAAGATGAGTTTCTTGCAGAGCTCATCCACGAGGCTGGGGTCTACAATGTCGCACTGAGTGTTGTACGAGCTCATCTGCACCAGGTTCAGGAACCCCTTCAAGAGACACAAGCAACTTCTGATGAAAATGAGTCTGGGTTCATCTCGTATCGACTAAACAACTGAGGATAGCTGCCTGTTTACTATTTTACTATGTTAAGTTCAATGATTGTGAAATTGATTATTCAATTAGAGGCATAATAATAGCTGACAATTTATTAGAAAAGTTATGGGGTTAAATTTTATTGCGATAATAACTGATCTCTGTACAACGTCTAGATTAACTTAAAAATAATTATTGTTTGATTTTGAAATATTGATATCAATCAATGGCCCGTATGCTAGGCACTAGCACTACGTAGTGCTAGCGCACTAGCATTACGAAGTAGCACTACGCACTTACAAGCCGTAGTGCCTACTAGTGCGACATGGAACACTACGGTTGGCATACTAAATAGGGTACTAGCACTATGAAGTAGCACTACGCACTACAAGCCATAGTGCGGCATGGAACACTACGGTTAGTATGCTAAATAGGGCTAAAAGCATAACGCGCACTACAAAAATCCGAAGTGTCCTACACACCGCACTTCACGACGACACTACGGTATATTTAGCCTTATTTACTTCGTCAGCTACGGATCTGTTTGGCTTACTGCAAAGGCATCATCGATTAAAAACCTCAGGAACAGCATGCCTCAGGAAAATACTTTTCTTGTTTTTGATACCATGTTTTGAATTTTTTGTTTTTTTCTTCTCTGTAGTCATTTTGAATTCTTCTGCAAGAACTTTCCATACTTCTCTCTTTTGTTCGATGTGTTTGGGAAGCGTGGACTTTGAATATATGATGGGAAAGGTGCGCAGACGCATTGCGAATTTCAGCTCACCATCACAATTTTCACTAGTACCATTACCATCACAATTAGACATTTTACATCAATCTTCTGCAAAGAATGAGAATTACTTAGGGAATAATTAATTATTTGAGCACTTAACTACCATTCTTCAATAGACTCATAGCGTAGTGCGGCACTATAAAGTACTCTAACAGCGAAGTAGCACTTCAAAGTCTTTCTGCATACGAATCAGTAGTGCGACACTAAGCGACACTAAACATTGTAGAGCTACTTCGAAGTGCTTAGTGTCTGTGACGTATTTAGCATACCAACAGGACACTTCGTAGTGCATAGTGCTACTTCGTAGTGCTAGTGCCCTATTTAGCATACGGGCCAATGTTTCACTTACTTGCGTCACCTGTAAGTGTGTTCTTATTTGAATCATTTGAAATAATAAACGAGTTACGTTGAGAAAAGCAAAAATTTACAGGGCACGCCATTTTGAGTTCACAGTTTATAATATTGGCGAGTCTTTCTAAATGAGAAGTCATAATTACGAACGAAGCACCTTATTTAGAAAAACTGTCTCATTAGGAGCATATTAAGAGATTCGAACTTGCAGAGGTAGTTATGGTTGATAATATTGGGCACGAAAGCGTCTATTACGATAAGTACAAATGCTGCATTATTTTGGTATGCTAAGAAGACACAAAATTGCAAATATTAAATTTCGTTGGACCTTTTCCAGGACAATAGTTTTAGCTGACGAGATTGTCAACCTTTAACGAATGCTCTTACCTGAGAGACTGGGTACGAGGGTATCAGAGAGAATACGCTGCTCAGCACGTACCTGAGAGACTGGGTACGAGGGCATAAGAGAGAACACGTTGCTCAGCACGTACCTCAGAGACTGGGTACGAGGGTATCAGAGAGAATACGCTGCTCAGCACGTACCTGAGAGACTGGGTACGAGGATATCAGAGAGAATACGCTGCTCAGCACGTACCTGAGAGACTGGGTACGAGGGTATCAGAGAGAATACGCTGCTCAGCACGTCGCTGAGCGTCATCAGGCCGGGCTGCTCTGAATAGTCCAAGGCGTACGTAGCGATGCTCACGACCATGCCTATTTTGGTACATAATTCCTCATTATCATATACATTAAAAAAAGAGTTGCTAAAATGTAATACTTAAATCTTAAGATTATAAGAATTTGATACAAAATTCTTCTCAAGTTTATTAGCCAGGAAGTTTTTTTTTTCATTTTATTGCGAACTAGATGTCTAATCTGTCTTTGAACCTCAATAATTTGTTGGCCCTTCGATAAAGGCTTCATTAAATCTGATCAAAACTTCTTGCTTGCATGAATTTAAACTTGAAAAATAATTAAGAGCGGAACACTTGTAAATACAGGGCCTACCAAAAAAACCTCCCTGATTTCAATAGGCTTTTGCGAAAGTCATACGACACATACAAGACAATTATTTTTTTTTGTGAATAGCTTATTTGATGCCATTTACATTACTTAGTGCAATTTACTTGGTTTTGAAAATTATGTTCGATAAATTATGTCCCCCATTGTTAAGACATTCACGAAGTCTTTCCCTGAAGTTGCCCATAGTTCTTCGTGTATTTTCCCTTGGAATGGCTGCCACTTCCTGCCTAATGGCATGTTTTAGTTCTTGCAGATTTCTGGGACGATGTTTGTACACTTCAGCCTTTAGCTAGCCCCACAGAAAGAAATCACAAGGTGATATAGGTCGGGTGACCGTGGGGGCCAGGAAATGTCTCCTCTTAAAGAAGCAAGACGTCCAACGAACAACTCTCTTAACATTTCCATAGACCGGCGAGCAGTGTGAGTCTTTCTGTGGTGCTACCTAAAGGTTGAAATGTACAAACATCGTCCCAGAAATCTGCAAGAACTAAAACATGCCATTAGGCAGGAAGTGGCAGCCATTCCAAGGGAAGTTACACGAAGAACTATGGGCATGCTTCAGGGAAAGACTTCGTGAATGTCTTAACAGTGGGGGACATCATTTATCGAACATAATTTTCAAAACCAAGTAATGTGTACTAAGTGATGTAAAATGGCATCAAATAAGCTATTCACAAATGAAATTAATTGTTTTGCATGTATCGTATGATTTTTGCAAAAGCCGATTGAAATCAGGGAGGTTTTTTTTGGTGGACCCTGTATCTACGTAGATAAAATTCTGTCACAAATGACAACTAAGTAAGATGGTCTTGCATGCTTGTAATTTCGTATTCGCGACGAAAAATGTGTACTTAATATTTAAACAGGGCACATAGTTATTGCTGGTGCATTATCTTATGTTATTTTCGTTATACTGTAACTTACCGGCGACGATGTTGAAGAGAGCAAGAATGGCGAAGCCTGAGGCAGCTGATGAGAAGGGGAAGCTGAAGAGATAAGCCATCGGCAGGGCACTCCAGCCGTACAGCAGCATTAGTAAGATCAGCGCAACTGTTTAGTTACCCCAGGAAAATGCACGACGAGTTAGAGTGGTGGTGGATGAATTTAAAGATTCAGTATTAAGGAAAAGACTTAGGATGGACAAAATTAAATGCGACCAAAAAGTAGGGAAAATAAGTAAGTGAGGTGAATAAGAACTATTTAGAATAAGAATGATGGAAATTAGCGGTTGAAATGTCAAAATTAATTGATTTATGATTAATTAATTAAAATAAATTTATTTAAAGTTAAGGAGAATGCCTTAACCGCATTCATGAATCGTTAACTGATTGACTTGTTATCATTACACGTCAATGTTGAAGATCAATAATTTAAATTTTGATGACGTCAGTGCAGATTTGATGCATAAATAAATAAATAAATAAAAAAGAACTGTGAACTGACCTGGTGCTCCTTGGAGGGTGAAGTTCCCTTGTGCGTCAATGATCATGAACAGAGCGAACATGATGAGGATGGAGGCCGTGTACGACAACATGTCCCAGGTGAAGGTGGTGAACCACAGCGCCGTGGATGATGTGCCTGTCATCAATTGGATCTATGTACAAGGGCATAGAATATTGAGTATAAAACATGGTGAACAATTTGTTTGGAAATGCCGACACAATTTTAAACTTCAATTCAAAAATATTACCTTGTGTTGAAATATAAACAAAAAAACTTTATTTTTATGTTGAGATGTTTAATGCGAAAAATCAACATCAGATTGTGATGGAGTTTAGACATCAAGGAACGACATACTCGTGTAATATGTCCGAGCGTTAAGAATTTAACAAGTTGGTATTCAAAGTTTGTGTAGTAAATGCGTGGGAAATGCAACTTTCAAATGAAAATTTGACAATCAGTGAGTGTACGCAAAAAATTGACGACAACACGTTTCTTCTCCGGTTCGAATTATTATTGTATACTCCTAGTAGGATACCATGTGAGCGGGTAAAAATTGTACTCCTCATTTACGTTGGTCACTATTTCAAATCATGTCTCAACGAAAGATTGTATTGCTATGGATTATAACCTGTTAAACATGAAACATAACCTGTTTGGCTTTAGACTCGCGTTCCTGCAGAGGGAAGATGAGGAAGGACGCTGACAGGAAGGCCATTGCTGTAGGCATCATGAGAGAGTATATGAACGCACTTCCCCCCGACTGAGACCCGTCTTCCAAGCGGTACTGGAGGAACATCCGAAATTCAGTGAGAAATAAACAAAACACAGGAATTAAATATAGGTTTGGTTTTTAATCGTTGTAATAATAACCCGTATTCAAGTGTGGGTAGTTGGAGTTCCGATGGTGTGGTCGCTGGAATCACATGGTAGGTAGAGGGTAGGTTAAGTTTGTGAATAATTCGTCTAGTACCTTTTCAGAAGTAGGTAAAATGTTGTCAAAGATTAAGCAGAATGCATCATTAGAGCCATATAATTCTTGCTGTGGGTAATGAGGCTTGCATTTGTAAATTTGTAATCACAAAAATAATCTGGTACCCGTTCATCAAGAGGTAGTGGGTAGTTGGATGTGGTGATGGTGTGGTCGCTGGAGTTGGTGGCGCCCTGCAGGATGGCATTGCTTATGAGATTGATGCCAACTCCAGGAGCGTGGTAAGGAATGGACTGGTAGAGCATTCGAGTGTGAACTTTCTTGTCGCTTCCACCATTGTAGAACATCGCCTATAAAATTAAAAGCAGTAAGAATATTGCCTCTGAAAACGCAGTATCAAGATTTAATTATTTTTCAGTTTATAAGAATGTTGATGCTACCACTAGAAATGTGCTACCAATTATAGATGGATTCGAATGTTAGTGGTGCATTAAAAATACCTATTGATCATTGCTGTGCTTATGCTCTGAAAAATACTTTTCTTGTTAAAAATAAATATTGAACGAGCTAGAAAATCCAAAAAGTCGCACCGATGTCACGTCATTTTCTCTGTAGTGGAAAACGTCTCGATTGCCTTCAGCCAAGAGTTCTTCGATGACGTCATCCGTAACGTTAACCTGATAGCGTGAGGAGGAAAAGTTAGTTATTGCTGACTGTACCTTATGGAATAAATTTGATTTAGGTTTGATACGCATACGATCGTGACTTGATGCACAAATTAGCTTCCACTAAATGCTAAAAATGAGAAGTCTGTGATGACGCGTGTAAGTGGCTGGCACTGTTATCATCAGTTATGACATGCTGACTTATACTTGTTTCATTAGCATGATCCGACAATTTACTTTTATTTTGAAATGCGCAATAAAAAATTAATATATCATTTAATTCAGACACTCAGCCTGTAAGATTCTTCTTTTTGCCAACTCACATACCGTCACATATGAATGTTCTACGTGTGGCAGGTACTATGATAAAGAAGCATCTATAGAAATTAAACGAGGTTGATCAATGTCACAAGATACTCACTCGATACGGACCATAGAACTGATCGACATAGCAGCTGGTGAGGTAACTGTCATCGCTCTGGACGTACGATTGCGACCATTCGAACATGTCAAGGGTGAGCTCCCTGGGCGGCTCTGCGGCGTTGTCTCCGAAATAAGCTGCGTCAACCAAGAGACACATCAGCGTCACCAGCACTGGCACCAAACCCTGAGGTAGTAATCAAACAATGAATATATTTCTTAAAGAATTTTTGCAGGTCAAAGCAAATACTGGAAACCGGAAGTTAATCTCCTTATGGAAAAATGTAAAAGTTGATACTGATTAAAGCGTAAGCGTCACCAGCACTGGCACCAAACCCTGAGGTAGTAATCAAACAATGAACATATTTCTTAATTTCCATAATTTTAATTCATAATTTTTGCAGGTCAAAGCCAAAACTGGAAACCGGAAGTTAATCTCCATATGGAAAAATGTAAAAGTTGGTGCTGATTAAAGCGTAATGTTATTAGAGCTTTAATTGCTTAGCTGATTGTTCCTTCTATTAAACAAAGCAGATAAGCAAAAATATTTGCCGATCAAATCACATTTTGAATAATGATAATTAAATCACAATAAATAATAATAGTAAAGGTTTCCTGTCTAACCTGAGTCAAGAGCAGAACCCATTTCCTTCGCGTGTAGATCACGTGTTTCTTCCACAGCGCCTTCAGTCGCTCCCACAGCAACGCGTTGCCAGAGGCCCTCACGCTCATTACTGTCGTCCATTACATAACGTAAATACATGTTAAATTTAACTGCAAAACCTTCAGATTTTTACATTAAAAATAGAAATTAAATTATTTAATCCTATGAGTCAGAATACAGTATAATTTGTAGCAAATTGGCTTTCAGCCTTATCTATTGAACCCCTTCAAATTATCCACAAACTTTGAAGGGAATTCATCGTGGAAACAACAAAGATAATTGGCATACTTGCTGATCTCGACATAAATACGTACAAATTACAGTATTATGCTCATACATTACAGCATTACTATCATTCATTATCATTAGTCATCGCGTGACTCGTTAAAATGAGCGTTCTCTAATTTATTCTCTGATGAGTGAAGAAATGAATCAGGGAATGGAATTAGCGGATCAACTTCAGTTCATTCCTCACAGATACTCTATAATAGAATGTGAAAGTCAATGTTAAAACGAGAAAAGTGGAATCAATGGAAGAAAGTTAAAAATTAAAAAGTTTTCAAAGTAGCCAAAAATTTCGCAGCAAGCCACCAAAAAAGATCATTATACCTACACTGAAAACATTTTGGAGACCAGCGCTTATGATTTCAAAACTTAATTAGTACATGCACAGTTAGTGAAGAAAATCCAAAATGTACACGGAATAGATTGACACCTAAGTGCGGAATAAAGGGGCCCCTGATCACAAAAACTTGACAACAATTTCAATTGGGCGAGAACTGAACTCGTTCTTAAAATATTGTTTCCGTTTAAAAATATGCAGAAATTTCATAATTATAAATATGATTCACGAGAGGATGACCCTGTAATTTTAAATGCCTGTCCGACACAGGCACGCCGCAATGTTCTGCGTGAAGGCGCTCAGCGGAATGGGGTGGATGGGTCAGATGAATCCTGGAACGAAAACTCCCGCCCTGTTTAGCGGTTCAAGGTACTCACGAGTCTGGCTGTTGACAGCATATCTGTCGGGTTTAGCGGCGTGTCCGTTAGTGAAGGTTGCAGGAGTTGTTAGTGGTGTGTTTGAAGGCATAGTGAAGGATCTGTTGTTGACGCCCTTGTCGGTGCTGGCGATGCTGTGCTGCGATCCTGATGGTGCCGAGGAGTGAAGGACTTCGCCAACTCTGCGATAATCGTTAATTACAGCGCAGTGAAAAAACAAAAAGGAAAGGCGTGAGGTATCCTTTTACAAGTCGACTACATTAAATAAGGATTGAATGAAGTAGCTATGCTTCATTTGTAAAATGTGAATTGAATTAATGTTTCCTGAATAAAGAAGTGAATAAAGTTAAAATATGTTCTATGAATTAGCAACTGAACGAAGTGAATGTTTTCTTCACTCTCGTGAACCAAAATGAAAGTGAAAACAGGTTGTTGTCAATCGCTCGTTGTATTAATGTATTGGCATTTAGCATCTCAAAACGTAATCTTGAATGGCATATTAAAATAAACTCGGAAAGCAGTCCAAATATTTAGTCCAGGGTTTAGCAGTCCAATACCTGACTTGATTTGTTAATTTGATTTTCAAATGCACCCTAACACTCCAAGACATAAGTATTTTAGCTAGTATAACTCATGAGCATCATTTCACTCTAGCATGCGTAGAAAATCCTCATTCTCATTAGATGGCATAACTAAAGAGCATCAGTACACTCATTTGTATGGGTTCAAAAACCACACGCGAACTTCTAAATATTACGAGACGGTTTAATTAACGCTCAACAGCAAGCTTAAATATTGCCACAAAGTTTGCACTGACTATCGGCTTGGTGCCTGCGGTTACTGTAATATACCTTGGCCATCCTTTTATACTCCTCATGAGTCACTCTCATTACGACTACTGTCAAATTTGCACCAAGAGTTGATCGTGCTCGTATCACCGGCATTTTAATTCACACAAATCATTATAAATTATTTGAAGATTTCAATACAACTCATGTAAAGGAAAATATAAGTATTTTACAATGATGCAAGACCTACGTCAAAACTCATCTCCACTAACACAATTCAAGAATTTCAGTAAAGGTAAACTTCAACATATGAAACTTCAACTAGGGTATTTGGCAATATATTTTGTCTCTAGTTTGATTACTCACTTAAGGAAGACTTGTTCCATGCTGGTTATCGAAAGTCCCACATGATTGATTTTGAGGTAGTCCTTTCTGGCGCTTAAAGTCTCGAGCAGCCTTGCGAAGCTGTCCGAGTTGCCAGACAAACTGTAGAGCAGCTCTTCTTCTGTGGTTGTGGTTAGCGTGGCCTCTGGCATGATCGTCTTGATGGTCGTCGTAACCATGTGGATATCGCAACTCTTTCTTGGCAACACGCGTAGACTGTAGCCGTCACCTTCAGAAGAAGAATTTTTCGTTTAAGAGGCCCTATTAATATTGCAGACTCAATCAATTTCCTTTCGTTAGTCATTTAATCCGTGAGGTATCAGAGTCTTGACTGTTACTCAAGAAACATCAGCCTTTGATGGGAAAGCTACGCAGTAAACGTCGAAAATTGTTACAACAGCTATTTTAATTGCATTCTTCGAGTTCAAAAAATTAGTCCAAACGGAGTGAAATTGTGGATGAAAGCGTTAAGCTTTGACTAAGAATTAATGATCACATTTACTAACCAAATCGTCGCTTAAGGAAAAGAGTTGAGCCAGAGCAGACGACTTCTCCCTCTGCCATGATAGCTATCCTGTCCCCCAGCACGTCAGCCTCCTCCATGTGGTGCGTGGTCACCAGCACCGTCCTGGACTTACGTTCTGTCTGGATGACGTTCCAGACCCAGCGACGGGACTCTGGATCCAGACCAGAGCTCGGTTCATCTAGAATCACGATCTGGAAATGTTTCTTAATACTAAAATATTGCATAAGAAAATAAATCAATAAAATTTTAGCTGGACAAATATGTTGCCTCTGTGTTCTGAATAGCCATCTTAGGAACATTTATTTATCTTGAAATGATAACATTTGAACCTCTAGAAAATTAAGTAAAATTTTGAAAAAAACTTGGTGAGAACGACTCTCAGGTTCAGGCAACACACATACTTCAAAATCCTCTACAAAAGAAAGATGAAGAACAGATCCGAGAACAAGAATAACCCTCTGGAAGAAATTTTTTTGCGCTCTCCGAAAGCAGTTTTCAGTCCTGACATATTCTTGAGCAAATTAAAAAAAATCACTTTGGCACAAACCATTATTGAAAAAATGGCCCACCTTACTGCCTCCAACCAAGGCGATGCAGAGACACAACTTCCTCTTCATGCCACCCGACAGCTGGTTGCCGTACTGGTCCATCTTCTCCGTAAGCTGCATGCGCTGCATGAGCTCCTTGGCTTCTCGGGAGGCTTCAGATTTAGAGCATCCCTTTAGCTGCACGATAAATTCCAATTTAAATGATTAAACATATAAATTTTGAAGGAGATATTCTTAAATAAGCATTTATTGCAAAACAGATGCACTAGATTTAAAAACAATTTGAATCATATACAATCGGAATTTGTTCGTTCAATTTACCAGCGACACTAGAGCGAAAAATTCAGCAGGGCAATACACAAATTACTCAAATCAATTGAAATGCTAAATTAAGAGTGTCATTTAAAATAAAGAATCAGATAAAGTATAAAAAAACAAAGAGAGACGATGAGACAGACTTGAGCGAAGAAGAGGAGGTGTTGCTTGACGGAGAGGTCGGCGAAGAGGGTGTTGTGCTGGGGACACAGGCCAACCTGCGCCCGCGCCTGCTTCAGGTTGCTGGTGATGTCGTAGCCTTGGATCTCAGCCGTGCCTCCGCTTGCAGTGTAAACGCCTTGTGTGGAATTACTTAGTTTGAATATTCGAAAATTGGAAACAATCAATTAACAAGAAATAATAGACAATTAGCGCACCTGAGCGCAGAATTGATATAAGAAATTTTGATACTCGGGAATAGCGGTTTGCAATTGAAGCACGGTAGTCTGGAAGAAGTTTGATAGAAAATTTGCTATAATGTATTTTCATGGGGCAGAATATGATATGAACAAGAATAGAGAAGAATAGCAAGTTGTTTCAAAAATTTGTAAGAGTTTTGGGTACAAAACTCATAAATTTCGATGCTACGAAGTTGCATCATAACAGCCGTACAAAACTGAACAAGTGTTGGTAACAGCCGTCGAACCAGTAAAAGTAACCATTAAATTCTACTTCCTAGAGAAATCTGAGGTGTAAGAAGTAACTGAAAAAATACAATAAAAGGAGACTATAGCACGAACCTCCAGCTTAACATTTCTGCATCTCTTCTACATACTAAAACTAACTTTTGTTAAATTATAAAATCGAACCTAATTTTTCCATATTCCAAATCATATTGCTCCTCATGTTAAGTATACATTTAACAGTAAGAATTATAGCAAGAAAAGGGTTCTGAACGAATTCTTTTTATTGAAACTAGTCCAGAAAGTTTTCATCGTCATGAAATTTTGCACAAAATTTGGGACATTGCCGATTATCTGATCGGCAAAACTTTCATAGAAAAATCATTACAATCTTTACAAAATTAGCACATGTTCGTTCTTCTAAGAGGTTACCCGTGATGACGGACATGGTGGTGGTCTTGCCAGCGCCGTTGTGGCCGAGGAGGACAGTGCATTGTCCTTCATAGCAGCTCAGGTTTACGTCCTTTACGGCCACTTTAATGCCTCCTCCCAGAGCCGGGAACTCCTTTCTTTAATTGCAGAAGAAAAATATTTATGTTTAATATCTTTAATTTGGTCCTTAATAAAAAATTAAAGTAAAAATATTAAGAGGTAAGATATATAGAAGTTTGTTATAATTTCAACTAAATCTATAAGAGCACGAGAGCCCAATAGTGGTACAGAGAAAAAACAGCTGGTAAATTCGGAATAATCGGAAGAAAAATCTAGCAATTGTCAGGAACATACGCTTTTACCAAACACAATTTAAATGAGACAATATGAAGTATTCACAGCACACTGTATTCCGGTTCATTAACTTTTTATTATTAACTTATTTTTCACGCTTGATTAATACATACGTAAGACATAATATTAAACTCATTTATTTCGTACTGCACGATGAATATATGTATTGTTTATGTTTAAATCACCTCAAGTTCTTGATGACGATACCAGCCTTCATGCCCACAGGTTCCTTCTCAAAGTTCGAGCTGCTGGATTTGCCCGCGCCGAGCTCATAGTCTTCGTCCCAGCGCCTGCCACTCGCTCTGCTGGGACACCAGTACGAGGCCTGCAACGATCATGCCAACGCTCTCGTATTAAATTTACTAAATTTCGAAAGGCGTTCTCAAAAGCAGATACATAAAACAGGCATGCAAGTTCTATGCTAGATTGAAATGTTTAATATCATTTGTGAAATATTTAATGTGAATTTTAAGCTTCAAAATTTCATTGTGGTCGTAGCTCCATCACACGGCATCCTCTCTTAATGCGATGTTCATCAAAATTCAATGAAAATATTAAAATTAAATCAGGAACTGCGAAAATTTATCTGCAGTTTCTAGTGAGCGACGCTCAGGAGAACATTTACACGTTTTATCTAAGCTCAACACGAGAATGTCATGAATATTGAATATGACTTAGTAATATGTGGGCGGCAAGCGGAGTTCGAAAATTGTGTTTGCGACACAAAAATTAAATTTAATACACTGCGCATAGAAAATTAATGACATCGAAAAATAATTTCATATATATTAATGAAAGGAAATGAATTAATTTCAAGGCATGAATTAAAATCTTAGCGCATCGACCTTCTGAGTGTTTATAATTATATCTACTCTGAATGGAAAGAATCATGCGCGATCATAGATTTATAAACATCATCAATCTAATTCTTTTTAATGTTAGTACTAACATCAGCATCAATGTGCAAATATTACTTGGAAGATCCCTGCATTTGTCAACATCAATCCTTCGATCAATAAATATAAACCTCATTGACTGAGAATGAATGGGAATGCCCGTTCCATACCCTGAATGGGAATGTCCATGGTTGAGGCACGCCGTAAGTACCAGGCAGGACCTGGTCGAAGTACCAGGTAATTATGAAGTAGATGAGGATGTCGACGGCGAGCATGATGAGGATCATGCCTGGCGTCAGCTCATCACGAGGGTTGCCCGTGTCCCACAAGTTGTTCCACTGAACTCCCACCGCTGTGAAATATATAAGAGTGTTCTTTATATAAAAGTACAGTACCCGGCTACCAGTACACCAGTGAACAGTACCGGTCGATCAAATCAATTTATTTCGAACTCCATGGATGAATGTAAATGTTGCATAACATTTTTACCTCTTCCCTCGAACATGGCGATGACGCGGAAGGCCCAAGTTAGCGCCATGTTGGGCAGGAGGCAGGAAACAATTTTAGGAGCGAGGCCCATGCTGTCGTACTGCGCGTACATGAACGTCCTGGGCAGGCTGTAGCTCAGCAGCCACGCCAGGATGCCGATCGTCGTTGCCAGAGTCGCTGAAATGTAGCAAATAATGGTCAATATAATATAATATAATTGATTGATTGATTGATTTTTATTCACAAAGGAGCTCTAGTTACAACTCAAAAGAGAAAAAGAAAACATTTATAAAATAATAGAGACATCCAAGTGAATGCCCATAAGCAGATAAGCTTCGCAGGCAACAGAGGTGATTTAAAACTCTATTCCAATGATAAGTCAAAGAAGTTAAGAGCAACAGAAAGTTTCTAAATTAAACACATACAAGGAAAAAAACCTCAAGAAAACTGATAACAGGATGTCACTAAAATTAAGCGTAACAAAGCAATATCAATATAACAGTTACATGTGGAACAGCCTCCCTGAAGATATTGTTGACGCTCCGAGTATGAACGCGTTCAAGAACAGATTAGACAAGGCCATGCATGAGCATATGTTCAGTCTTAAAATGCCTCGTACCCTACGGAACAACTGATAACTAGAAGCGATTTTAAATCTACCGTCCGTAAGGCCAGTCTAGTCAAGAAAAGTACAAGAATCGGCGACAGGCCTATCCAGGCCTATTCTTTAATGCCGAAGATACTATACTATACTATACTAATATAATATAATAAAATGGTGGTCTATCGGTGCCCACGAAAAAAAGTCTCTGTAATTTGAAAGTTCTATTATCCTGCATTATTCCATACTTAATTCTGACATTCTGACATCTGAATAAATTTATCTCAGATTCCATTTCCCATTAATAATATAAAAACTAGATAACGTTATTAAGAGAATTCCCCGTTTCAAAAACATTTAGCATAAAACTCTCGTTTAGCTCCTAGTCAGAAATTTAAAGAAAAAATTCAACGAGACATAGGTGACTTCATCGGTTGTCCAATGCACTCATTACCAGTTTCTGACTCACTTAAGCACTCCAGTTCATAATTATTCAATTGGATCATGCGTGACAAGTTAAATATAGCATAGATTTGAAGGTATACGCTATTAGAAAAAACCGTAAAAAACGGTCTCGTGCACCAGCGTTCTATTGACCGCCGCAGTGAAAATAAACCCTTTCGCCGTTTTTATCAGATGTTGTACCGGTTTCTAGTGTTAAATTGGTATATAAAACGGCCACAAAGTGTTTCTTTTCACCTGACGGCCGGTCACTGAAACGCCGGTAATGTCGTTTACCGGTGGTTTTCCGAACAGTGTATGTTAAGTCTTGTTGAGGGTCAATAAGAGTGCAAAACTTTCAGCAACAGGCCTGAACTTGCCTAATGTTGACTAGGAATCAGTGATAGAGTAACTATTCCTTTATTGTCGAAATATGACATTTTATTCCCTACTCCTGCATTTTTTTAGACAAAACTGTGTAACGAAATAATATTTTTGTTGTTCCTGGTGGTTTTGTAAAACACAGCGAGGCAGATTTAAAACGTAACCCATCTCTTTCACTCACGCCTGTTGAAGAAACAGGAGATAGCAAAACAGAAAGCAATGGAGGAGATGCCGTAGAGGAAGAGCAGGAACCATACGAAGAACCAATTCGAGTAGATCAAGATGGGCGGGAAGACTCCTTTGTCGATCTCGCTGGACGGTGTGATCTACGAGGGAAATAGCATTAAGTTCAAACAGATGTTGGCGTGAGAGATATTTCTAGCGAAAAAAATTCAATGGATAATATAGTAACTGTATGTCGCAAAAATGTAAACTATTGGCATTGCGGATCATAAAACACACTAAAAATTTCAAGATAGAAGTTTTATCGTGTTTGCCCATCAACATCGTCACTCTCTTTCACTTTAATGAACTAACTTTCACTAATGTGTAATGATCAGTGACACGCGTCTACTGATGGGAAGTAACACAATAAAGTTATGAAATTATGACTCACTTCAACTTTCAGGAAGAAGGTCATGATGATGGTGATGAGGACGATGGTAATGAAGCCGTGGAGGAACCATCCGAGCCAAACCAACCAGCCCTCCAGGCCCATGAGGCGCACAAGCTCCTGTGCAAATAATTATTAAGAGTATAGTGATGAAAAGGCTATGTAACGGTAACTGATACTGCAATGATCACTGATAATATTAAGATAATTTATAATTATGATGATTTGGTAATTTAACGATGACTTATTACGATGCCATAAATATGCAATGATAACTATGAATGGACTAAAAATTCATGATGAAATAAATAATGACATGGAGTTGAACGATCATTGATAATGTAGCGATAATCAATAATGCAACGCGAACGAATTAAGCAACAAAAATAACTAAAACTGCAACACTATGCTGCTAATCCCGACTCGGTCTAACCAAGTATTCGTCTTAGTCGTCATGTCGCTTTCATATCTCGGCATATCACTAGCATTTCTTGGTCAGAGATTAAAAGAAATATTGAAGAAATAAAAACTTTATTCCTCCTGCAGCGAAAATTACCGAGGGTAATGAAGCGGTGCGGGGGAACAAACACAGAAACATCACCGACGATTTATTCAATGTTTATGAACGCGCTGGCAAATAATTAATTAATCTTGGATCTAAGTGAATATTGAGACAGGAAGTTCTAGTTGAAATAACAACGTATGTCGTTATGTGAAATTGCAGCTATGAAAGTTCCTTTTGGCCAAATGGCACCCTGGAGTAGCGTTTAACTCAAGCCTGCTCACGCTGACTCCAGTCCCCCCACGCTGACGCCAGTCCCCTCACCCTGACGCCAGTCCCCTCACCCTGACACCAGTCTCCTCACCCTGACGCCAGTCTCCTCACCCTGACGCCAGTCTCCTCACCCTGACGCCAGTCTCCTCACCCTGACGCCAGTCTCCTCACCCTGACGCCAATCTCCTCACCCTGACGCCAGTCCCCTCACCCTGACGCCAGTCTCCTCACCCTGACGCCAGTCCCCTCACCCTGACGCCAGTCTCCTCACCCTGACGCCTCCCCTCACCCTGACACCTGTCCCCTCACCCTGACGCCAGTCCCCTCACCCTGACGCCAGTCTCCTTCTCGTGGACGATGCTCTTGATGAGAGTGGGCGACAGCAGGATAAGGGACAGGACGACGAATGTAGGCAAGGATGACCCGTAGAACTGACTCATGGCGTTGTCTTGCACGTACGGTGGGTACGGGTACATCTGAGTCTCCAACTGTTGGGAAATTTTGCGTAAGTAAAAATTATAAAGTTATAAATACTGAAGAAGTTTGTGCCAATGATCATGTCAGGGAATTGTGAGTTTTTCCGCGAGATTTTGAAATCTTCATCAGTCCGAATCTTCATAAAAAAGTCCGAAAGGTCCGAATCTTCATAACTTTACTAAGAGAATTGATTTTGGCCAGTAGAATTCGGTGAACCTTCTTGCCAGATTTGAAATTGCACACCTGTTTACTCCTCTGAATTTAACTGCATAGTACAAATGCTAATGCAGTTGTACTAAGGTGCAATATTAAAAAAATCTACAATCTTCATGTTCATATTGCCTCGGAAGGTCTACGGCATTTCATAATTGTTTCACCCAAATCTAGAACTCAGATCCTTATACAGTCACCATGAACAATGAAGCGATGGAATTGTCGCCGGCGAGCATGGATGTGTAATGACGGTCGACGATCGTTTGAACGAGAGAAAACCCGCCAGTTGCGTAGCTGCCCAAGTATTCGTAATTACCTAAAAAAAGAATTTATGCAATTCAAGTTATTTATGGAAGTCATTCGAAATATTTGGTTCAATTATATTATACTCCAATTATATCATTCATTCGATTATTGGGTAAGGTTAACCATCTTATAATACAGTGAAGAAATTTATAATACAGTGAAGAATACGTCGCAAAAAGTACAGTTGCAAGGTGATCTTGACAGGCTGGTTGACTGGGCTGATAAGTGGCAGCTGCGTTAACGGAAAAGGATTTAGGAGTTAATATCGACGATGAGTTGAAATTTTCTAAGCATATTGAAGGTCAAGTTAATAAAGCCAATAAACGATTTGGACTGATCAGACGCTCTTTCGAGTTTCTAGATGCAGAAACGATGAAGCAGTTGTTTGTTGCTGTCGTCCGCCCGAACCTAGAGTTTGGAAACGTCGTGTTGTCACCGAAATTTGAAAAGGACAAAAATTTAGTAGAGAGTTTCCAAAGACGCGCAACAAGGATAGTTCCGGGCTTGAAAGGCAAGTCCTAATAGGAAAGATTAAAGATTATGAAGCTTCCAAGCCTCCGTTATCGACGTCTGCGTGGGGACCTCAATGAAGTATACAAGTATACTCATGGCTTATACAAGGTCCCAGAAGGATTACTAGAATTTGAAACAAGAACCAACACCAGGGGCCACGGCTATAAACTAAAAAAACAGCGTTGGAACACATCCATGCGACAAAATTTCTTCTCGCTTCGAGTCACCGACATGTGGAACAGCCTCCCTGATAGCATCGTTGACGCTCCGAGTATGAACATTTTCAAAAATAGACTAGACGAAGCTATGCAGGAGCATATGTTCAGTCTTAAAATGCCTAGCAAATTACGGACCAGGCAATAAGTCCAGCAGCTATCTCAATCAATCGTCAGCTATGGAAAGATCGAGTTCCAAAGGCCGGATCCCTTGTAAATCAAGTCACGAAAAGTTCAAGAATCGGCAACAGGCCATGGGCCTATTTCTTCAACGCCGACACTTCTATTATATTCTATTCTATCTTAAGCTCACTTGTATAGTTTCTGGGTCCGGGAATCTGCAGATATGGATACTCCAGGTCCGTGAACCAATACTTCTGGAATCTGAGGTCATAATTGAGGTTCTCGGGAGGATTTACGGTGTTTTTATCAACTCCATTGAAGAAAATCCCAATGAAGAACGCAGTGCCGGAGCCGTTCGATTGCAGGTAAAGACTACCAATCCTATTATTCAGGTCGTCGTTGCTCTCGACGACGAGCAAATCTGAAATAGAAGTGCAGTCGGTTGTCAGGCGCAGGATGCGCAATTAAATTGAATAAGAGTACGAAAATATCAAAAATAATAATTCTGAGAAAATATTTCCGGATGGTCAGTGGCTGGCCGTTTAACTTCTGATGTTCTGTGCGGATTCCGCGTACGTCGCTCAAAGAGTGGCACCGTTACAAAGTTTTCCGTTGTTTAATAAGTAGTGGAAGTGACATTTGTAGTGGAGGGGAAAAGCTTGAAATGGTAACCAGGTAACAATATAAGAACAATAGAAATACAATTTAGATACTTGATAACGCTGATGACTCGACTTAAACAAAATACTTTAACGCGTATAGCTTTTACTGAAAAAAACGATTCTGCTTCAGATCTTCAATCTTCAGTCGGGAAAATCGAAATTAGGGACATAAGCCAGGCTCACCCTAATCGCAGAAGTAGAGCCTACCGAGAACGCGCTTAGATACCTAACAATTCGGTACGTTGAGAAACTTGCCTTCATCGTAGAAGTAGAGCCTACAGAACACGCGTTTGTATACGTAACAATTCGGTGCGTTGAGAAACTTGCCTTCATCGTAGAAGTTGAGGTCCGCCTGGATGCGCTGGATGAGGGCGCTGGTGAAGCTGCTGTTAGGACCCCACAAAATCTTCCTGTTGACAAAGAGCCCAAAGCGCGCGTAGCTGCACGTGTTGTTGAGCAAGAACTCGCCTCCAGAATTGAGGCAGAACGAAGCTCTGAGGTCATTTTCTTTCACAGCCGGAAACCTTGAGGTCTGAATACATATGCATATTGAAATTATGATCTGGCCTAAAAAGTAAGTGTGTCTGAAGATAAAAACATTAAACCCTTCGAATTTAACGGTATAGTTATACTTTAACTGCAAAACAAATATGGCTTATCACCGACTTTCCTTGTATAGCTTCGCAGAAAACATATTGTAATATCAACAACGTTATCCCACCACAATAAAAAAATAACTTCAAAATAGTGACCCAAAAATTTCATCACTTAATCATATACATGAATATAGCTAACCTCATGTATTAATCATATTCATAATCTGGAATAAATCTATCATCATTTATTAATCTTATTAATAATCAGGAATAAAGTTAAATTCATTGATTAATCATTATCATGATCAGAGATAAAGCTAACCTCACTGATTAATCACATTAATTAATCATGACTAAAGCTAACCTCATTATTAAAAATAATAATGACCATGAATTTAACTCAATTTAAATATTAATCATAATCCTGACCATGATTGTAGCTAACTTCCTTGAATAATCATAATCATGACCAGTAATAAAGCTAACCTCTTTGATTAATCCTTAATCATGACCAGTAATAAAGCTAACCTCTTTGATTAATCCTTAATCATGACCAGTAATAAAGCTAACCTCATTGATTAATCCTTAATCATGACCAGTAATAAAGCTAACCTCATTGATTAATCCTTAATCATGATCAGTAATAAAGCTAACCTCATTGATTAATCATAATTATGACCAGGAATGTAGCTAACTTCCTTGATTAGTCCTAATCATGACCAGGAATAAAGCTAACCTCTTTGATTAATCATAATTATGACCATGAATGTAGCTAACTTCCTTGATTAATCCTAATCATGACCAGTAATAAAGCTAACCTCATTGATAAATGTAGGCGTGAAAATAGAGTCTGGCAGCACTCGGATGGACACGAGCAGAGCGAACAGCAGCGTCGGCAGGAGCACTTCAAAGATCGTCAGGATCCAGTGGCGCTTGCGGAGCAAAAAATTCTTCCAAATGAGAAGCCTTAATTTTGAATACCATTTCTGATCAGCACTGTTCTTATTGGCACTATCATTCAGCGTTTTAGTGTTTCCCATGATTACCTGAATTTTTGGGAAAAATAATGTTGTATGATTAAAATAATTGATTTTTCACCAGTGTGTCATAAAGCAGATTGCATATATTATGCGCCCTGCAGTCAAAAAATTCAGATGTTATTACTTTCATGCTTACAAAGAAATAATTTGTGCACTTAACAGGTACATATATTGACGCCTAATTGTAGAAAATCGAAATCCCGTGCGATGAGAAAAACAGTTACAAGCGTTTTTTTTTTGTCCAGACTTTCACGCTTGATTGGATAATTTAATTTCAGGAGCTTTTCGTTAATTTCTTGAGTCTAGTTTGCTTCTATGACGGTATTTCGTTAAAGAACGTAGCATCAAGTCACGTCAAACGGCTTTCAGTAAAATTTTCTTGCATTGTCTACGTATAGCCTACAATAACAGGCATAACTGGCAGCGTTTAGAATTTCAAGAATTTCGACGTGTTTCAGTGATTATATCGAGTTCGTGCAAAACTGTGTTCGTATTTCATCATTCTGGCTTGCTCACATTCTCCATACATTATACCCATATTTTTTCAGCGTATGGGAGTATAATTCTCTACTATAGTATTCCGAGAATAATATAAAAATATACAATGATGCATTATAGAACAATTATCCGGAGCATACAGGAAAACTTGTGATTCAGACAGAGTAAAGAGGTTTGGCATCAAGTTTATATAACCGATCAAGTGACTTCCAGGGTACAATGAATAAAAATAATAATCTCATGATAATCAGATATACAAAAAAACCTGCAAACCATTAATGACATTAATTAATTCACTGCTATTGCACAACATGCGATTTACTTAGGACCTTAAGCATGCAATCACAGCACAGCGTATATGACTCATTCTCCCCCCTTAATTCTAACCATCGTGGCGATGACAATAAATACAATAGCGATTGTTGCAATCACGAGGTGATCGAGCCTTGAACGCACTGGCCGAATCTGTTATCTGACGCCTGCAGTAACATTGAAGCTAATTTATTTCCACTATTCGGAATTTTTTCAATAACATCATAGAGGAAAGTTCGTTTGTGATGTTGGACATACGCGCTTAACACTGGCAGCTCAAAAATTGCACATATGTAAACGCTTTACACTGATAGCTCAAATATTGTACGTACGTGCATGCTTAACACTGAGAGCTCAAATGTTGGACGTACGCACACGCTTTACACTGACAGCTCAAATATTGTACGTACGTACACGCTTTACACTGAGAGCTCAAATATTGTACGTACGTACACGCTTTACACTGACTGCTCAAATATTGTACGTACGTAAACGCTTTACACTGACAGCTCGAATATTGTACGTACGTACACGCTTTACACTGACAGCTCAAATATTGTATTAAAGTATTTTGGTAAAATAACATGTTCCACTTGTTTGATGGTATTTGGTGTGAGGGCTTCGCCTCTTCCAACTAGTGAAGCAATTCACAAAATGCACATGAAATGACGTGTAAAATTTTCAATCGGTTATCGAGTTTAGGACGAGAGCGAAGTCAACATTAGCGAGGTGTTCGTTGCGCCGCGTGACACTGACCACTGGCTGCTGGACACACCGCCACAGATGTTACTCCTGCAATTTAGTCTCTTATCTCTGATAAGATACGATGACTCAACAGTTCCGAATGCAGCACGGCCTCAGCTAAAGGATCTAACAGATCGTAAATCAATCAGAATGTTGCGCAATCAGTTCAGAGTAATTCAGTCTAATGCATTTACTTGCCTGTCTCATTTGCAAGTCTTCTGAAGTGTCATCGCTTTACATCCACACGAGATTTTCTTCTCCGCCTCAAATTCTATCATGTTTTTGAAATATATTAAAATTCATTTAATTCTGCAGTAAATTGTACTGAAACTTTTATTCTCTGGTGAGTGTCACTGATATTTTTATAATAGAAGTGAATTTGAACTTAAGATGATGGCATTTTGAACTTGACCTACATAGCCTCGGCGAGTGGATGCCCGATAATAAGGAAACTGAAAGTAATCAAAAATCATTCCAATTAAGTGTAAATTCATTCACAATCTTATGAATGACGACGTTACTTTCATTCTACAAGGTGAGATAACAATGCTTTAAACGAAAAGCGATCGACCCGACGGCCGGAGACTGGGTATATGGTCTATTCATGACAGCTACATAATTGAATACTGCCCAGTCACTGCCCGCTGATCGATTGACTGTGTGGCAAGTCCTTGAATGCAGGGGCTAATTTGCAATAATTACATAGCATGAAGTATTTTTTCAGACACAGTGAAACATTGCAAGTATCTGAGAGTAGATGTTAATTAATTAATAATAAATGTTATTTGCTCTCAGAGTATTCAACCTGTACTTGATTCGCGAGTAAAAACAAGTCCCACATTATTAATTCATATAGAGCGCATTTTCAATCTGCAGGTATACTGATTAGAAGATGTACGTGGTCATCAGGATGGATGTACGACGTGGTCATCAGGCAAAAATCAATACTGTACGTGTTTTAGAAAATGAATCATATTGTCAACTGAACTTATTTCTGTGATGAGATAAGTAAAAAATCACTAATGGAGGAGCGTTCTATAATCTGAGTAACATATGGAGAAAAATTATAGAATGAGTTTTTAGTGACTGCTAAAGCGAGATTCTGACTCGTCAATGAAATAATATCCATTTATTGTAGACATCTACATGTATTAAGCAGTAATGTAGATCGGAAATAAGTCAGGAGCGCGTCAACAAAGATAACGGTTTAGCTCGAAGAGCTGATATCGCAGGAGCATAAATAGTTTCATGTGACATCATTTTTTATGGATGAGCAATACGGTGAGACCGTTCAGGTATTTATGAATCTGATATTCCTCATTAATTTAACATAATTTCAGTCCCAGGCAACCCATTTTAGATGAATTCTAAAGGGAAGTAGCTAATTTCATTATATTAAAGATTATGTCGAGCCATTTAATCAATTTTCTTCTCTTAAGTACGTACAGAACCTATGGTAAGTGCAGCCTGGCTTCCTGACTTCAGTTCTGACGACAAATCAGAAGTCATGCAGTCATCGTTGTTGCTTCTCTCCTTGTGACGCACGACAAGACGAGCGTCTAGGTACTTGAATGCGGCTACAAATTTGCAGCTAATCAGCAAATGTGAATGACGTCAGGATATATATGTAAACTATCAGCCATTAGCTTAACCGTAGACATGACGTCAGGACCACCAATAATCATTATATATGTAAATATCAGCCATTAGCTCAACCGTAGACATGAATTCAGCGCCCACGACAATCATTATTTAGGCAAACCATCAGCCAATGGCTAAAAACTTGCCCAACAGGAGGTAAGCCAACAGCAGATGCGACATCAAGGTTAACTATAGATATTAAATATTTTTAGCAAGCGTCCTTGGCCTAGGCAAAGTGTTATCAATTTATCGGTACGGCTGCACGAATAGAAACGCGTGCATGAGATGGTCTTAGACAAAGTAATTTTAGTCTTAACTGTAGGGACTGCTACCGCTCTCACGTTCCCTTTTAATTTCTTCTGTTGAAGCACTCGTAACAATTATAATATATATGATTCACATTAATAATAATAAGACCTTCATTCCACACAACGCAATTGATACAAAAATTCTTTAATAGTATAATTAATGAGTTTTGTGCTGCAGCTGGACATGCTGATCTGCCTGCACATGACACGAGCCAGGGTCGTGAGACTGTAGATTACGATGAAGTGCGCATCGAGTTCTACTCACGCTCATCCTGCTGATCATCTGTACATAGCAATATGACTTTGGTGCCAACTAATGACTGCCGCAGATGACTTCCATGTGAGAAAATCAGAAGTTTTTCGACGTAGTAAGAGTAAAAGATTTGTGGTGAACTGCTAATTGTCTTTAGTGCTCAAAAGACTGGAGCTTGCGAAATTCGACTATAGGTAAAGTAAAACTCTGCACCTATAGGTGTATATTCGGTGTGTTTTTGAGTCATCATTACTTCCCGACCCTACATGATGGAATCAGTTTTAGGACCTCCTAAATGAATATCTTACAAGGGGATGCGAAGAGGACAAACGAGAAAATGAGGAACGGAAGGCAATATATGGGGGAAAGAGAACACAATTCAACACTCACTTTAACAAATTAATTCCATTCACAGTTAATCTCAAATCGCGTTCACAGATAACTGCTCGCTTCTAAAGGATGGGCGCTTACCATCCACGAAACTCCCTCAACGCCCTACAATCCTTAGCTAGATACCGTGGTAAATATCAACAGTATTTAATAATATAACAAAATTTTTTAAATCGAGAACACTAGAGTTTTGTAAATCAGCTTTGACCTTTGAAGTAAAACAATAGCATTTCGAGTTGAAAAAATACTCCTGATCAGTCAAACGTCATAAATATCATTACACATCATCAGTTCAAAAATATGTACAGTATATCGAAAACCTTTTGGGACCGATGATGGAGCTGGTCTCCGAAACGTTTTCATTGACGATATAAGGAATTCGCTTAACATTTTCTTCGCTTTAAAATTCATGACGAACTTTTAAACTAATCATATATGGCATATATGAAGTGTTCCTGGTCTGTTTACGATAATAATATAATAATAATGTTTAATATTTTTGATAATTTATTAATTTTAATAATATTTACATATGAAGGTTGTGTGAAAATATTAGCAACTGGTAGATTATCTCAGCAGAGATAATTTTGTGTGTACCAGACTTTCTCACAACGTGAAACAAATGTCAATGGAAGCGAGAAGTTTTTTAAAAGGTCACGGGGGCGCTACTGCCCATCGCGAGCACGACACTGAAAATTTGGAAACATTTACAAGCATTGATTAGAATATGCAAGGCAAAGCTCAAGAAAAGTATTGAAAAAATGCACGAAAAGGCGAAGAAAATACATTGAAAAGTGTGAAATAGTTCTAAAATGTACCGATCATAGATTTAAATCTCAAATATATTGGTAGAATAGCCGGAGCTCCGTATAGACTGTGACGATATCTACAACTCACATCAGGCGTTAGATACGACGGTGGCACACATGATACGAGACGAGGCTTCAAGGTGACACAATAACAACTAGACATCATACCGTATAATATAGGTAACATGTTCCGTTTGAAAATATTTCCCTTATAGCCTGTCCCGTACTAATATATTACTCCTAATCTGTCCCGCATGAAAACATCGTTCCTAACCTTTCCCGCAAGAAAATATTGCTCTTAACCTGTGCTGCATGAAAATAGAACTCCTAACCTGTACAGTAGAAAAATATTGCTCCTAACCTGTTGTTCCAAACCTAACCATGAACGAAAAAATCTTCTATAACCAGACGCACTTCAGAGCAGTAATTATAACCAAGTAAACCATTTATGCACGGAAAAACTAGTTCAGTATATCATGCGCAGTTTGAAAATATCATTAATAATTTGTCTGCAATGAAAATATTGCTTGTAAACTGCACCACATTTATTACTTTCAACCTGCTGCGACACGGTCGAAATGAAGAGTTAACTTTAAACTGGTCAAGTGGTGGCTACTGCTATACAGTGTGCTGAGCTACCTTATTGCTTTATGACGAGTCTAGGACTTCGTAGTCTAAGGTCAAGCTGATACTCCGCCTTCGTCGTCCTCCGTCTCCAAGTCGTCGATAGCATAGGCAAGTCCGCCCTCGGATTCCAGATGTATAACGTTGAACGTGTACGGTTTATTTGCCCTTCTTTGGGCCAGCTGATATAAGATACTGTTGCTTGTCACTTTCTGAGGGTAGTTTCTCACAACTGGACAATCCGGGGTTATACTCTACCACAAGTCCAGTCGTTTCTTGAATGTTGCAAGGGTGAACTCCACTCCTAGTCCTCTCATCACTTTTGGTGAGGCATCAAACAGTCTCGATCCTGCCACGGACAGTGATCTCTCACGAAGAGTCTGTACTCTGGCCGCGGTTCGGTTATTAAATGGGAGAATCTTGCACGGTTTCCCCCTCATTTCGTAGTAAAATGTCACTATTTCGGAGATCTCACTTTCAAAGTTGGGAACCAGTCCGGTTATCATCTTCCAAGTGTTCAATATGATTTACCTCTCTCTTCCCCTCTCCAGTTAGTACAGTCCCAGGTGTTTCTGCCTGTCCCAGTAATTCAGCTCCAGTTCCCTCATACCGCTGATCCTAGACGTGAAGGTCCACTTTACTGAATCCAGTTTCCGCACCGAGCCCGCCTTGAGCGACGCCCAAAGCTGGCAGCAGTACTCAAGATTGGGGAGCACGAGGGCTCTGAAGAGTGTAATCATTGGTGCTGTTTCTCTCGTTCGAAATGTCTGCCAGATCCAACCCATCCGTTGTCTGCTTTGCGCGACTATTTTAAAAACTAGTGTGCTGAACTACCTTCACACTGGTCGAGTGGCGGCTACTGCAATACAGTCAACAGCCGATCATGAGCTCTATGGAAACTGATCAAAAAGCGACTTCTGCGACAAAGTCAAAGAGCAGCACCACAAATTAGAGAATCTCGTATTGACATTTACTTCATTGATATAATAATTGTTTTCTGCTGTCCGAAAAAGATGGTACAAGAGTAATGAACATTATCGTATTATTTCATGTTACTATGAGGTTATGAGCATGTTTGCTATTTCGTATCTAATTTGGTTCTCTATGAAGGTTGTGTTCAGATAGCATTGATTACAGCAATCTCGCTAATACGACAATCTCGCTACCTGTATTTCCAGAGATTAACCTTAACTCCTACTTTAAAACACCTTAAGCAAGAAATTCTACTGTATTCACAGGAACACGTCTCTTAGGATATCTCGTATATGACGACTGACCGATATTCTTGACGATAGTCAGTTACAGATATCATCGTCGATGTCCAGCTAGTGACCGATATTCTTGACGTAAGCCAGTTACAGATATCTTCGTCGATGTCCAGCTAGTGACCGATATTCTTGACGATAGTCAGTTACAGATATCATCGTCGATGTCCAGCTAGTGACCGATATTCTTGACGTAAGCCAGTTACAGATATCTTCGTCGATGTCCAGCTAGTGACCGATATTCTTGACGATTGTCAGTTACAGATATCTTCGTCGATGTCCAGTGATCGCTATCCTCAGGTGTGAGAGCCAGCCAGTCTTGGGGTCATCGATCACCCGCCGCGGGCCTGGAGTGGCGAAGCTACGCCACGCAGTGCGAGTGTCAGGACTGCGTGTGGTGGTGCTCACGCTGTCTGGTGGTGCTTATATACTGCATATATACCGTGGTATATGCTATACCGTGGTGCTTATATACTGCGTCTGATGGTGCTTACTGCGCCTGGTGGTGCTTATATACTGCTTATATACCGTGGTATATGCTATACCGTGCTGCTTATATACTGCGTCTGGTGGTGCTTACTGCGCCTGGTGGTGCTTATATACTGCTTATATACCGTGGTATATGCTATACCGTGGTGCTTATATACTGCGCCTGGTGGTGCTTATATACTGCTTATATACCGTGGTATATGCTATACCGTGGTGCTTATATACTGCGTCTGGTGGTGCTTACTACGCCTGGTGGTGCTTATATACTGCTTCTGGTGGTGCTTATATACTGCATCTGTTGGTGCTTAATGCTCCTGGCTGTATTTACTGCGCGTGGTGGTGCTTACTGCGTCCGGCGGTGCTTAACACAATGTGTTGTTTAAATGATGGCTTATTCAACGGAGCTGGAGCTAAGTGATCAGTTGGTGCACGGATATTTCCTTGAACTGATCTTTCATTGAACGGTTAGGTTAGGTTAGGTTATGACTGCACAAGCTATTGAAAAGATTTGATGTTTTCATGATCGGCCGGTGAACTTATCAGTCGACGATCTACCGTTAAACCAGCCTTGTCTTGAGCCTATTAAAATGCGCGAGATTGGAAATTCATTTCACTCCGTACATCTGGAGCGATAAATTTTGAATATTAATTAATTAAAACAGAATTCTATTTTGATTTTTGTAGTTTTAAATGAGAGAATAAGCAAATACCTTAATTTTTAAATATCGTATTAGTTTACGAAAACAATGTCTAAGTGACCAGTGAAATGTTATAGGAGCAGAGACTGAAGGTGACGCATGAAAACAATGATTATGCAATGGTATTTCTATCGTGCAATCTACCACAGCAGAAGATATCCTGCTTATCTTGGTTACATGTGAAGGTCAGGCGAGTAATAAGTAAAAAAATAATAATATGAGTTAAATAGTTACACGAAAATTGTATTAAAGTACGCTTACTTGCTCACCTGACGAAGGAGAATATATTTTAATAGAATTGTAATCTGATATTCCATCTCAGCTCTAAATGTTTCAGAACCGGCCAGGTGCTTTTTAGGTATACCCGGACTTTAAATTAGTGTTATAGGTACGGGAACGCGCCACCGTGTGGGTAAAAAACTTTTCTGTTGGTAAAAAAGTGTGATCACTTGTAAGGACCACAAGCGATCAAGCGATAACATGGGGATCTTAAGTTCTTAAGGTAAACAAAGATCGGCGCAAGGCAAATGTCACTCGGCACGAGACAAGCTTCAACTGGGCCAAGAATTATCGAGGAGAAGAATTATTGTCTGGTCATGGCCTTCATGTAGGGGACTGGTATAAATGATTATTGTGTTACTCATAAAGTTATTATTCGTGGGATTAGGGAATACAATGGGCTGCGCTTGAGGAAGACAGTAATGAATTTGGATCAAGTGATGAACCAAGAGCATGGATACATTCGGGTAAATCGAATGTCTCTCGTTATCGAATTCTGATACTACGATAAGAAAATTGATTTCGAGGGAGGAAGAGAAAGAGAGATTTTTATCAATGTGTGTACTCATAACGTGAAAGGACTTATGTTCCTTCTTTCTACAATCATTGAGTCGCTCACTTCTCTCAAGTTTCTCAAGTCTATCCACTTTGTTTCACTTGTGATTTATTTGTGAAACGTGCGTACTGCCCGGCTATAGAAAGCTCCTGCAACGATATATTAAAGGCCAATATTTCACCTTCATTCGGGATATTTTAAGTGAATGTGAGAGGGCTAGATAAAACTGAATATTTAGTGGAGTATCTCAGCGCTCGTGATAAAATAAGTGTATTCATATACTGGTAAGGCTGTTTCTGTATAGGAAAGGTTGTTCAATAACGCCTTAGTCACATGGCTTATTCTAGTCACTAGATACAAAAGATTTTGAAATTTGAGTCAAGTGATGCGCAACAGTTGAATAAAAATAAACTGTCGGCCGCGCACTTAATGGCATTATAGCTTGGGCGATCAACTACTCAAATTATTCAGGTATACAAAGAGATAATTTACTAGTTAGTGGATCGATACATTCGTCTCATAAGTTTAATTCTGATAAAATAATATTGAACGACTCGAAACTGCAGAACTGCTAATTCTCGAATTAAAAACTTGCACGAGGTTGATCAGTGGTCGCATGTGGTCTGGGTATAAGTTTTTTACATTGAATTACGACATTAGAAACTAGACTTACATTCTCTGTCTATATACTCGACAGGAAAGAAATTGTTTGAGTTTGCTCCTTGCTACCCCTCTCTCTCTCTCTCTGTTCGAGTCATTAGGGTAATTTTTTATTACCTCGAACTGCATCAGTAATCCTGGAGTGCTGAGCTCACAACCGACCGATTAATTACTAACTAAAGATTTTCTAATCCAATTACGTTTCTTTAATCGGCAGAGAATCATTATATTTAAGGAACCTTAATTGCTAACTCAAGATTTATTGGAATATGGATCGAAGGAATCGACCTTGAATTTTTCATTTTAACGGTTTCGTTTGTCCTATAACCTTCTTTTCTGGAAGTGAGAAGACATGTCAGGAGACCTACGAACTAGCACCACCAACACAGAGGGCCATGCTGCCGGGGGCGAGACCGCCTCTTCAAGAAAGACCTCACAAGGGACAAAACCAGCAACCAGACGCCTCTCTCAGCCCCCTAGGAAGGCTGCCCCTAGAACGGCTGCTCCTAGAACTGCAGCCTCTAGAACTGCTACTGGAAAAACTTCTGCCATCAGCCTCGCTCAGGAACTAGAGGAGCAACTCAAGTATAGGTGCGTATGACAGTTCATTTCACGAGGAAATATATTTTATTGTAGGTTTGCCTGTTTTAATTTGAAATGCATAAGATTTTGACATCATAATTGTGTTAGGGCAGCTATATGAAGCTAAATTTCATTGCTGGGAATGACGGGAATATTCTTTTAAAATAAGTTGAACAACAGGCATGTAATAAGAATTATTGCTAAGAAATAAGAATTATTGCTACACTCGTACATTAGCAAGAATTTCATGGTGTTAGTATCACAGGTAAAATGAATCATAAAATTTAAACGTCTGCCCCTTACCTTATCTCCATGGATTGAAAAATTCCAATTGTCTTCTTACATTTAACAACACATGTTCAATCGCTTGCAAGAAACGAAATATATGTTAACGACTATGATACGATACATACACGAAGGTTTGTCGACATCTACTAAATGGTTATTTTTATAACACTTATGATGCTCCACAATCTACATTAAGAATGATTTGCACCTGAAGAATGAGTTTTGTGCCATGCCACCCGTGACGTCTCTTGCATCACAGTATTAAACCCTCATGATATGAACTTTTAAAAACGTGTGACTAGCATGACTCAGGTTTTTGATTGCCTTTAAATTTAGGCAAATTTTTTATTAAAAATAAATTTTTTAAAGAGATGCATTGTTTTCCCACTCCATATTTTTGCACTATCCCTGGTGCTTCTTTGCATGTAATCATCATCATCAAAAATATGAATCGTTCAATAATTTTATCTTTTCACGAAAATTGTTGCTGGGACTTGAAAAAATTCTGCAGTCATTTTTACATGCATTTTGGCAGAAGCGGACATGAATGTTATGAACTTCAAAATAAATATTTACAGTTTACATTTTTATGGTTTCCGGCACGGATTTTAACCGAATGCGCCGTAAGTTAGGTGCGTTTTATCTTTAAATGACAATACATCTCCAAAATTCAAGGGATAATTTTAACAAAGAGTGAAAAAGAAGTTCATAACTCTGCTTTTAAAAAAAATCCGAAATTTTTCATTATCTATCAAGTACTGCAAAACCTACATTGATGTAACAATGAATTTTATCCTAGAGCACTAATTAAATATTTTCCAATGAATAAGAAGTGCATTTTGCTCCCAACACGGGCTTATGTTATTTTGAATCACGCACATTTTAAGCACACCCCGAAAAAAATTGTACGCCATTGTTGTCTAGAAGACATTCAGGTCGAGTTGACGTCGTTATGATGCAGTTTATGTGGTGTTCATTTTGCGTTGTCATCATGTTGATGTCGTTTTAACGTCACGTTGATTTCGTGTTGTGATAATGTGGATGTCGTTTTGACATCACGTTGATCTTGTGTTGTCATCATGTTGATGCCGTTTTGACGTCACGTTGACTATGTGCTGTTATCATGTTGATGTCGTTTTGTCATCACTTCGACTTCGTGTTGTCATCATGTTGATGTTGTCTTGAGGTCACGTTGACTTTGTGTTGCCATCATGTTAATGTTGTTTCGACAGTTGATACCGTGTTTACTTCAGCTCGAACTCATATCGATTTCGTGTTGATTCGTGTTGACATCGTACTGTTTCCTAGCGCATGTTTCGTCATGTTTTCCGATCTTGGACTTGAATAGATAATTGAAAAATTAGAACATAAATGAAAAAATTAGGCGAGATCGAAGTTTCATTGTGAACAGAGCAGCGGGCCGAGGCAGCAATATTATGTTAGACTCGCTTTCTCATGCCGGAGTTGCTAGTGAAGCTTCATCAGGTCTCTCTGGCTCTCAAATTATACAAGAATTATGAGAAATTTTTGATGCAGGACGACCTACTTCTTGTTCCAACCGCATGATGCCCAATTTAGTAAAGCTGACTCCTTTTCATTGTTACTCCTTCGGCCGATGGCACACAACAGATTGACATATAATGAGAATGCAAATGTTGGTAATGGAACAAAATTAAGTGAGAAAGACTCGCCATCACGCGAGGCTTCTTAGACAAGCAATATCTCACAAGTGGGTAATCCTGACTCACTTGTTCGTGTGAGTGCAGCGCAGGTCACCGCGCTGCGGCGATCACCATAAGGAAGGTTTGGGACAACCTCGGCGACGACGACCCGTGAGTTGTGCAGGTGTTTGCTTGCAGTAAAAAGTATTATTGGCGTTCATGTCGACATAAGTGCGGGCTCCGAGGACTATATTAACGCCCATATCTCCATCATGTTCTGCTTCGCTTGTACTAATTCTGCCTATCTTCGTTTCTCGCGACAAACTCGCTAGTCTAATGTATATAAGTACTTTTTGCTAGTATTGATGTTTATAATAATTAAATTAAGTAATTCAGGATATAGAGAGTTCATTATGTGTTGAGTTGCCCGCAGACCGCTCTCATCGACCTGTAGCATTGATTGAGGACAGTATAGCAGAGCGCAGGCTAGCCAACCCCTCGAGTGCAAGGCGAATAAAGTAAGTTCTTACAAGTCTGCTTCACGTGTTCACTGCGATATTGCCAACAAATCTGCTTCAGATTTTAAATTTAACAGTTAAATGATTCACTGCGACTTTGATTTGAATATTTCTAGGCAATGCGCACACAGTTTATTGCTGTATTGTTGAGAAAATCTTCATAAGTGACATTTAGATTTTAACTGCCAGTGCTAACCATAGAGCAGCATTATGTGTGCTTCTTGTAGTACTGATACTCTCATCGCAGTGCTGATACGCTCATCGCAGTGCTGATACTCTCATCGCAGTGCTGATACGCTCATCGCAGTGCTGATACTCTCATCGCAGTGCTGATACTCTCATCGCAGTGCTGATACTCTCATCGCAGTGCTGATACTCTCATCGCAGTGCTGATACGTGACTCTCCAGAAAATATTTCCGGTGTTACATCAGTACCGAAAATCATCGAAAAATTTCTGATCGTAAGGGAATTATGGCTAAGAAATCATCCACTGTGGCGGTTTCTCATCTTTGCAGCTCGATCTATCGCGTGCATCAGTCGTTTAGTGTCGTCAGTGCACTCGTCCAATACAAGGAGAATCCTGCCTTAATATTTCCATATAATATTAAAATGTTCCTTCTGATCGAACAAGCGCACAGTTTGACTTACGTATCTTACATTGGATTTTAAATTATTCTGGTGAGATGCTCAGAAACTATTAATCTAATTTGCTAATCTGGATTTAAATTTTAACTTGTATTCAAGCGTATCACCATAAGCAGGGTCGTTCATTGGTACTGAAACATAGGATAGTTACAGGAATTTCTATTTTCGGACAGTTACAGGACTGATTCGACATAATTTGAGCATCTGTATAAGAAGCAGAATCGTGAATGATATCAGATAAAACTGAGCGGTAGTTAATGTTATTGCATACGCATGATACGCTAATTTGTGGAAATTAAAAATTGTTCTAAATGACTTTGTAGCGGATCAATTACAGATGATTCCCTTGATTGTCCAGATGTACTGATTGTAAATGCTTCCGAGGTTCACGACCATCGTTGAAGTTACACGAGCTGTGCATTATTTATTCACCGTATTTTCGATAGATTCCTATGTATCCATATAATTTCCAGCCAATGCATAAAGAAATTCACATTTATTTCCCACTAAATTTGCGTCACATAAATCATTTCTGCATCTTGCAACATTCACCACATTTCGCACTGCTTGCTTACTGCGTTATTCATCACTTCATTTAGTTTGCACATAATATCGCACTGCCTATTTCCCTTCATTTTCATCAGATACCGTGTACACATTATTTGCAATACTGGCTGTATTGGCTTTGTTCACATCATTAACTTGATCCATTACATCACATCTTCACCTGTAGCATTTGCATAATTTATACGATCTACATTTCTCACATCATTCCCAGACCTTACACGGGATCATTCCATCACCTACTTCAATGGTTGTATTGCTTGCATCACTCATTAATAAAAATTTCCTCAATGTGCAACCCTTACGGCGTTTACAGCACTTATCTGCATTTTATTAATCTTATTTGAAAAATTTTCACTGTTTGCATTCTTTATTTGGAAAGTGATTTTAATTTATTGGGAGAAACGTATAGTGCTTCAGAAATTTACATAAAAAATCTGTTCGAGTTAATGACACCACCTTATATAGCGGGTTTGGGATTAGAATTTGAAGAAAGAATAGTTACTATAGTCAAAATAAATTACTTTGTTTTGAAAGACATACGAAGAAACGAAGGTTTCATCTAGTTACATGCATAGAAACGAGATATCATCGATGTAATCAAACTTAAGTGTGACATCAGAAGTAATATGATAGATATGATAAAATCAGTATAAAAAATGTACATAACTTAGCCATGCCTGGTAATGATGTTACGCGATGTAAAGGGACACCGTGGCGTGGTCCGTGGGCGTGCTGGAGCAGAGCGTCGCTGAGCTGGAGCTGCAGCTGGACTCTCTGCAGCGCGGTAGCACCGATGAGGGTGAGGGCTGTGAAGCTGAGGTGTACACTGATGTTTCTAGTACAGGACGATAGGCTACATCTGTTTACTTTGCAATGGGCTTTTAATTATATAGCTACTAAAAAAAATTTTGCCTGGTGTTTCTAGTACAGGACGATAGGCTACATCTGTTTATTTTGGGCTTTCAATAATATAGCTATTAAACAAATTTTTGCCTTGTGTTGAGGGTTACCACCATTTCTATTCAACTCTTGGATATTAATTTGATGGTCAGTGGCTGCTCAGATTTTAAATTGAAAAGATGGCCAATCTTCTTGATATCGATGCACGAGATGTGTAAGATTCAAAGAACATATCAATAGTTCCAAAATTTTTCCAACAAAATACCAACGCATAAATTTTTGTTTAAGCAGCTTTAATACCATCATTAGTTTCAACTATCAGTGAAAAATAAAAGATTTTATTGTTATGTTTGAGAAAAAAATCGGGGTCCGATCCGACCACAGATTTTTTACCTAATACTCCAAAAATACCGGTAGCTGAGTAGTAGCAAACATTAAAGTTATTCAGCAACTTATTAGCGACCTGTGGTTGAAGCTTGCACTGTTGCAGCCGACACGGAGTTCAAGCTTCGGTACGAGGCTCAGGGCGACCTGAACAAGAAGCTGCAGGAGCAGACCGAGTGGTACAGTCAGGAGCTCGCTAAGACCAAGGAAAGATTCAGACAAGGTCAGAGGTCTTCGTTGCGCAGGGGTCTTTTGACTTCACTGTACTTCTTCTGAAGTTTGAAAGGCAAGGGTCCCTGGTTTTAATTGAAAGTGGCTTGCGGTCTATAAGCCAATGTTTTGGCTTTCAATTTAGCTGCCTGTTGACTTCGATTCACTAATCTATAGGTTTAATCTAAGGGGTCTGCGGTTATTATTGCGGAGGACTGTAGTCTTTATGAAAATTGAACTTTGAGTATTTACTGGGGCTTGAATTTATTGATGTTATCGAAATTTGCTGCACTTCTATGTTGCAAGTTTAATATTTAGTGAAGTGATCGAAGATGTTCTCAACAAATAGTTGGATTTTGTAGTAATCTTTTTCTGTAAATGATATTATCCCTGTAGTCATGTCGTCTATGAACCGATAAAGAATCGATAACAAGATCCTTCTACCATCGGAACCTCGTTTCAAACTTCGTAGACAAATTTCTTGCTATAGATAACAGTTTTTAGATTTAAATTTATGTATTGGTTGATATATGTACTCCATACGCCCATACGCCCATACGCTTCATTTTCCTTTAAACGTGAGTCCTTTATGAGGCATAGTACCCTCCGATACAGACCCTTTGCCCAGTGCTTTTCGATTAATCCGTAATATTACGATCGTTATAGGGAATAATTTTTTTTCATATATGTGCAGCTCAGCAAAGAGCTTCCTACAACCTGACTACCTTGTGTGAGTTTCCCCGAGAATTACTGTAATGTCTTCAGTGAGATAAGTTAGAAGAGAAGAATTATGTTGTAGAAGGCTGAATTATCATGCATTCTTATTCAAAAGCTGGAATAAATAAGGGGTTTATGTTCATTACGAGGCAGAAAAAAAATTCTTGTTCACTCCAATATCTTGTTGATCGATTTCTGCCAAATTTGCTCTTTGATTATTTTTCAATTTGATTTCATTTGCAGGTCAAGAGTACAGCTACGACGCAGATCTCGACCACTATTCCGAGGTAATATCAACGTTCGTCTTCATAATTAAGGCAAAATGTTTCCAGGCATAAAATTGTCTGGAATCAATGTCACCCATAATGAAACTTTGTTTCAATTTCACCCAACGCTGAAAAGCTTTTTTCATGATCGCTTGCTCATCACGAACGATTGCCAATTGAATATTTTTGAGCTCCCATGCACATGAAAGAATTTTAAGTTAACATGAAAGAATGCGACCGAACACGACGCTCGTTTTACTAAGTATCTTTATTAAGGATATCTACAGATTTTCCGCAAAACTTGACCAAATATTTCTGTACAATCGACCGTTTTCAAATGTTTTCTTTTCCTTTGCCCTCCAGAAAAATCACTCAGTTGTTGTTATTATAATGTATCACATATGATTAAATTGCTCCATATAATTGTCTTCAAATAAGTGCACGACCAATGTTGTAAAAGCTCCATGGGAGCGACCACTCCACTTTTCTGCAATTCATGTTGACTAGTTGTTGGGTGGCAGGCTGAGTTGTCCGTGATGGTGCGACAGCTGGAGCGGGAGCGGAACATTTCCTACAGTGAATTCCGGAACAAGACGTGGCTGCTGGATAGCCGATCAAAGGTGGGTTCAAATTAGCTGGCTTCTACTCACCATCTTTTCCAGCTACCTCTTACTCATCGTGGATACCAGTTGGAACTTACCGTCATTGCCAGCTGTCCAGAGATGGCAAATCTTCCAAGCTGCCCAGGACAAAGCAAGATAACGTATCGTTCAATTATCTTCAATTCGTCGATATGTTAATGAAAAAAAAGATCAAAATCTTGCCGTGGCAGAGATAATATAGAAATAAAAAAACAGCAACAAAAGTTTAATGTAAAATGACTATAAATTAGAACTGCAACCTCTTGCTGTGCGACGAAGACTATGAGCCAGATGGCAAAGATCTTGCTACGCTACGATGATACTACGCTAATTAGAAGCCCCGTAATGATACACAAAGATCTTGCTACGCTACGATGATACTACGCTAATTAGAAGCCCCGTAATGATACACGTGTCGTGTTGTGCAGGAGTATCACCAACTGAAGGATCTGTGCGATGCGTACTCGGGGGATCTGAGCTTCGTGAACAGGTCGCTCGAGGAGATGTGGAGGAAGAGGTCGACCAGCAGCAGCACGTCGGCACCCATCATGTGGAAGTGGGCTCTTATTTTAATTTCAATTTTTATAATTCTAGGTAAAGAATTAATTTCTTAGAATGGGTAAATAAAACACTTTCCTTCGATAGTAATGTAACATGACATGTTCGTACACTTTTGAAATGACTTTTCTGTTTTAGAAATACACTTGAAAACCATGCCTCGAAACGTTGAAAAAAATAAAATTGATCATAGGCAAATGTCCAATGAACCGAAGAACTTCGAGAAGATTACAGAGGAAAATAATGGTTGATGAAGTTTAATAAATTTACAATGTATCCTTTATGATTGTAAACTAATTTATTGTTGCGTAAATTACAATTTCATTGTTTGTTTTGTAATGACTAATCTGCTTGATTGGAGCCCAACATTAACGCACGTTTCTAAGGTTGAGACGTTATGAATCTAACATCGAATTTAACTAAATAAAATACATCAAAATTTCTCTGATACAGAATTTTTACCAAATAAATAGTTTAAGAGGTTCTTTTATAGTTATGAATGATTCTGACTTGTCTGCTGTCTTCTAGAGAATCGACTATTTCTTTATTAAACGCTTACATATACGTACAACTCAGGAAATAGATCCTCCGTACCCGTACTTTTTCCGCCTCTTGTGTCAAAGGAGTTGATAGATATTCTCGGCCCACATTCATGACTCATTCATGAAACGTGTGATACAACGATGAAATTCAAACCCAAATGTTTTTCACGTTATGCAATGGGAATATCAAATTGTTTATTCTTCATGCTATGTAATTTATGAATATAATAAATACAAAATTTTGACATAAATAAGTATTATCTTTCACGCGCCCATAATGACTGTCCCCACTAATTAACGCGTGAAGGGCGGCACAACCCACCGGTGGGTCGTACCACCGGGATGAAATACGACCTGAATACTACATAGCACCACATAACGTGTTAATAACCCGTTTATTTACCTGATAACAATACTGACGTGTTCTCTTTTGGTTACAGTGGTGAGCCTGGCTTCTTACCCGCCCACCGCGTCATCAACCCTCGGCATGGACCTGTCAGGAAGACGGCAGGGGTGCGGTCGCTACCCAGACTGGACCCGGAAGCTCTTGGGGCATTGCCATCCTATGAGAGCATCAGGTGGAATAATAATGGCTTCTATTGTTGCAAGTTATGGTTATAAAATAACTTAAAATCTCTTTTTCCAATCGGTATAATTATGGTATAGATTTCATCCAAAAATTTCTAAAGAAAGGTTCCCTTTCGTAGCTTTATTGCATGTTAACAACTCTCCACTACTGGTGCTTGATGATTAATGATGGGACGGTTAGAAGATCGTGAATTCAGCACATTAACAATGCAAGCTAACAATCGGAAGCATAATAGAATTCATGTGTGAGACTAATATCGATGAATACGAAAAATTTTCAGTAATTGAAAGTTTAAAAGAAAAAAAAATGCTTCCCTAGCTGCGTGGAACTGTCGTTCCTAGCGAGAACGTTTCTGAAGACTCTAAAAATAAGATTTTGTTTTATTTAGAATTTTTTTCCCAAAGCCATCGACAAAAACGAGCAACGTCGTCTGAATATCATTACCGCCATTTTATTGCAGATTGTTAGTTTTTTCAGGTATTAGCAAATATTAGCTCCTTACTTTGTGGGTATTTTTATTTATGTACGAGGTATTTGCTCGAAACGGGAAGTGCTTGAAATGGCATAGAAATTTTCCAGACGAGCTGGCACTTTTGATAATTTTTATTGTTTTTTAGACAACTTTATTATTACAAGTTTCAACGTGAGCAGAAAGGCTGACCAAAGGGCACAAAGAACTCGTTCCTTGGACGAACGAGGCCGTCGTAAGCGCCTAGCAGCCGAGGCTAGGCTCAGACACAAGTCAGCCCAGCCTACAACAGCCTCGGAGCCTCTCGACGCACCTTCAACTGAGGAATTGTTGTTAGTGGCACCGCCCCAGGAACTATCCAGTTCCGGTGTTGAGCAGACTGAAGACGTGTAAATAATTCAGCAGCAAGTTGTAGTTTTTTACCACGTTTTTCTTAGCTCGCTTTCGTGTCCGTCTGTCTGTGATGATCAAATCTTGCAATCGATATTTCACCAACTTTCCCGCTAGCTAGCGCTCTGAAACTTTTAGGGAAGCTCAGCTCCCGATGACGATACAATAATCAATAATTTGTTGCACGTTTCCAGGTGTATTTATTAAATGAAATGTCGACCGAGAAATTGTGGACGCTGCTGCCGCGGTGACGCGCTGTTGTGATGGCAAAGCCTGGCTTAAATACAAGACAATTTCAGGACCCGCTTGCCTAACTAATATTACTATCACTTAGCGCCGTTCATTCATTGCTTCTTTTATCGTATTTTAATGTCTTTCATTACCGATCCTTTCTTTATTACAGCCACGCACCCAGATAAATACGGGAACAACAATGTATCCCCTCGAATATGAGCCATAATTTATTTTCTACTTTTTAGTCCACAAGAAAAACGTAGTTTTTTAAAAAGTTTTATTTTAAGTATTTTATTTTTAAATAAATCTTTTCCTTTCTTTCAACTTACTGGTAAAAATGTCATAGTATATGGTATATGGCAATGGTATGGTAATTCATGTTTTATGAATTCGTTCATGGTCGCGACTAATTCGAATGAAATATTTTACTGTAATTGTATATATAAAGTTTTGTTAGCGTTGAATATTAGGTTATGTTTGGCCTATTGACAATTTTAACCTTCGAAGTATTTTCACAGCTAGTCAGGTAACGAGCCCGTAGCTCACTACATCATGTAGTTCTTAACTACCCAGCAAATTTGTCGATGTAGACCAGAGATTTTCACGGTTAGGTAAGGCTCGAACTCGCAACTCACTGCTCCAATCTTAGCGCTCTTAAATTCTCGCCGAGCCGCCTCTAGCATATGTTTAAAATTTATTTTCTATAGAAGGTAAAATAATTTAAAAAACAAATAAATTTACTAACAGAATTAGAGTAATACATTTCTAATAATTAGCTTTTTCATATATTCAACTTCAAATCAATGTCTACACTTAATAAATAAATAATAATAGCTGTATCAGCGTTTATTAGGCCGTAGGCCTGTCGCCGATTCTTAACATTGTAAAACATTCACAGCTTGTTGCGGTCTCGAACTCGCAACTCATTGCTCCAATTAAATTTGCTGTGCTTATAACCGCTCGACCTTCTCGCCGATTCTGACCAGAAACCGGCGCACAGAGATGGGATCGAACCCGCGCCTCTCTGCTCCAATCCTGGTACTGAACTGTAACCTTTGGGCCACCTGCCCTTAAATGACTGTTACTATTTTAATTTATTTTCAAGTGTTGAACTTAAACGAATTTGAGGTCTGAAGAATGAAGGAATATATGCAATACATAAGTTATTATATTCATAGAGTATAACTTACATTCTACGTGTTGAGTTTGCATGTTATGATTAGCAAAAATAACTTTTTTGGCTCAAAATTTATCAATCAATTGCTTATATTTTTGTTGCATCTCCTCTAATAAAAGGCTGGCATGATTTCAGAAGGCTGATTTCTCTTCAGTTTTGACTACGTTGCACTACAAATTAGACGAGATTAAGAAGATTGGTAGAAGATGCCAGGAATTGAAGTGAATTTAGTGTCTCATTTGTTTCAGATACCAAAAATGAACCGTAGAAAAAAAGGGTGCACGGCGTAGGTCATAAATTTAATTCTTAGATTAGTTTACTAGGCTGAAACGAGGCACCTGCGCTTTAATGCTGACGAACGTAAAGTGTTTCTCCTTGCTAAAAATAATAATATACGTTTGAAAATTACTTTTTAAAGACAACACTTCTAAAGAATCCAGTGTCTCCAACGTTACAGATGTACAAAGAATTTCTAATTTTATTTCGAATAAATAATTTTTTTCAAAATTAATTATTGTCAATTGATTCATGCATTGCCTCTGACTTCACACAAGTATGCAGAATTTCAGATCAATTGGACAGGTAGAAGTGTGTCAAATATCAATTATAAGATTTGTAGCTGACAAAATTATTTTGTCAATTTTTTTAATATTGGAAAAAAATATTTTTAAATTTTCAAAATTATTTATTCTGTCAATTGATTCATGCATTGTCTCCAACTTTACGCAAGTGTGCAAAATTTCAGATCGATTGGAAAGGTAGAAGTGTGTTAAATATTGATTATGAGATTTGTGGCAGACAAACAAACAACAAGAAGTGAAGTTAAAGAGAAGTGTTGTAAAATGAACAGCAAGCTTACAGTGCGAGAAGACATGGTTGCAATTAGAGAGTAATGATTGAGCACTCGACACTGGAAACAGACTTGGGTGTTGATGTCGACAAAGAGTTGAAAATATCTAAGCATATCGAAGGGGTATCTAATAAATTCAATAAAATGCTGGGACTGATACTACATTCCTACGAGTTCCTAGAAACAGAAGCGCTGTTGTTTGTTGCTGTCGTGTGCACGAACCTAGAGTTTGGAAACGCCGAGTGGTCACCGAAACTTGACAAAAACAAAAATCTTTCGAGAGTTTTCAAAGACGTGCAACAAGGATAATTCCAGGCTAGAAAGGCAAGTCCTCTGAAGAAAGATTAAGAAGCTTCCAAGCCTTATTTAAGTATACTCATGGTTAATAAAAGGTCCCAGCCGGATTGCTAGAATTTGAAACAAGAACCAACATTAGAGGCCATGGATACAAATTAAAAACCTACGCTGCAATTCATCCACGCGACAACATTTCTTTCCGCTGCGAATGACCGACATGCAAGACAGCTTCTCTGATGACATCGTTGAAGCTCCGAGTAATACTAATAGCGCGTTCAAAAACAGATTAGGCACAGATGTGCAGAAGTATATGTTCGTTCTTGAAATGCCTAGCCCCCTACGGACGTGGTGAAAGTTTAATAGCTATTTAAAACAAACGTCAGATTTAAAAATATCTGGTCATGAGCCAGTTATTAAATAGTCTGTAGACGAGTCATGAAAAGTAGAAGAACTGACGACAGCCCACGCGCCCATTTCATCAGCGTCGACACAACTATGTTGTGTTATGTCATATATAATAGGAAATTTTCTGTGCGGTAACAAGGTGATTAATTTGAAAGTAAGGTAATGAGTGTCAGTATTTTAGTAAGTACAATTGACAAATACAAGATTGATTGCTACTTCACTGTTTTCGATTCTACTGATTTGGATATCTTATCTGTGTGATGAACACCTTTTATCAACTAGGTTCCTGAGAGACCACTCTCTCCGACACATCACTTCCTATTCTCACTCTCATCTTGTTTACAATTTTCACGTTGCAAATTTAAGCTCTCGTTCAGAAGTCTTTGAGACTGTGTCTGTGAGTATTATTCGAATAGTAGTATTTAAGGCGTGATAAGATTTTTTCTTACATAAGTTGTTAAAACTTGTCTTTTATTTGATACATTATGAAACGATATAGATTATTGTAAAAGAATTGGTCAATTAGCCTGTGCCGTAGGCCCGTAGCGGGGAACCACTACCTACCATGTACAGGTAACAGATGTAGTGATCATAAAGTGATGTACTGACAGTAATCGCGGAAGTCTACTGTACAGTGAGTGTACACTGCGTTGTAAATTAGCTAGTAATATGAGGTGCACAATGAAAGAATCTGAAGTTAATATTTTAATGGAAAAAACTTGGCAAAAAACACATCCTAATTTGCACGGATCGTTTTCTGTTAAGATAAACTCCAGACAGGAATAATGGGCAGATTTTTTAGAATACCGCGGGTAAAAATAGGCTCTTCAAGGGTGAAGTTGTAAAATCGCGGGTGCAATTTTCGTCCTCCCGGGTGCTTCTCGAAAATCGCGGGTAAGAATTTACTGTTCTCGGGCAATTTTACGAAATAGCGTGTGATTGTTCTGCATTGTTAAGAATAGGCGGCAGGCATATGGCCTCATAAATGCTGAAACTGTTATATTTATTATTATCGTATTTCTTTTGTTTATTGTTAACATCTGAGCATACCGCCTTCAATTTGCAGGGCCGTATGTATCCAACTTGGTCAAATGGCCGCGTATTCTTAAACATGAAGCGTCCTGGGGCCTATTTTGTTCGTTGCTTTTATAAATGATCTGCCAGAAGTAGTGTCCAGCGTGTGCTCCATGTATGCCGACTACACAAAAGTTTATAATACAGTGAAGAATGTGTCAAATGAAGCGCAATTGCAAGATGATCTTGACAGCTTAGTTNAAAAAATTCGCTACTGAAGGGTTTGATGTAGCTGCTCCGGCTCGCGTGTCCGTAATCCGCATTATGAGAGACACCACCAAAACGGCAACAGATGCTTGCATTTGTTGAGTGTAGTGAGTGACTTTATCTGTGAAAGAAGGTACGACGAATTCAGTACAGCCTTACATGTAATGAATTTTTTCTGGCGATGTGCTGTTTAAGGGCTTTTGGCCATTACTGTTGAAATTGTAGCTCTACGGGCGCGGTTAAATTTATCCATGGCCACGGGTGAAGAAAACCATGGCCATTGGCTACGGGTGAAATTATACATGGCCACGGGTAAAATTGACCCTCGTTGACGGGTGGTTTTTGCTCTTGTACGGGTGACTCCTGCCCATTATTCCAGTCTGGGATAAACTGATAAATAAATGGGCTAATCTGAATTGTACATTTGAACCCTAATACAAGATCGTTATAACTCCTAAAAAGCACTATTGGCAAATAACGTACAAACGTTCAGTCGTTCAATGACATACATGTTAACTGTTACGTCTCTACGCCGTCTCTGCAACCATGGTTGACGTCCAGGCCATGGTGCAGAGGATGGATGCAGCATCGCCAATGTATGGGTTTTCAAGCCCTAAGCGTTGCCGGGTAATTTTATGATGCGTTGCCGGGTAATTTATAATGAAAAGCCATTTACGCTGAGTAATGAAAAACTATTTTCAAGCCACGAATTTATTTATGAGGTTGCATGCACGTGTTACTCCAAATAACTAATTTTACCCTAAAAACAGTCCGATTGTACTGCAAGTGTCAACTGAACATGTGATAATGCAGTCTGACCACTCTAATGTGACCGCAACTACATAATCGTAAACTTGATGTTTACATTTTTTTGGAGGGGACTCATTGCAACTGATTTCCGGACAAGCTTCACTGCATACTGATCAATCCGACATACCAGAAACCTTACTTTTTTTAAATAGTTGGCCAAAGCCCGAAGACTGACAAATATATTAAATGAAAGAATTTCAATCTAAATGTGTCGGCAAGATCTTCTGAAGGCATAAATTTTGCAACTGAAGCGTCGCCAAAGATCTTGCAATATTCAAATTATTCATTCACTCTCTGCACAGTGGCGTCCAGGGAATGCCAGGGATTCCTTTCCTAACTTGTCTCATGGGAAACCAGGGTTGGCGATTTTTTTGATTTTTTCCAAAAAATAAAAAATCAATGATTTTTTTGATTTTTTCATGATTTTTTTTATTTATTTGATTTTATTGATTTTTTCAGCTTTTTTGTCTTTTTTGAGGTGTTATTTTTTATGTTGCAATTAGCCTACTAACAATAACAGTATATGGATCATAATGGATGGCTAAAAAGGGCACTTATTGCCTCCAATAATGGCCAACAGGCCAAGGTGGTGTTTACCACTTAGGGATTTTCGGGTAAACAAATATTGATAAGTCTATTCATTAGCTTTGTAAAGTTTGTATGGAGCAAGGTAAGAAGCTAAATATTGACCATTTAACTGGCTTCAATATACAAAAACACTTCAGGAATGCAGATCTCCTAAACATTGAAGAGTCACATAACAGATAGGTAGCTGCTTGCACAGTGCACAGCACTATCAATAGATCTACTAGTTTTATGTCCTATAAATCTACCAGACTCTACCTTCTATACACACCGACTAGTAGTGACTGAGTGACTGACTGCGCTGTTCCCATTTAATTCAGACCAATAAACCAATACTAAACATAAACTGAATGATAACCAAACAAACCTCATACGACTTGAAACGAGACTTAAGTTATGAGAAAAGCTAACACTGTTTGAAATAAACATGTGCACAATAATGCCACAATTCAAATATTTTATATCCATTCACTGCATTTAATTATTTTATATATAGTCTTATAATTGTAATTGTTTTGTTTCTAGTTTTAAATTCACATATTTAAAGATTTAAATTAAATATTTCAATTAGAATACTTGTCTTTCTAATTGCCTAAAAGTTCAATACAATCCGATTGAGCAGAACCGATTGAGCAGTTTTGAGGTCAAATAAAAGAGTAATGGAGGTACATAAAGAAGAAAGTTTATTTTCCTAGAGGTTGAGGATTGGGCAGTTTTGAGGTAAAATAAAAGAGTAATGGAGGTACATAAAGAAGAAAGTTTATTTTCCTAGAGGTTAGCATAACATACCATTTAGAATACTTATGTTTCGAAAACAATATCTGGAAGATGGGGGCTGTTAGCTGCAACCCACTGTTGGAGTCGTTCTCAGAGGAGGGAGTAACCATGACCGTGAATTCCGATTGCTATGCTGCAATGTTGCAAAATTTCTTGCAGCCCATGATGGAAAACATTGTTGAAAATGAAGCATTGAGAGACGTGGTTCCAGCAGGATGGGGCTACAGCTCACACAGCTTGAATGTCACTCAATGTTTTGAAACGCATGTTTCCCATAGGTCTGGTGTCTCTGAGGGGTGATTTACAGTGGCCTGCAAGGTCACCTGATTTGAGCATTTGCGATTTCTTTCTTTGGGGACATCTAAAAGAAAGGGGTTCAGAAGTCGCCCTCACACCCTACCACAGCTAAGGAAACGGATTATTGCAGCAGAGGTTATGGCCATACCTTGCCATATGTGTGAACGTGCTTTAGGAAACTTCCGAGAACAACTCCAACAGTGTGATGCAGCTAACTAACCCCATCTTCCTGATATTATTTTCAAAACATAAGTATTTTAAATGGTATGTTATGCTATCATGAGGAAAATAAACTTTCTTCTTAATGTACCTCCATTACTCTTTTATTTTGCCTCAAAACTGTTCAATCAGTTTTGCCCCACCCTGTATAAACTAGCTAACACATTTAAATTATATATTGTAATCAATATAAAACAAATAGTCAAATAGTTAGACTACTTATAGCCTTATAAGAATTAGCTAAGCTACTTAGCTACGTAAAATGTATTACACTCTTGATGCCTCTGTACCAAAAACATTCCATTTATTGGAACCTAATACACACTAAAGGCAACAAGTTTATATACCAATTTGTCATTCATAGTACATTTATACTAAACCATGAATAACAATAACTCAATATAAATTAAAGACTGCCACTCAATATTTTTAAAAATATGAAAAAATCAAAAAAATAAAAAAAAATGAAAAAATAAAAAAAAATCATGATTTTTTATAAAAAAATCAAGTGATTTAATCACATGATTTAATGATTTTGATTTAATCATTGCCAACCCTGTGGGAAACTGTTTGCTGGCACTATTGTTAGCTGTATTAATTTCAATTCCAGCACAACTGATTCTTTTGCTGACTGTTTTCAGGATTCTCTTGCTGACGGGTTGCAGATAACAAACAAATTTAGAGATGATAGAACAATGTTATGCGCAATGCAACATTATATGATTATCACTGCACCAAACAGTTGGCATGAGGTGGATGTTGACAATTATCATTTCAACTATTCAGTACGTCAATTGGGTAGTATCATAAAGGAATGGACTTCACAATTTGACATGGGAAAAATTGGCACAACTTCCCTTCCAACCTCTCACGTCTGATGATCTCTTCTGTCTCTCTTGACGCTATCTGACTTCTCCTGCTCGTATCTCTCCTTTTTTGAAAAACTATAAACAACGCGAGAACTTTCGCACACAGGTGCAGAACCCCACAAAACGTAAAGTTCACCTACAAAATATGAGCGTGACCGTGATAATCCTGAATTAAACAATTTGCTATTAATGAAATTAATCTGAATAATTGAGTATTACAAAAAAATTCTAATAATTTTTTTCAACAATTTTGATTACCGTCAACCGGGGCTACTCGGGACAGGACAGATTTGATCGTTTTTTGTTAATAACTGTTAACTTCTTATGATGAAACATTTCATGAACAAATTTAGGCTCATTTTATAGCTCTTTGTGAGAGCTATCGAATGGCATTTTAAAAAAAATTTCATATGCTATTCGTAAGATGCCAGACGCAAAATAAAGATTGTCCCGAGTAGCCCTGTCGGTCGGGGCTACTCGGGACAATGGGAATAAAACTTCATTTCAAAACATTTGAAGCATGCAGAGCGTATTCATCATTACTAACAGTACTCTGAAGTCCTCCTCTTTCATTGTACATGATGTAGAGGTAGAATAAATGACATTTTCTGTGATTTTTACTTGTTTATCCTTTATTGATATGATATTGCCATATACATTAATTACCGTATTATTGATGTGCAATTATATTATTGATGTGATATTACCGTATCCTTGAACATGCCATTGAGCATTTACAACAACCTTGTCCACTGCAAGATTCATATCAGCAGCCTTATAGCATTTTTTTCATTCATATCTGTAAGCTTACAGGACGGCTCGTAATTTCACATCATTTTAATTGGGTTAAGTGAATTTACTATGGTAAAAAAGATTGTGAAAAACATACCTGAAACGGAAAGGAATGTTTCAGTGACAACCAACGTATCTTTTGGAGAAATAAATCATAGTTTAGGTCAATTACTTTTCATTTTATGATGCCTGGTGCACAATTCTATACATGACATGCTATGCACAATCTTTGATGACCGATGATGCACTAATTTTTCAATAAGTGAAATTTTTTGCTGAGCAAGGAAAATGTGATCAATATTCTTTGTTTCTAATCATTTTTTTTTGTAATTGGAGCCTTTGCTAACTGAGGTTCTACCGTAAATGCGTTTTTGGGGGTGTCCCAAATAGCCCCGGGAGGTGCAACACCTGGGTGCAACTTTTACACCTGGGTGCAACACCTGGGTGCAACTTTTACATAAGTAAAATTTTTTAATATGGCAAATATTTTTTTTGCTACATACCTTAGCAGTTGTAACTTTACAAAATATAGTTTTTCACCATTTTTTTCAGGAATTTTTCAAAGCAAGTAAATGTAGTATTTTTTGACTTCCTTTATACTACATAGATAGGAAAAATGTTGATGTTTACGCCACTATTTTTAGTTTTGCAATATTCCAATTAGTTTTGCTACTACAACAGTTTTACGCCGTGTCAGAGGCCTGTCCCGAGTAGCCCCGCTTGTCCCGAGTAGCCCCGGTTGACGGTACTAAATATTCTTTAGAACTGGAGTCTATACCATTACAGTGCCCTGCCCTGTATTGACATTCGAGTAAAGGTAGATGTTTTCCATGCTTGGTTACTTTACTTACTTAGCAATTAACATGCGCAAGTCCTTGCAGGTCCAATGCAGGACTCTTTAATTTGGAGAGCAATTGAGCATGCACAAATAATTATTTTCTTGTTTAGCATCTAGGTATGTTTTGTTACACAAGATAGGCAAAATAAACTTTTATTGATGATATTTGTGGCAGCGCAGCAAAAATATAGTTGAGCCTGTAAATAAGAGAAACTCCTTGAAAAAAAGATGGTGCAATTAAAATTGAGATTCCTTAGTTTGTTTCCTAGCCTGTGTTACCTGAATTTTGCTGTCAGTTAAGCATGGAAAGCAGCATAAAATGCTTACCTTGTGCCTTAACAGCATGAAATGCTTAACGTGCCATTTTGGTGTTTTTTATTATTACGTGCAAAGTCTTGCGTTGTTTTTTATTGCAAATACAAACTCCTACATGTAAGAACTTGGAGACTTGTGTCTCTGAGTGTACATGTAAACAATATTAACAGAAGGGATTCTATTTCAGTTGCCGAGATGCCTGCCATGCCAAGTGGAAGCTTGTATCAATCCCAGGGGCCCAGCTGCTGGGACAGAGTCAAGATTGGTTTTATGATGGGCTTTTCAGTTGGACTGGCAACTGGAGCACTCTTTGGTGGCTTTACTGCTATCAGGTAAATGATAAAATTGATGAATCAAAAACTGTATTTATCTCTATTTATTGTCATCAATAAAGGGATTTCTTTACATGTATGAATATGTATGAGATTCCAAACAGGGTATGATTTCAAGAAATACTAATAAATAAACAGGTACGCACAGTTACATATCAATAAATCCCAGAATATAATAATGATTTTTATTTGCTGGCTGGTGTTGAAATGATCTGTTCTCCAAGCTGCAACTGTCTTTTTGAAGACAAGCTGCAACTGTTCTCCAAGCTGCAACTGTCTTTTTTTTTTAATTGTGGCCATGAGTTCAATTTTTAAATCTCAAACACCTTTTCCTAAACTTGAAACTTGATATTCAAACCATTATTTTTTTTGCATCATATCTCCAATTTTACTCAAAAATAGCTCTCAATGGCCAAATCAAAATACAAAAATGCTATGTTTATCTGTTTGTATTTGAGGCAATTAAGTTAAATTGCCTCTCTGTCAATGATGTAGTTTTTGTCTGGAGAGTAGAACTAAACTACAGAATATCAAATTTTGTTGGCTGCCCTTGGCTATGGCATTGGTGGTTTGTCTGTAAATTTTGTTGTTGGTAGTCTGGAAAAACAATTTGAAAGTGGGCAGTTCTCTTGTTCATCATACTAAAAACCAGGACTTCATTCAACCATTTTTGAATGTCAATTTTTGAAACACAGTGAATATGAAGTCATGATACTTCCTATTACATCTGAAAAATATATACAATATAAGAGCTGTAAGATTTCTTACATGAAAAAATTGTGTAAAACTGGTGGTCAAATCCTCCTGTCTGGCCTGAAATTGTCAGTGAGCATGTCACAAGAAATAGGCTTTGTGCATTTGAGCCATCAGTGCTTAACTCTTGGGCTATCACAAAATGATAGATTGTAGATCACTCTTTGATTGAGTCTTACATTCTGTCCAAAAAGTGAGACTTCTTGCAGCTCAGACTTATATCTTGTTACTATTCATTCTGAAGGCTTTGGGGACAAAAAATAATATTGGCCGTTTTTTGGAGGGCAAGGGGGATTTAGTATTCTGTTTGAAAATTCAACATTTCTGAAAATTAAAATTCAAGAAAGTTTAATTCAGTCAAGCAACTACGGGACAGATAACAAATTTTATTTTGTTACCAGGTATGGCTTGAGAGGTCGTGAGCTGGTGGGCAATGTTGGCAAAGTGATGCTACAGTCTGGCGGAACATTTGGCACCTTCATGGCTATTGGCAGCGGCATCCGCTGCTGAATACTTATGCTCTCTGGCCATGGCGTCGAGCCATTTTATTACGTATTGGAAGTTCTTGTATGAAGCATCTGTGGTGCTATATTTGTTATCCTATATTCTCGACGTATGGACTTGCAGAATTATGCCTGTGCAAATTTTTGGGAGGTTTTCATTGCCTTTCTGTGTGTGTATATTATATTGATATGCTCAGGATAAAGCAGTGATTGTAACATTGTGGAAATGACAAAATATCAATGCCTTTAGAAATATTGTCAAGGTTACCGACCAACTTAGCTCTTTACCGACCGAGGTGGAAAGTGGCATGTTGTCAATTTGTTTTATGTGCTAATCTCATAACATTTGTATGTGAACTATCGTAGCTGGTCGTGCCTTTTGCTTATTAAAAATTCATACATACTGCCTAATTGTAGTGGCTCACTTAAATTTCGCTATTACTTGTAACTGGTGCATTTCATTTAATTCTTTCACTGTAGCAGATAGGCGCAACAGAAACTTAAATGCATAATATTTAGCTCCGTGTAATTCAATTCAAATTTGGCGGAAAAGAGGGAGATTGAATTATGCGTGACTTCAGTCATGACTTGTAGAAAAAGATGATATTGGATCGAAATTGACTTGGTGTCAGTACTTCTGCGTGTTTGTGAGGTAGAATTACCGGCATGTTAAAGTTGTTGACATGATGACGAAAGTGCCACAAGTTAAGTAGATAGAATCTTCCTAACCGAGATTAAAGCTGGGTTTCTAAATGCATACTTTGCTACCCTTAATTTTGTACAGCTCATATTATTTCAAACATTATCTCGTATGCTTTAACCTTGTATCAATTATTTATACTCTCGAATCAAGTTGCTTATCAATTGTATGAACTGTCTAAGTTTTAGCCCTCATCACCAATTTTTTGTGTAAAGAAAATTTGAAACTGGAGTTTTGAGATTTTCGATTCGAGTCAGTTGACAAATCTCTGTACTATTTTTTTTCTTTGTGTTAGGCTAAAACTTTATTATTTTTATTATGCTTGGTTGGAAGCATTCCATAATTATTTGAGCTACGTTACGCATTATATATTGCTCATACCAGCCATACGTCACTTGTAAATATATATATACAGTTCTGTTGTCATCCAGCCGTAACTTGCGTTTTCAAATAAACCGTGTCTAAGTGCTGGGTTTCCCATCCTTAACCTTCAAAATACTAAGTGAAACTTTAACTATGTAGCGTGATACGTTCCGAGCTCATTTCTGCACAGTCGTCTCTAATGATGAAACTCCTGTTGAGGCAGCCTTGATGATGAACGTCCGAGATTGATATCTGAGTCGCGCTGCAAGAATGATGCCGTAAATTCTTAACGGTGTATTGTGTCACTAAGCTAATAGTCATCCCGCATTTACAATAACGAATTAGGCTTGATTCACACCATACTGCCGGACACGTGCCCGGCATATGCCAGTCACTGTAAGTTCCATGTTATAGATGCATTCACATGTTCAGTCCTGTCACAGGCAGCCTTCAGTTCCTTTCGTATCACGTGCTCTGCCAGTCAAGTCGCGGTCAAAATATTTCTTGCCTTGAACGTGGCTGGACCGTGCCTGGCATGGCAGGTGCCTAGCGTGGCTGGTGTGAATGGGTGCCTAGCGTGGCTGGCATGGCAGGTGCCTAGCGTGGCTGGTGTCTACTACTACAATGAACCTCCACTTACGAGTCTGTCGTTTTAGTATCCAGACTAGTAATCTAGTATATAACATAACATAACATAGTGATGTCGGCTCTGAAGTGTAGGCCTGATGTGGCCTGTCGCCGATTCTTTTCCATTTCGTGCCTTGTTCATAGATCTAAACTCGTGTCATTTGACCGGATATTTTCATGACTGCCGATAGTTTGAAGAAGCTACTAGACTTCCACCGGGTTCGATAAGGAGCTAGGCATTTCAAATCTGAACATATATTTTTCCATAGCTTTATCTAGTCTGTTCTTGAACGCGTTCATACTTGGAGCTCCAACGATGTCATCGGGGAGGCTGTTCCACATGTCGGTGATTCGAAGCGAGAAGAAATTTTGTCGCGTGGTGAAGTTGCAGCGCAATTTTTTTAGCTTATAGCCGTGGCCCCTGGTGTTGGTTCTTGTTTCAAATTCTAGTAACCCTTCAGGGACCTTGTATAGACCATGAGTATACTTGTATACTTCAATGAGGTCCCCACGCAGACGTCGATAACTGAGGCTTGGAAGCTTCATAATCTTCAATCTTTCTTCATAGGACTTGCCCTTCAAGCCTGGAATATAGTATATAGTAGCTAAATTCTAGTATCTACGAGGGGCATCCGGAAAGTAGTACCCGTTTGGGATTTGAACAAAAGGAAGTAAATTTTAACAAATGTAAACATGTATTACACTACTTCTGTACATAATCTCCGGCCAAATTTAAGCATTTGTCGTATCGTGACACGAGTTTTTGTATACCAGTGTCATATTCCTCCGCCGCCAGTGTTTCTGGGATCGGCAAGGTGTACTGTTCAGCAATTTCATGACCCGTGGAGACACAATCTTTGCCAATGCATATTGTGCAACATTAAAAAAATTACGGCAGGCAATTCAAAATCGACGGCGAGGTCTGTTGTCTCCTGACGTCATTCTCCTGCACGATTATGCCAGGCCGCATACCCCAACAACAACTCCAAAAATTCACGTGGGAAATTTTCGACCATCCACCCTACACTGGCGGCGGAGGAATATGACACTGGTATACAAAAACTCGTGATACGATACGATTCAAGACGTGCAACAAGGATAATTCCAGGCTTGAAGGGCAAGTCCTATGAAGAAAGATTGAACATTATGAAGCTTCCAAGCCTCAGTTGTCGACGTCTGCGTGGTGACCTCATTGAAGTATACAAGTATACTCATGGTTTATACAAGGTCCCCGAAGGATTACTAGAATTTGAAACAAGAACCAACACCAGGGGCCACGGCTATAAACTAAAAAAACTGCGCTGCAACTTCTCCACGCGACAAAATTTCTTCTCGCTTCGAATCGCCGACATGTGGAACAGCCTCCCTGATGACATCGTTGGCGCTCCTAGTATGAACGCGTTCAAGAACAGACTAGATAAAGCTATGGAAAAATAAATGTTCAGATTTGAAATGCCTAGCACCATATCGAACCCGGTGGAAGTCTAGTAGCTATTTCAAACTATCGTCAGTCATAAAAAGATCCGGTCAAATGACACGATTTTAGATCTTCTATGAACAAGGCACGAAAAGGAAAAGAATCGGCGACAGGCCACATCAGGCCTACACTTCAGCGCCGAGATCAATATGTTATGTTATGTTATGTTAAATGCTTAAATTTGTCCGGAGATTATGTAGAGAAGTAGTGTAATACATGTTTTTTCTATGAACACGTTTAAATTTGTTAATATTTACTTCCATTTGTTAAATTCCCAAACGGGTACTACTTTCCGCATGCCCCTCGTAGTTAGGTATCAAGTCTAGTATCTATAGTCGAGTATCTAAAGTATAGCCTCCAGTCTAGTAATCTAGTATTAGTATACTATCCATAGCTTAGTATGCAGTCTAGTATCTATAGTTTAGCATCCAGTTTAGTAATCTAGCATAGTATCCATAGCTTAGGATGCAGTCTATAGTATCTACAGTTTAGCATCCAGTCTAGTAATCTACTATAGTATCCATAGCTTAGTATGCAGTCTAGTATCTATAGTTTAGCATCCAGTCTAGTAATCTACTATAGTATCCATAGCTTAGTATGCAGTCTAGTATCTATAGTTTAGCATCCAGTCTAGTAAGTACCCCCCGTGCAGACCGTGTCCCCCAACGTAGTGGCGGCCGGCACTCAGCTGTGCCTCCCCAACATCGGCTACCACCGCTGCCACGTGGCGCAGGCTTACTTCACCTTCATCGGTGAGTAGAAAACTTTCTTTATGATTGATGACTGCAAATGGAAAACTTGAAAAAATCACGGTAACTGACAATATCTTGGTGATTATGACACGATATGGTTTCACCGTGTAACGTTTCCAGACTCGTACCTAGATACTTATTTGATTGAAGCATACCTGGGCACCCGATCTTATAAATGCAATACTAAAAATCAAATATGCAAGATCTTTCGAGTTTGGATATTAGAAATAATTATAAATGTATTATTTTATTTATATTATGCCAAGTTTAGAGTCGGGAAGTAGTTAACCTTCAATTATGTTTGTGGCTAATCGGAAATCACTTTTCCGAACCGGAAAAATCCGAATCAATGTTTGAAGCATGACTAAAAGAAGGCTGATATTTCTTTTGCATGTTAGTTGGTGCGATGAAATACTCCCGGTTGTGCTCAGCTCTCTTGTTGACACTGCTACTCCCCGTCGGACTTTGAGGTCGCTACTGCGTGTTTGGGCGCAAATTTTTCGGAACATTCAAATGATGTACAGCTGATCACTTCCATCCTGATCTGTGCTGTAACTTATCTCATTGCTGATTGTCTTCCATTGTTGTGGAAAACTTGGAGGAAACTTTCTCAAGATTAAACAATAATTAAGTGAACATAATCGTCAAGCTGCAGGATACTTGAGTGAACGATATCTCCAAGATACAGTATATATGTTTTTAGTCGGTGGCAGCGCTGCGCAGGTCACTGTTATTCCCGTACGTTCTTGGGACTTTGTTGCCGTTAATGGGCCTTGCGAGTGTGATAGTTATTGATACCTGAAGATATAGTATATTGTTAACTGTAATTGTTGCCTATTTTCATGCTGATTATTGAGTTATGAATACATTTTTATGAATACATTTTTCTAAACGATTGAACGTTTTAAAATATCACATTGCGGTCATTGGCAGTCCCGGAGATTTTTCAATAGCTTATGAGCTCTTTATCCTCACTACGAGAAGTATTACTATGGAAAGTAGTGTAGTAAACACAAATAATTAACGGGCATATTAATCTTTGGTAGAATAAATCGAGGTAAGAATCAAACTAACAGGATCTCGATACATTACTTTTATTTCATTTTTCTTCATAATTAGCTACAAACATTCAATTCCAACACAGGTTAGCTTGTGCACCGTATTGGCCCAACTAAACGCATGGGGTCTAGAGCCATTTAAAGTATAAGTAGGAATATTCTTGCCTAGATGAGCTCACCAACACAAACCTAAGCCATCGACACTTGGTAACACTAACACCAATCTCTGATCTGAACAAACGTGGAAATGCTTGGTTTCTATTTGTCAGTGAAGCAGTTCAGCCCGGTATCAATTAAATGGTAGATTTCTGCACCTAATAATGTCACATGTCATCAAAGAGTTGATTGAATAACAGGTTTATGGAGTTGTTGGTGTTGCATTTCATTAAAGGTTCACAATACAGACAGCACGAAGGAGTTGCTACAGAACACTCATATGCCAACAAATGTCATCTCCATATTTACGTACGGATTGTTCTACAGCTATTTCTCGCTTCTACAATAAATTAGTGTCTAATTCAGCAACGATATTCCAATTAGAGATTAACAATAGATCCAGAACAGGTTAAATGAGGCACTAACACAACTTTATACCATTAAAACTCTCAAATTTAACATCAGGCATGAAGCTGGAAATCAGGCACTATACCTTACACAGAAAACTGTCATCAGAGTTGACGGGTAACTATGTTGAGGCAAGCAACACTAGGAATCAGAGTTGGCTACTAAACCTTTTAGTTGACAGGGGGTCGGTTGGGTAGGAGAAAAGCATGGCATTATAAAGCCTCCATCGAATTCAATAAATTTTTATAGTTGTAGAATAATGCTGCTGCTGTGTAAGTAACTGGATTTTACAGAACTATAGGAATTTAACCGCATGCTATACACTCTAATAATTGCAGCTAACATTTGTGCCAGACGGCTTTATCCTCATGGAGTGCTGCATCCTGAGTGCAGGTATAGCGTTGGATTATGCAAGTCACCGAGCGTCATCCCGCTCATTGGTCGCTTTAATCTAATCCTCCTAAGTACAATATTTGAAAAATAAATAATATGAAGAATTTTCTTCTTCATGGTATAACGATACATAAGCAGTTTATCAGCCATGCATGAATAGAATACTCATTTCAGAACTGCTTAAAAAAATATACAATTATGCTCCATTGAATAGAAATTTGATAAATATATTAAACTACACATTGCGTAGGATATATCCCACAAGACATTCCAACTTCAACTCTTATTAGGATTTAATAGATAGGTAAACGATCTATTGACACACTTATTAATAGGGAACCTCAGCTCGAGTTGACAGCATTGGGCTGTGAACCAAGGCGTCGTTGTTGGCGATAGAAATTGTGTCGGGATATTGTCTGCATACTTGGTCCTCCGCTCCTAGAAGTTCGCTTAAAACTCTACTTAAAAGTTCTCAGGGCATAACTTCTGACCTGAAAGTCTAAAAAATCATTACGCTTCGTTTTAGATGTCAGAAAAATTAATAAAACGTCGTGACCCAGCAGCTTTGAAAAAAATTTTCGAGTTTCTTTGGCAAATAAACTTCTGACACATTCAAACTTGGAGGGAGGTGGGGATAGACTTTAGAAAGAGGGTTAGGATGAACTGGTCTCGGGTGACACGTGTACTTCTTATCAAGATTAAGCAAATCCTCATTTTAGAGGACCAGAAAAAAAATGAGACAATAGGTCTTTATAATAGGTGGATAATTGTTCAAGACGTTCTTTTTCATTGGAAAAATGTGAATTAAGTACACAGCTGCACTGTCCCTGCCCACACAACCAGGACCAAAAGCTGATTATATTTTCACACACAAGCGCCTCTAAACCTCGCCACTATGTACTGCCGGTTCTGGAGTTCAATATTACATCGTTGGCACTAAATACAATCGATACTAGGTGGCTGTTCTAAAATTTAGCATTAACATGGAACTTCACCTATTTTGCAGAGACGTGCATAACAGTTATAAACCGATAAAACATCAAAAGTTTTCGAGCTTTAGTTGACTGGCTGAAATACGACTTCTTATCGCCAACACACAATCATTCTTAAGCTAAAATTGCTCATAGTTTCATTCTGACATCCTTCGTATTTTGATCAGCCCGGAACCGTTCAGCTAGCATCAACACTCGAGTGAACGTTAATATAGTCCTAAGTTTCATGTCATTTTCTACGTCGAGGATACCAAACGAACTTACCAACAGAGCAGAATGTCAAACCGAAAACTGGTGGAATAGTGAACGTGGACACCCACTAGTACTAAGAATCTAGTCCTCTAGGGATGTGAAGTAGTAAAACCAAGGTATATGGTGCTAGAAATCCTGCTCGTGGAAACTGAACTAAATCCTGAAGCAGCAACGTGACCAAACAGGCGCTGAAAACAAAGTTGGCCAAAGTCTACGGCTTCTATGACAACAAGGAATATCACACGGAACATCATCGGCTTGCGGAAAGAGATTAGGGAATGCAAATGTTCGTTATTTTGATATCTATTTGGTTATGAGGTTCATTCTTCAAAGCTCACAACGCATTCTCGAAATTCTTGTTATGACAGCCATTTTGCTTGTGAATCGAATTCGGGTTTCATAATTGCAATAAACGAATTTATTTGAACCCCGAGTTGAGAAAATATATTTCACTTATTCTCAAAATCTGCTGAAGTTGAGATAATCTGTGAGGGAATGACACGAAATAAAGACAACAGTAAAGTCGCACAATTTAAAGACATCTACTCACGAGTGTTGGGTATGACCGGGTGTCGTTGCGATATTTTCCTAAATAGAAAGTTCCATATGCACTCGCCTAAATATTTTTTATAACCGTGAGTCAAATTCCTGAAATTTTCATCACATGCTGGTGAAATTAATACTGACACAGCATCCAACATTCCTTTTTTTAGTAACACGTTATCCGTTGTATCTGAATGGAATTAATCGGAATATTTTTATTAGCTTATCCTTTGGAACGCTACATCAATAGAGGAACTCGATCTACACAAAAATTTCAACATTGAAGTATGTACGTGGAGCTGAAAAATTAGTTACCATCCCATGCATCATTGGCGGTCGCATAAAGACTGGTGAAAGAGCAGGAGCTTGCTACGTGGGCCAGCCACCTTGAAGATCTTTATCCAAGAATTAGAATCAATTTGTAAAGAATGATCAGATTATGTTTGTACGAACACCAAGAACGATACAACAGTACGACAAATTTGATAGGCAGGTTCTGGTAAAATTTCCGGATTTTAGTTTTTCACGCAACGGCCAACAATTCAGCTTATCGTGTACACAATATCGAAACAAAACATGGTTGTTTGGTGCAATATTTAGGATAGTTTGGTGGAAGCGAATTAGAAGAGACTTTTCAACCATCGCCTAAGAACTGGAAGAAATAAGATCATCTGATTTATAATATACTGCAGACACCACTGAGCACACCTTCGTGCGTCGCTAAAATGTAGTACAAACTAGTCGCTAGACTAAAGGGATTAGCTCTACTGAAACGCACTAGTATGTCATTGAGCCACTAAAATGCACAAAACTAGGCATTTGTTCCACAAAAATTCCCTCCAAGTAGTTATAATGAACATCGTCGCGGCATTTGGTTAGATCCTAGTATCGAGGTCGTACCGAAAAATAGCGTTTCAATAACAGCGTCTGGCAACAGCAGATCATTAGGCCATTCAGTTATGCCCAGCTGCACCCATCCGCTATGGATTCTGGAGCAATGAGCTTGGAGCATTTCTTATAGATACAAATGGCCTAGTAACAGTTCAACCCATACAACTTCACGACCTGATTTAATTTACTAATCAAAATGACATGGTATGCAAGGAAAACAATAGGTTCTCAGAAATTTCTTTGGGAAGTCGCACTTCTTAGCACGTGAAATGTGAACTGGTACTCTGCAGTAATGATATACCATTAAAGTTCTCGACAAATAATACACTAATGTCAGAAATCATTTACCTAAAACTAAGGACAAAACTCCACATTTCAATGAAAGCGCTTGCTCGGAATGTCTCTTGCAATTATCATTAAATAAACTTTTCTCCAACTCAACTTGAAACGTGAACGACATCAACAATCTAGCTTCAACGAGGATAGACAAGATCACATCTTAGGCTTCAAGAATCTTATTCTAGCGTTTGTTTTGGAGCAAGATAACAATTTTTCTCTTCAAGATCATATACTTTTGCCTATTTTCAAGCAGTACAATATAGCTTCAATTAAGACCAAACACTTTGGAACGAGTGCTCATAAATAAATTCTGCATATAACCAAAATAAAAACAACAATCGTTAATGTGTTTCACATGTTTCTCATCGTTACCTCTAGGCAGCGGACCGAATCTGCGGAAGCGCAGGTGAATAACAATTATCAGTTGGCAATTGAGTAACTGATCTAATCTTTACGAGACCCCGAATAAACAGCAATTAGATAAAACTTTAAGCAAATTCTATCAACACGCCGTCAACTCGGAATCACAAATAAAAATTTGAAGTCGTCTGAATCACGCTATTAACTCTCAGGAAATTTATCTTCTCTGGCGCGGTTTGGAAAATTCATATTTAAGTCAATAATAAAATATGAATCTTTATTATGCTTGTTAATACACTTGCATTAATATTATTTGTTTTTAAAATGAGACGGCATCTGTTTTACCAGTTTGCACATTGCTGAATGAACTTTTAGAAATCTTTAGGCATGTCATTACAAAGCTTCGCTTAACAAACCGTATCATCAAGTACCTATAAATATGTATTCAAGCCTCTTATTATGAACCTTCAAATGTCAAAATTACTTATTACGAAATTCCATACACCCAAGCTTTTAATTACGAAAGTCCAGATCCAGATACCTCAGCTTGTTATTATGAAAGTCTAGATACCCGCGCTTGTTATTATGAAAGTTTAGATACCCCCAGCTTGTTATTATCAAAGTCCAGATACCCCCGCTTGTTATTATGAAAGTCTAGATACCCCCGCTTGTTATTATGAAAGTCTAGATACCCCCAGCTTGTTATTAAAGTCCAGATACCCCCGCTTGTTATTATGAAAGTCTAGATACCACCGCTTGTTATTATGAAAGTCTAGATACCCCCGCTTGTTATTATGAAAGTCTAGATACCCCCGCTTGTTATTATGAACTAATAGTTGTCTCGTTTTTTTTATTAGGCTCTGGATATCCCAGTCTGTTATACGAATGTTCGTAAACGTCTTGGTCGGGAGACGTGTAATAAACGTCTAATCAAAAATCTGTAAATCAAAAGAAAATCTGAAAAGCGATAGTGCCATGAAAAAATACTTGGCTAATTGCTCCTGAGAAATGAAACTAATTCTCTGTGCGAAGAAAGTATAGCTTGAGAAAATCTGGAATCCCAAGCATTTTACCTGCAGAAAGATCTGCCCAGAAAGAACGAGTAGGTGCCGCAATTTAAAAGCAACACATATATGCGGATATTCCGTACAAGCATGTCAGGAATGATTCAAGTCTCCAACATTAAGAGGGTTCACAATTTGTGGCTGCTCTTCTCACGCCCAGAAGACACCTATTCGCAATAAAATCCTTCACAGATACCTAAGGAAATACCAACCCGAAAATCACTCGTCGTTTTGGCAGTCAGGAAAGCGCGGCACGCAGCCTCCGTAGAGCAGTTGACCACCTCTTGCACCCAACTCATGTAAATGGCAGACATGTGGTGGTGTAATTGTTGAAAAAAAGCTACAAATTAGAAGGCAAGAGAACAAAAGATATTCAACTAAAATCGAGCAACTGAAGCCATCGCACTGAGGCGTACGGGAGCTTATTTATAACGCGGAGCATTTGAAAACAGGGCCCCAATGTCGTAGCAAAAGTTTACGTTATATGGAGCTACAACAAACTGATGACGTCATTTGAATATATCATTACGCGACGTCATATCAAGTGCATCGCAAACGATGGAGCTTCCGAGGACTGGACTAGCTTCGATAAGTAAAGATAAAAAGCAAAGTGACAACAAGCACTTCCACGATTTTATCCACCAACACTGTTAGTGAGAATCGCACATAACGTAAATGGGTACTTCTTTCGCTGCAATAAAATTACTTGATAAAGAAACTGTGGGTTTAAAATATCCATCTAGTAATGTCACTAAAGCACGCAATCAAGAATCCGTAGGCTGAACAGACGATCTGGTTAGTCGACAGTTTCAAAATTATGCCACCAAGGGACCGGAGAAAACGCGCGGCATCTGAGCTGCATTGAGTCCGAGGCGCAATATAGAAGATAATAAAATAATGAGCTATTGATAAATACAGAAATAAACATTGTAAGATACTGAGACATGAGAACGCAGCATCACAGCAGAGCAAGACGGTCGAGACTTCCTTACTCAGGCTTAAGCCTGTGCCAGTGAACGACGGTCTGCCGTGGTTTGGTGATCATGTCGCTCCAGTGCTTGGTTTCGGACGTGCCACTGCCAGCCTTACCTGCAACATAGCTTTCTATTATTCAAGAAATTATTCATTTGCATGTAATTGGTTTCGGTAGGGTAAAAATCGTTTAAATAATTACAACTTTAATTCATTCAATTGAATATTGGGATTTAAACCTGTTAATTGGAACAAAAATGTCTTATTGCATCGGGAAGAAACGAAATAATAATAATAATAATATAATCTGGATAGCAGGTCTACCGGGAGACGTTACACGACTGAACAAAAATATCAATGGATTTAGAATTGCCAAAAAAATAAACGTTGCGTCTTTATTTGAAGCTAACATATTATCGATGAATATGAAGACCGAAGAAATAACAAATAAGACAATACGCAAAAGTATAAAAATGGAATGAGCTACTATAAAAATCCATATCATATTTTTATAGACCATAGTAGTTTGAAAGAGTTAGAAACATAAACAAATTTCCTGCTTAAAGCACATTTATTACGTGATATAACACAAATTTATTTATTAAAAAAAACTAACGGTTCAAATAATTCGTGATGAAATTTCTGGATGGAAAGTACTTATTAGCAAGCGACTAAAAAATTAATTCTTAACAAGCGAAATAAAACAACACCAAAACCGAGCAGAGGCTTCAAAAAACACGTCTTTACAAGAGAAGAGACCGAGTCTTTTGCGTTGAAAGTTTCGAAACCAAATTGGGAATGACAACAAAGTTGCGGACGCAAATGAAGTCATTTGGCTTGGCAACTTTTATTGTATCGTGTGGAGCCTTAAAGTAGAGACACCAGGGCAACCAGCCACAAATACACCAAAACGAACATTGTAATTCATTATAATTCAATTGCTTTCCCAATAATTTCATGATATGCAGCTCTCGTTATCCATTCGACGTTTTGGCTTATACTGTCTCAACTCGTCCAACCCATATAAAATTACTTCCAATATTTTGAAGCGTAGACACAATGAAATGATTTTAATAAAAAATACAAATAAAATTACTTCCAATATTTAAGGCATAGACACAATGAAATGATTCAATAAAAATACATATAAAATCATTGTCAATATTTTAGAGCATATACACATTGAAATAACCTAATAAATCAACTTAGATAAGCGTCAGTAACGTACCGAGTATAATCTTGCCGATGGCTTCATTCCTGCCGAGCTTGTCGTAGTCCTTGCACGTGATGTTCAGCTGACACTCGCGTATGCGCTCCCACGGCACCTGCGTGCATCATACACCAATACATCATATTTCAATAATAAATACTAATACAATTAGTACAGACTTCAATTTGCAATAATCCAAATAAACAGCTATTTAGATTTACAACATGTTACCTCAACTTAATAATTAGTAACAATTGGGGGCACTTTAGGTTATTATTACTTCAATTAATTATTCTTTGTGTTATATAGGAATAATGAATGTGTAATAATTAAATTAAGGATGACTCACCTCAAACGTGACGGTGAAGTTAAACTCAGGATTGAGAGTGCAGAACTGGACTTCTGATCTCTTCTTCTCGATCCTCTTCTCCCCGAAGTAAAGCCAAATCTTCACGTAAGGATCTGAATCGAAATGAAAATGGTGAACGCGTTTTTCAGAATAAAATAAATTAAGAAATTGAACAAAAACAACAAGTTGTCTCTCTGAACATGAAAAGAATATATAGGGAAATACGAGTACATATTAGAAAAAGTTACCGGGGATAAGAGTTTGAAGCGAAAATAGAGAAAATTGGTGCACTCTGACATTTTTAGATCAGGCTTAGCTTGAATATTTGCAACACAAGCGTGTTTGTTTTTAATTAGAATATGAACGTTGCTTCCAAATGATGTTTGGTGTGCCTATTTACCAAACGTCTAAAATATGTACACCACGGGCGACAGGAAAGTTGTAGGGAGGCGCTTTAGTGTTATACGAGGACTCGCCTGCAACTTTAATCATTTGCATGAGAATTGCGCATTTCTCTGACTAATTAACTTGGGTTAGGGCAAGGAAGAACAGACGAGAGCAGTCTAGGCCTGGCATTTGCGGCATCAGGGATCAGGTGGCGTTTTAATTTAGCAACTCGGGAGAAACATTGTGAACCTCTGACGTCAGACCAAGAGTTCACGACACATTTCAGGGGCGCGTCGTGCGATAAAGCGCGGCACGTGAATTAGTCATCAACGAAACTCAAACTCCAGCGCATTTTTTGCAAAGTTATTATCAAATTATTAAATTATTATCAAATATTATAAATTATTATAATAATAATTAATGATGATATGATAGTAGTAATCATAAATAATAATTATTATTATAAAAAAATATAATATAATAATATTATTAATTATTATTATCAAATTCTTATTATTTTGTGCAAAGTTATTAGTCATCAACGAAACTCAAACTCCAACGCATTTTTTCAAAGTTATTAGTCATCAACGAAATTCAAACTCCAACGCAGTTTTTGCAAAGTTATTAGTCATCAACGAAATTCAAACTCCAACGCATTTTTTGCAAAGTTATTAGTCAGCAACGAAATTCAAACTCCAACGCATTTTTTGCAGTTATTAGTCATCAACGAAATTCAAACTCCAACGCATTTTTTGCAAAGTTATTAGTCATCAACGAAACTCAAACTCCAACGCATTTTTTTCAAAGTTATTAGTCATCAACGAAACTCAAACTCCAACGCATTTTTTTCAAAGTTATTAGTCATCAAAGAAACTCAAACTCCAACGCATTTTTTGCTAAGTTAGTCATCTACGAAATTCAAACTCCAACGCATTTTTTTTGCAAAGCTATTAGTCATCAACGAAATTCAAACTCCAACGTATTTTTTCAGAGGCATTTTGAGGCATGAATAATAAGCATCAATAAAATTTAAATTCCGCATAATTAGAAAACATTCACGATTTAGCCTTTACTTAATAAAAAGTATTTTCTATTAATTTCGATACAACACCGGTCTTGATGACATCACAGTCCCCCCGACAGAGATTCAGCCACCAATAAAAATATTAAAAACAAACAAGCGTTAACATTTGGTGTTATTTTTGCGCATCAGGCATAAATTCAAATTGTGCAATTGAAATGCATATTCATATATGACGAATTATTTTTCACATACAATAGCCAATAAGTTTTGAAATTTGAATAAGCTTCAATTCGTTTTTTCTGTTGAATTTCTATAATTGTTACATTAATATTCGAGTTATTGCGCAATAAACTTGAAGCATGACTATAACCAGGCCTCGAGTCGCCCTGTACCATTAGCGAGCTTTGGTCAACTGGAAGCACAGGCTGTCGTGTCAGACAAAGCCATCTCGACCGAGAATACATGACAGCGGAGGACGATATTCCAGCCAACGCTTAATGCAACTATGAAACGAAATTACAATAATTCTACATTTAAACTATTTTAGAGTATTAAAGTGATAGTATTATTATTATATTATATATTATTATTACCTTATATTATCTTGTATTTAAATAATAACGGAGATGACGTTCTTAAGCTGCCGTTTATGGATGAGAAAACCTCCAGAAAAATTCTCAAGCTTGTATAAATAACTGATTTATTGGATTGGAGCGAATCATAATTCATTGTGAATTATAATAATGTTATTGTACTGGTAATATCTGAGCTGACTTAGATTTGGAGTATATCGATACGAAAGAAATCTTCCAAAAATATACCAATAAAATTATAATCCCATAATCTTCAGATGATCGTAGTGCAAGATAAGACGATGCCAACGGAACAATTAGCGTTATACTCAACGAATAACTTCAACTAATAACTGATATAATTGCTCGTTTGATTCCCATCTCTAGAATAGGCCCATAAATATTTTACGCGACTTGTGACAAAGGCAAATGCGTACAATGGAGGGCCAAAGGGAAGCCTTTAGCTCGAGGACTCCAGGTCTCTTACGACCTCTGCCCGTCCGGAAAATGATGGCAGGATTATCAGTGGCCATTGAAATATCTGCCAATATTTTACGAAATGCCGGTGCTATCGCGCAGGAGTTGACATAACAAAAGAATTTATTTTCGTGGGAATTCATGCGGCTTCTTTGCGCAAGCACCGCGATTTTTCCGGTCAGATACTCAAATTTTCAAAGCGCAATCATTTATACGATATTCCGGAACGGTAATTTGATAAATAAAAGCTGACATCAACCACTTGAATGAAAAAAAATCTCCTGTTTACCAATAACAAAAAACTTCACCATTACATCATACTATTGGAAAATAGTTAAATCTATATTTTTAACGCTTTGTCTATCGAAAATACATTGAAACAGATTTTAAAGCAACTTTGTACAGCGCACAAGAGCGAACAACCTGCTCGGTCTGGATACGAAGGAAATTGTTGAACTGCATACAAGTATCATGTTCACAGTCAACAACCAATCAGTCTTTGAATGTGCAGTGATTTTTGATATTGTAATTTATGAAACTTCTGATGACTACCGAATAATTGTATGATTTCCGGATTATATCTTTAACATTGATACTTTTAATTATTAAGCTAGCTAAACAGCGTCGTAGGCAATCTAATATGTACTCACATGAATTTCTCTTTCACATTTCTACACAAGCAAGAGCATCGCTCAGTCGCTCACAATCTAATGAAGCTAACACAAGTTCGCGACTTCCGATCGATGATGTTTGCAACATAATGAAGTTCACTTGACTTCCCGTTGATATCTTTGGCTTTAATATTACAATATAAGCAAAAGCATTGTTGGAAATTTAATAAAGCTGATCTGACTTTCAATTAATATCTTTAGCTTTAAGATTACAATATAAGCAAAAACATTGTTGGAAATTTAATAAAGCTGATCTGACTTTCAATTAATATCTTTAGCTTTAATATTACAATATAAGCAAAATTGTTGGAAATATAATAAATCTCACCTGACTTCCCGTTAATATCTTTGGCTTTAAGATTACAATGTAAGCAATAGCATAGTTGAAAATATATTAAAGCTCACCTGACTTCCCGTTAATATCTTTGGCTTTAAGATTGCGACACTTGATGATGGTGAGCGTGAGCTGCGAGTTGCTGGGCTGGTAGCAGAGCGACGTCAGTATTTCACCACACTTGTTCTTCTCGAGCGGCCTCAAGGCTTTCCAAAACGTGTTGTTCTTCTCGGAGAAGTCCACCTAACGTGAATAACAAGATATACAATTAAAAAAACAACATATATGTAATTAAAAACACAACAATAAAAAAAATCATAACGAGTTTTCTTATTGAATCTACATATGTGGAAGAAATGCGATAATATAAAAGAAGTAGACTCAAATAGCACACGAGTTAGAATCGAATTTATTGTTCGTATTATTTTCCGGTTGAGCGTGAACTATCTATTCATCTTTTTATGGAGAACACAGCATGTGCACGCAAAACCAGTAACATGCGTTTAAAAATGACTTTTTAAAGACAACACTTCTAAAAAATCCAGTGCCTCCGATGTTACACATGTACAATGAATTTCTAATTTTGTTATCAAATATTAAAAAATAATTTTTAAATATTATTTCTAAAATTTACACTTTTTTTTAATTTTTCAAAATTATTTATTCTGTCAATTGATTCATGCATTGTCTCCGACTTTACGCAAGTGTGCAAAATTTCAGATCGATTGGAGAGGTAGAAGTGTGATTAAATATCGATTATAAGATTGTAGCAGACAAACAAACAAACAAACAAAAAGTGAAGTTGTAGAGAAGTGTTGTAAAAATGGAAGAAACTCTACGGACAAAATTTTTGACATTTAACTATCATCCGAATTATTTGTACCTAATCATGGCACCGGTCAAAAAATAATGCTTATGCCATAGAAGAATGGCACTCAAGAATAACAATTATCGATAACATTAAGATGTTGATTTAAATGGAATGAATAGAATGCAAACACAAGACAGCTCGGCGTAACATTTCCTCATTATTCCGAGAGGGTTTGAGCGGGAAAACTCGTTAGTTCCTCGTCAATGCCGACAAGGAAGAAGATTTTTGCATCTAATTGAACGGAAATTGTTTGATAATGAACGGTGAGAGCTGTACAAAACAGGGCGATTAAAAATGAATAAACGGATAGAATTAAACAAAACATGATGGGCAAAATGTGGATTTAATTGATTGAGCTGAATGATTGGACTTGAAGTTAATTTCATAAATTTATCGCCATAAATCACGCAACAAATTTTGATTAACGAATATAAAAAATCTTAGATTTACCCATCGCATAAACTAATTTTAAATGATATGACTTCACAACTCACGATGTTCTTAGGCAACAGACATTTTAAACCCAAAAGTGCGTGAGTGAACTAACTGAATGGTGATTGAAGCTCTAAAAATACTCTATTTTGTTTTTATTATGCATGAAAATAGTGGCGGGCATCTTGATTGAGATCTTGATTTGCACTAAGCCTGTGGCCCACACGAATAAAATTAACACAGCCTCCACGGGCGATTCACCGCTTATAAAGTCCCAGGAATTCCGTAATCGGATCAAAGCGCCGTAGAAGCTCCGAATGAACGGATAACCTCGAGTTTAAGGAGCGCGCAGCTTGCGAGAAGCACTGGGCAATGTCGGAGCCGCCTCAGCTAGGCTGGGGGGAAAGGGCGGTCGCGTAGAAGTAAATGAGAAGTAAAAACATCGGAGCAACACGAGGGGTGAGGATCACCTCCAGTAATGTATTGTGATTAAAGCAGCAAAAAACTGTACAAAACAACCAAGAAGAGAATGCAGCTCATTAATGTGAATTGTTGTGATGAAGACAAATAAGGACAGCGAGGTCACGTTACGTTCTCAATTGCATGAATAATCAAAAAAATTTTTGCTCATTTCTGCTCTAAAAGGCAAGCCTCAAAATGTATTTTGAAACTTCGTTTAAATTGAAGAAGTGTATACTCTCGTTATAGCCACTGGTCTAGGCTCGCTTCATCTAATGGAACAGACAAGGCCATTTCAGCTCCAAATGAACTTCAACACGCAAGAGGGCTTGTCCATCAAAGCCAAAACGATAAGGAACCGAAATTGAGTTGACAGATGCCGCAGCCGGCGAAGTCGCAATTGCTAAGCGATTGCCCGGAGACACTCCACTTCGAACAGACGACTCTGATGATCATAAGCTCGACGATTGAAGGCAATAAGCGAGGGTCGGCTGATAGGACCGGAATACTAAGGACAACAATTGAGAGTTCCTGAACCTCGTGAGCGCTTGACTGAGATGACATTCGGGGGCGGCGAGGCTTCGTTTGATGGGATGAGAGCGTCGGGCTCCTGCAGTAGCAGGACGGCCTGCACCTGTCATGTATCATGCAGGACGGCCTGCACCTGCCATGTATCATGCAGGACGGCCTGCTTTCGGGGGCGGCGAGGCTTCGTTTGATGGGATGAGAGCGTCGGGCTCCTGCAGTAGCAGGACGGCCTGCACCTGCCATGTATCATGCAGGACGGCCTGCACCTGCCATGTATCATGCAGGACGGCCTGCACCTGCCATGTATCATGCAGGACGGCCTGCACCTGCCATGTATCATGCAGGGCGGCCTGCTCCTGCCATGTATCATGCAGGGCGGCCTGCACCTGCCATGTATCATGCAGGACGGCCTGCACCTGCCATGTATCACAATTGAGCAACATCACAATAAAGCAACATCACAATGGAGCAATATCACAATTGAGCAACCTCACAATAGAGCAACATCACAATAGAGCTACATCGCAATTTAGCAACATCATAATGGAGCAACATTACAATGGAGCAACATCACAATTGAGCAACATCACAATGGAGCAACATCACAATTGAGCAACATCACAATGGAGCAACATCACAATGGAACATTATCACAATAGAGCAACATTACAATGGAGCAACATTGCAATGGAGCAACATTGCAATGGAGCTACATCGCAATTTAGCAACATCACAATGGAGTAACAATGGAGCAAAGCTAACAAAACACAATTTCGCTGTTCATCGATGACGCAAGCATTGTAGCCGAGGGCAGGGACCAGAACTAGCATCCACTCGCAGAATTGAGTGAAACTTTTCACAAAAAGCGATGCACCTTTTGCCCTGCGAGACCCACTTCGGGGCGGTAAAAGGGGCGTATCAGTGCTACGTGCAGAAAGTTTATCACCATTTAGACAATATGAGCCATACATTTTCTGAACGTCTTCTGTGTCGGGGGCACTCAAGTGAATTGCTCGGTCTCTCGCACAGCGGCTCCGGCGTCTCAGCGATGCAAGCTTGAATTGAAATAAAACACAAGTTCTTACGGGAAAAAAAGAGGCCTTTTACTTGGGATTACTTGTTGAAAGTTTTGATTAACTTTGATGATATGCATGCATGGGATGAAGTTAAGGCAATGAGGTTCTTGGCCTTACTCCGCTGCTGAAGGCAAAGAACTTTACAAAGTTTATAATTGAGATTGCCGAAGAAAGCAGCAGAAATTGAACGATTAATTGGATACTGAAATTTATGTAGAAAATAGTTACGACTGTATTATGATTATTTCACGGAAAAACAAAATAATTTGTAATAAATTCATAATTATTCTGACATTTATTTTGCTTATAGAAGTAAATTTATTTGTGTTTGAAGGCGCACACGCAGCAACGCTAATAAAAGTATCCATGTAATAGACGAACACGTGTCATAGTCCCCGAATATTTTCCTCTGTTAGTAACACGAACGTTGCTCAAGACTTCAATATTGAGCCGGCATAGAAGCCCCGCAATCAATTGGAAGAGAACGCGGCAATAAAGCCCTTCTCTATGTGATCTCCTTACCGCTCACTGGGTAGGGTATGCCAGGAGCAGTTCCATTCTTTTCGGCCACTGGATATCCTGCGTTGAATTAAAGCAAGAAATGCTCGAGGGAAATGTACAGATTGCGGCCAATCAAAATGAGCAATTATTAAGCATTTTTTTGTGTGTTTAAACGCGTTTTAAAAAATCCATTATTAATGATCATTCCTTGATCGGCAAATTTTTGAAAACTAAATTTCGTTTCGAATTTAATGGACAAAAAGCAAAGACTTTTGTTTACCGAACACGATGCAACAAAAATGACGATAAAATGTAACATAAACGGCCGCTAGCTTCAAACAAAAAAAGTTGAAACATTGCATTAGTTTTCTGGAGTGACAATAACGAGCTGACCACTCACATACGCTGAGATAAATCCCCTGATTTTATTAGTTTAGTGTTAATAGAAAACCCGTTCGTCAAAAACTCGAAACCAAGCAATGAACGGGGCATGGAAACTGGCATGGGAATTTCCCCTCGAATACATAATGCGCTTTTCCTCAGTTCAGGGGCTAGCTGTCATACTTCACATGCTGATAGCTACACAAGGGATCCAAAAAGTTTACGCAGCTAAATTACGAGAATGTGGCAAACGTGCAGATTTCAGGCAAAAGAGAACACACAAAATATTTACCACGAAATTTGCAGATTGCAACGCTTTTGACCTTTCGGTTTCTATACCTAACACGGCATAGAAACCATGGTTTACTCATTGTAACTTTGATGAACATGTACCAAGTTGTTGTATAAATACGTTTTCAGAAATTACGTCCGGCTAATTTTGAGAAGCCATTTATTCCGGAACTGATAACTGAGAGATCACAACAGGTAGCGGGCGAGATCCATGCTAATCCATTTAACTGCCTGAGGTCTGCCTGAGGCAGACCAGTAATGCTGCGCCCCGGTCTGTAATAAATCTTGGCAGGCAAGTCGGTGTCCACAAGATTGCCACGATCGGCCGCAGATTTACCAACATCAATTTTCAGCAGAGCATGACTTAAATTATTCAGAAGATCCTGCAGGAACCGACCACCTCTGACCTACAAAACTCAGCTCGCATATTCTCAGATTTGCTCCGGCTAAAGTTCCCGTTCAATATACCAAGATAACGTCGGCCGAACATCACGCTGCTTTCACATCGAACGAAATCTTTTCCCGAAAACTTTTTTATGCCTATACTCTGAGGATCACCGAGGTTCTTCGGCTTTGTCGAACTGAATAAGAATCTGGAATATTTTCATGATTTTAACCGAATTTTGGATTTCAGCGCGCGCGGAGGCAGTAAATTTGTGCCCCTTGCCAGACTGCTGATATCACGCCACGAAAATTTTTTTTTTTCAAGAAGACTAAAGGAATTTCAAAAGGAATAAATGTAAAATCCAAGCGCTGCGCGCAAGGAAAAATGGAAAAATTTACATGTTTCCTGTAATCAGGACATTTTTTGCAATTTTTTATTTGATCTCACAATGTTTATCTAAATTAATTTTATTTTGTTTACACTTCAGGACGCATTCAGCACCTGCTACAGTTGAAGAGTAGAAGTTTACAGCGAGCGAGAACATGGCTCCACTCCTGCTTCTCTGGCCGCCGCGTACAGAGAAGCAGGCTTCGCTCCTGCTTCTCCGGCCACAATTGCTGAGCGCAGCACGAGGCTCTTAGAGGCGTTCATCCTCACGAAGCGTTGCAGCGGAACACTTGCAAACTTTGTAACCACTGAAACCAACTTCAGAACTTCAGCGTCGCCTGAGTGAGTTAACTGCGCTTGAGAGAGCCAGCGGCGTATGAGAGAGCCAGCGGCGTATGAGAGAGTCAGCGGCGTATGAGCGGGTCAGTGGCGTATGAGCGAGTCAGCGGCGTATGAGCGAGTCAGCGGCGTATGAGCGGGTCAGCGGCGTATGAGCGAGTCAGCGGCGTATGAGCGAGTCAGCGGCGCATGAGAGAGTCAGCGGCGTATGAGCGAGTCAGCGGCGTATGAGAGAGTCAGCGGCGTATGAGCGGGTCAGCGGCGTATGAGCGGGTCAGCGGCGTATGAGCGAGTCAGCGGCGTATGAGCGAGTCAGCGGCGTATGAGCGGGTCAGCGGCGTATGAGCGGGTCAGCGGCGTATGAGCGAGTCAGCGGCGTATGAGCGAGTCAGCGTCACTGAATCTTAGCTTAACCTTCTGACGAGATTTATCGTCAGCAACGCACTTGCATCGCACCAGAAGATGAGGTGGCGTAGACAAAAATATTTCCACAAGCTCAAAATATTACCAGGATGGGTAGAATTTTCGTACACTGTCGGTGGAGGCATCAATTCACACAGAGAATTAAACGAGTCACGTTTTCCTGGACATACTGCATTTAGTGCATCAATTTTTGGTGCAAAAAAATACTTCATTAGAAAATTATGCAAAATTTCATGTTCTAACGAGATGCGCAACATTCGACGCTTCAACACCAAGCGCAACATTCCAAGCGTCAACAAGAAGCGCAACATTCAACGCATCAACAAGAAGCGCAACATTCAACGCATCAACAAGAAGCGCAACATTCAACGCATCAACAAGAAGCGCAACATTCAGCGCATCAACAAGAAGCGCAACATTCAACGCGTCAACATCAAGCGCAACATTCAACGCGTCAACAAGAAGCGCAACATTCAACGCGTCAACATCAAGCGCAACATTCAACGCGTCAACATCAAGCGCAACATTCGTCGACTTAACGAGCTGTGCTCTCACATTTCCCGCAACTTGCCGCGAGATTGATTAGCGCCTCGGCAAGGTTGCAAGCATATCACTCCCGTACATGATCATCTATCGGAGCCAACAAGTTGCTAGTCAAAGTTAGGGTCTTAGAAAGGCAACTCTCAGGCCTAACTTGCAGCTTGCGCTTGCAAAAGCGAGCTTTAGTGAACATAAACCAAACTCGCGTTATAGAAAAGAAAATTTGTAAATAACTAAATAATTTCTGTAAGGAGATTACTCATTTACGGAAAATGTCAACTCAATTTCTATTGGTGACTTAATTTCAAATGGTGACGCAGTAGGGATATACATCATCAAGCACGTTAGAATTGTATTGGGATTAACTGACGGCTCATGGAGAGAAATCAAATAAATGCGCTAGAAAGCATGGATCAGAGGAGGATGGCAATGAGTTAGTTCAGTGATAACGAAATTTTTTCCAACGCTTCGTCGTGAGCGCAAGCAAACTCTACGTGATCAGAAACGCAATTTGATTTGCAATCGGCAAATATTTGTCGTGTACTCGACCAAAGCTCCCGTCAATATTTACTAATGACAAGTGAAGACCACGCGGCAGTCGTTGCCATTTGCATCAAGCAGCCGACAGTTGACAGTAGCTACACCAAATAAGTGAGTCATCCGACAGTAGCTACACCAAATAAGTGAGTCACCCGACAGTAGCTACACCAAACAAGCTACACCAAACAAGCGAGTCACCCAACAGTAGCTACACCAAACAAGCGAGTCACCCAACAGTAGCTACACCAAACAAGCGAGTCACCCAACAGTAGCTACATCAAACTGGCGAGTCACCCGACAATAGCTACATCAAATAAGAAATAAGTGAGTCACCCGACAGTAGCTACCCCAAACAAGCCAGTCACCCGACAGTTACACCCCACCAACAGCCCCTACCCCGCCCACCTGACAGAGCGGGATGTGGACCTCGCCGATGGAATCGTCGCGAGAAAACCTGTCGTAGTCGAAGACGTGGAGGTGCAGCACTCGGCTGTTCAGCTTCTGGATCGGGAACTCTGCAAATAGAATAATTCATGTAGAAAGTAGAATGAATGCAAAATTCTTGTAAATGAGTGCCATGTGTCATTTTAATTATAAAATATACCACTAGAAAAAACGGTAATGAACGTTACAAGTCATCTCAGATCGCTAAGAGATTGATAAAAGAAATAACGGAGAATAAGAAAAGATTGAGAAAAATTTGTCTTTCATCACAAATAAATTAATCATGTACGTGTTCTTCAAACACATCTATACTTAATAACTTGACATTTATGATTATTTAATTTTGACTTCAATTACAAGTAGGGTTTCTAAAGATGAAGAAACAACGCTTGAAGATAAACTTAGAAGCCGTTTATCGATGCCAAGTTTCAATATAAAGGCTCATGATTGTCTCCATTTAACACTCAGAGCCAAAACTATGCAAAATTGAATCACTGATAATTCATCGTAGGCTTAGAGACTTCAGTTAAATTCCGAGGTTCAGTGCAATAAGTGCAGTTTCTCAACCTAAACGAAATAGAGGTAAGAAATCAACAGTTTTTTCCCTTGGCCGGGAGGAAGGGGTAATGGATGACCCTTTAGTGATGGCGGTGTGGGAAATAAAAGATCCGTTGATGAAAGACGTCAAGAGGCGCGGGCTTCATGCTTGTTTTAAATTAAATGCAAATGAAATTCATTAAGCAGGCAGACGACATCTTGCGTCGTGACTAAAATTGAGCGACACAGGAACAAAAGAGACGTCTCAAGTTGGGAGCACAGTAAGCGCAGTTTCTGCCCGTTTTATTTGGAAAGTAAGTTGAGTCATTTATGAATGAATATCTGAGAAATGGGTAACATGACTTGCCTAAGATATTGATTACCCCTAAGGGTCCACAGATCAGGGTAAGATCTACGAGTTTACCTCTCCTGGAATCACGTTGGTGAGTGGAAAGAAAGTCTGCTAAAATAAACGACGAAAACAGATATCTAAAAACGAGAGAAAATGAAAAAAATTCCAGGTGTAAGGTTTAACAATAAATAACTTCGAACGCATGAAAAATTCTTGTACAAACAACGACACGCAACCAGCTGTCAAACCCAGCCGTCGGATCTGCATGGCCAACTCTGTGCGCCCACATTTCACGACCTCCTCCCTCGTCCGTCCCCATGAGGCATGCGCAATAGCCTCAACTTGGCTCACAATTATACTGATTTCAATTCAAACTTCGCACATCAAAACAACGTGACGTTCGAAGTGATTGATGCTTAATGGAAAGTCTGGCTGCAGTGCTGCAAATGGCGCTACATTCTGAGCCGATACCGGGAGCTCAACATCAGAGAGAGAATCACATCGCTGATTAGCTGTCTGTGCGTGCATGGGCGAAGGCAAAAAAAAATAATTAATAGGAAAAAAGCAAAATTAAATATATTCATTAGTTGTTCAGTGTTTTTTAACAGGCGGAGTCATTAAGATAAAAGTGTAAGCTTGCTATCGTGAGACATCATGCTCAGCGAAGGATGGATGTGCACCAGTTTTTGAAAGGGCATTTCTGGGAGCATGAAACTCGTCCTGACATCAACAAGCCAACAAATCGTCTTAAACTGGCAGACGAGTCGACGAAAACGGAACCGAATATTTGGGGGCAATGAACAGTCACGGGTAATGGAGTTTTGGTGCGAGGGACAATGTTCGGCGTCGGGGTGATAGGCGCTGCTGCGCAAGACATTTGAGGGCACGACTGACAATTTCGGGTACAGTCGTGATAGCGGTTATGGGGGGGACACACGTGGGTGCAGGTGTGGGGGACAACCGTGGGTGCGGGTGTGGGGACAATCGTGGGTGCGGTGTGTGGGGACAATCGTGGGTGCGGGTGACAGTCGCAAGGGCGGCAGCAGTGCCGCGTTCCGAGCGCCGGCGACTCAGCAGAAAGAGGATCCGACAGGCCAGGAAGTGCACCGATAAACTCAACTTCACTCGTTGGTAAATAAGACTTGAACATAACGATAATTTCATGCCTGCCTGTTATTTCCAACCAAATACATTGCAATAGCCGTCTTGAAGAATATCTATTATCTTTGAATTTGTCAAGGCATCTCTTTACTTGCACGTGAATACCCAGAACCATTAAATGAAAGAAACCTTTCAAGTGCTTGTTTATTGTAGGCTCTTTTGAACCTTTTCTACACGCTTCTGCAAAGACTTCAAAAAGGTAAAAACCCGTGTAAAATGTCGTTGCAATGCACCTATGATACGTCGAGTGTATGGGCTTTTTCGAAATGTTTCTTGCATCCTACAACTTTTCTTGTATCTGCAACTTGACAGCCGTTAAAAATTGTCCCCAAACATTTTTGGCTGTGTCGCGAATCTAGATATACACACATTCTTCAAGCATTTTGTCAGCTTTTAATAATCGTCGTATATATACGCAGTTGTGTAAATACTTTTAGAAATGCTTGCCTATCTGCATGAGCAGAGCTGAGACTGGAAACGTCTGAGGTCTCCTCGAGGTTGCTGCAACCGAGCAATACAAGTGCTATAGTAGACTGTGGCAATAAACAGCTTTGGGTAACTTTGCAATACTATAAACAAATGTGAATTTCTTCGTGTAATAAAGCCAGGCCATGAAGCAATCAACGATCTACATAATTCTATGTCTTAAATTCATAACTAACTAAAAATTTTGGTTTAAACTCTCCCAGTTCTTTGCAGACTGCAGACAAGCAACCATACGTGAATATAAATTAAGATGTTGCAATTATACTGAAATGATTGCGCATGTATCTTTGTCATTCCACGAATGTCGAGCAATATGCGGCATTAAATCTTTCAATGCAAGGAAGAGTCTTACACATCAGAGAGAACTCACCTTCGAAGTAAAAGGTCTCGTGCCACTTGGGATGCAACGTTCGTCGCTTTATTTTGGTCTCGAGCTTGTGTTTTTTATCAGGAAGCAGCATAACTCGCACGTAGGGGTCGCTCGTGCCACTCAAATCCTTCGCCGGCAACTCCTTGGCCTGGTAAAACAATATGCATGTCAGATTAAAATGAAGCTTTCATAGACTTTGCGATGCATGATTATAATGTTCATAACAAATACTGTGAATTTCACGACTTGCTTCATAACAAAAGATATGTTCAATGTTCACAAGAGGGTCACTAAGATCATTTAGGAGTTTGATAATCATGAAAAAGGTGAACTAATAATTTCATACGAAACATGACCGCAGCGAAAGAGAGATGTGCGTTACCGTATAGCATCAAAGTGCCCGTACTTTTCATCAGTATTTTCGACAAACATTAGGATCGAACCACCATTGATAAAAGCGAAATGAAAGAGAAAAAAATGCTGTAATTTACAATCATACGGAAAATAAATCTCACGAGAGAAGAAATAAAAACAAGAGAAAAGGGGATTATCAGTAGTGGTAAAGATATACTAATTGTGTAGTCAATCCATTCCGTACGCGGTGTGCGCAACTGGGCCCGCAGCTGCAAAAAGCTGCAAAAAACGCCGTAGCAAATATCGGCCTTCAGCAAGTACGCATCTTCCTCGGCACTTTTTTATGGCGAATGAAAATTCCATGTAAGTCAAATTTAATTCAGAAGTCAAACACCAAATACCTGATTTGATCTTATTACATAATAAAAAAAGTACGAAGAAAAAACATAGCAGTAAAAAGAAATATCACAAAATTCGAGACGAGTTGTTGACACTAATGATACACATTAACCTAGCATGCAGATGGTTGTTTAGTCATCATCTTGACTTGCTTAATCAACGAGGCAAACGAATGTAATTATTACAATGAAAACCATTTAAACATTTAACCCAGGCAGGTTTATAATGCAGACCAACCTATAAACATGTATGAATATATTTGATCCCTTGAACACATATTGATATATAATATCGTATTTCAAAGACCATCAGAATTATGTTAGCCTCGAAAGGGCGGAAGAAATGAAGGGAATTACTTCGCAAAGTACACTTGAGAAGCGATCATATTATATGTATACGTTAATTACATATAGGCGCTCTGCCTTGGTTTCTTTAGGAACTTTACTTTCTTTTATTGCGCAATGATCAAATTTACAGCATTAAACTTTACAGCACCGTACTTTGCAAATAACGAAAAAATCAAACTGCTATAAACATTTCATTGTATTTACAGCATTAAACTTTACAGCACCGTACTTTGCAAATAACGAAAAAATCAAACTGCTTTGAACATTTCATTGTATTTACAGCATTAAACTTTACAGCACCTTACTTTTCGTTACACTTTTCGTTACTTGCAAGTAACGAAAAAATCAAACTGCTTTGAACATTTCATTGTATTTACAGCACCTTACTTTGCAAGTAACGAAAAAATCAAACTGCTTTGAATTTAACAGCATTCAAGTTCGCAGCACCGAACTTGGCAGTATTGAACGTTGTAGCACCAAACTTTGCAGAAACGAACTCATTGTTTAACTTCAAAGCGTTGATTTTTTGCAACGCTTAAGTTTGAAGCGCGTGAGTTTGCAGCTTTGTACTTTGTAGGGTTGAACTTTGTGGCATTAATTTTTGACGTGCATATCATTCAATTAAAAAATATTGAACCGCTTTGCTTCAAAGTATTGACTTGCGTTAAAATTCGTAAAATTTCCAAGTGTTGACCTTAACACTGTTGCAAAACGCTGCATTGAAATTTGTACCGCTGAAATTTACAAATATAAACTTTGCAACCCAGAGAAAAATTGAGGCGACTAGATGGAGTTGGTCGCCATTCCACGCCACGGCGCGGCTCTGCGCGCATCCTTTGACGTTCTTCAAAGAGAAAACTTTTGCAGTGACGACTCGGAATCTCGAGTGATATTCAGTCCACATAACTTATTGAATGGGAAAGATTTTGCGCGGTTTTTACGGTCGAACACTAGTCTGATGGATAAAAGTGTCGAAAGGAAGGTCAGAATTTCGACGACGGGTCTACGGTACAACGATGGCCAGCATAAGAGACTCTAGAATGTGCGGAACTACGTCAAAGTTTATTTAGTTACCACGCCGTATGCACTACGAAAAGTAATTTTAGTTATTACGCTGTATGCAATACGCAAATACTACCTCATACTGCGCCGTATGCAATACGCAAAAGTTTTTTTAGTTTGTACACCTTAATTTGTACACCGTGTGCACTAGGCAAAAGTTTAAAGTCGATCTCGAGGCTAGCATTTCATGAGCACGACTCTGATTGCTGGCAAAGAACTAGTAAACTTTATAACGTGGAACCCAAGCTGTTGAATGTTTGTCATCGCCTAACGATCGGCCACTAAAACCCTCCACCAACAGGACTCTGGCGCACGGATGGGCGATTCTGATATGCCTCATTAGAAATTTAGGATCGTTGCCGTTAATTCTATGATGATATTTAACAGAGCCGCAGGTCGGTAGCTGGCCCGAGATCATGAGCAGCGACTAGACGGTACAATGAAAGGCGCGCCGGGTCTCGCGAGCCAAAACAAAGGGATTGTTGGGAACAAAAGAGGAGCGATAGGCGCCCCCTGGATGAAGGCTGCGGCGCAAGCAGACTCAAGTCAAGCATGAACGATAGACTCACGCTCCACTGACTCCAAACCTGGGCTAGACGGCCTGGCATGAGGACAACGAAGAAACCTTGAGGCCTGGAAAAGGTCCAGCTAATAAGAAAAACCAGTAACCTTGAAAAAAGGCCAACGAAGAAAGACGTCTAAGCAAGAGGCCTTCTAAATGAGCGACTTAAGGTCTAAAAGCCCTCGACTACGAAGTCGACGTAGAAGATCAGGTAGAAAAACCCACAATTAGGAAACTGGAACAAAACGATCTACTACAGTCAAATATATGCAGACATAATTAGAAGGCTTGAAATGGTCAAATAGGAGCAATTTGGAAACAGTTGCCAAACACCCTGCGTGAAGATCAAACAGTGCCAACATATAACATTTAATATAAGATGAACCAAGCCTTACAAGTCACCACTGAAAAAATGCAAACCAATTTCGTAGTTCTGCTTTGGCTATAGAATTTGTGGGCATTTCATTCCATCCAGATCAGAAGAGCTGCTCAGCGTTCTACGCTTGATCAAAGGGTAGCGTTAAGGAATGAAACCGGTCGCGTAAAAGAGGAACTTGCATACAGGAACATGTCTCCAGCATAATCCTATCCCTCTCACAGGGTCATGTCTTCCACATGAACATGTTTCTCACAGTAACATGTCTCCTGCAGTATCATGTCACCCACAGTAGCACGTTTCTCAAACAAACACGCCTTCCACAGGGTTATGTCTCTCACAATAAAATGTCTCCGCAGTAGCATGTCGCTCACGCGAACGTGTCTTCAACTGGGGCACTTAATTTTGCTACCTAAAGGTGAGCGAGTCTCTGATACACGAAAGCCGAAGGAGTCTGATTCGGTCTTTATGAGTAACAGCGTTGTGAACTAAAATATTAAAAAGATAAAAACGACGAATGTAAGTGTACCAATGACTCACGTTCTTGTATAGCGTCTGCATGAATAACAGGAATAAAAACATGATTGATGGAAATTCTACATGATTGAGATTCAATCTCAATTGTAAGGTCATAAAATTTCTTGATTGTAAGGTCATAAAATCCGATGGCCGTTTCCAGACATCTGTATATCGAAAATCATCGTTCACCGGCTTGAGCACCAGCTTTTTTAGCTTTTGTTCCTTTCGTCACAAATTAAATGGGATTCAAACGTTATTAAACCGCGGTTTCCGAATTTGCTCCACTTTCCATAATATCCACACTGAATTTGAATATTTGCGCAGTATATTTTCACTGAATGGGTTTCCTTCACAATTGGTGTATACTCAAATTAAGAAATTCTTGTCTAAACAATATGCTGAGGTGGTTCCCGAGCATGACGATAGGAATAGTGTTTATTGTTCTTTTCTTTACTTTGGCTCCGCATCTGAGACGATGGCAAAGGAATTGAAAGATCTATTCTCTAAATACCTCCCGAATGTAAATCTTCAGGTACTGCTAGTGAACAATTTTAAAATTAGCTCGTTTTTCAGGTACAAATATCCTCTCCCTGTTCTTTTGCGATCATCCCTAGTTTATCAATATGGTTGTGCGCAGTGCGCATCTGCGTATGTCGGTATGACATTGCGCAATTTTTATACTAGGCTTGCAGAGCATAGAGGCAGGAGATATAGAACAGGGAACATACTTGCGCATCCCCCTCATTCAGCTGTACGTAGTCATGCCGAGCAGTGCAACGTCCCGGTGTCCAATAGTGATTTTAGAGTTTTAGCCTCCACAACCAGTGTTTCTGACCTACGAATTTTAGAAAAATTATATATTTTCAAACAGAAGCTCAGTTTAAATGCCGCATTCAGTTCCTATCCTCTACAAATTGTAAATAGATAGTACCTTCTCTACATGTTATCTCATTTTTATTTGTTTTATTTCCGATTTAGTTCTGATGTCTTCAAGTTTAGGTAAATTGTTTGAGTGTGAATTTTAGGCTACTAACTGTTGGTACCTGTGTTCTAGGTTTTGAACTGACGATGGAGCTGGACTCCGAAAAGTTTTCTCTTATAAGAAATGGTGAACTTTTTGGCTATTTTCTTTACTTTTAAATTCCTAGATTCAATTTCTTTTCAGGTTGCAATTCCTCCACCATTCAGCTTTTACAAGTTCGCTAACGTCGAATGTTAACATCACACTTACAATCCATGAAGATTTCAGAGAGTCTTTTTATTCGTCGGCTTTAGATCTGATGATCTAAAATGTAATGTAAACGACCAACTGCATCACTCTCAATGAGTCAAACGCACGATTTGCAGCTTTTGAGTTTGAATTTCAGACTTCTCTGAACTATTCACTATCAACACAAACATTTTAAAGCATCCAATACAAAATCGACTGCAAATTTTTGGGTCCTAACTCCCGATAGAGATACGGCCTACCGTGCTACGAGCTTCTTATGCAGGTTGTTCCGAGCACAAAAGAACGGCTGATAAAGCGC